AAAAACGTTGGTAATTTTGTTCAGAGCAGTAAATGAGGCCACATGACATATCCTCTTCTCTTGTACAACTCGAATAACACTTCATTTAGGGGTCAAACAACACGAATCCCAGTTACTGTACCATGCCGCCCGTTTTCCTGCCTCATCTCCCCCTCCCTCACCTCCCGGGGGTGACTACCCCAACTAGGACCCTTAAGGGGTGTGAAAACCAGGCAGGGGAGGGTCATATTCACTTATGTTTTACACAGAGCCAAGTAACTCTTCTAAGGTCATAGAGCAAATTCAGTCTCAGGCTAGACCCAGAAGCAGCCCTGTAATTGCAAACCTGCTGGTCTCCCTGTCCTCGCTCACCAAAGCCTGCCTGCAGCCCAGTAACCAGAGGGCCATCTCCTTTTTGCCGCTTTGCCACAGACCAGAGGCTGATACTAATCACAACTATCAAGGATCTAGGGTCTCACTCAAGCAAGCACCAGCTAAGTGCAAGGCCCGGCATGAGCAGTGGGGGCATCCTGAGATGAACAAGATTTCGGGAAGCTTTGGTGCGAGATATACACAGATAACTCCCCTGCATTTCCCTCCCAGGGTTTGTACCTTCTTGCTCATCTCCGTCCTACCGGACCTGTCCAAACCTTTTATCTGACAGATAAGGAAAACAAAGCTCAGAAAGTCTTGACCGACACAGCTAATTAGTGGCAAAGCTGAAATTTGACCGGACAGCTTGACTTTTAGTGTCTATGATTCATGCTAGCCGCCCCCCCAACTCCATGTGTTTTCTCATCTTAGACAAGCGTGTGATAAATCTGCTCAGAAAGAGAGCACTGATGAATGCGTATTGAAACTCAGCACGTTGAGAAATGGTCCTTTTCTCAGAGTGATAATTTTAAAATGTAAGGTGTCTTCCGTCATCGGGGTTTTCTGTTGCTTCCTTTAGTGTGTGCCCTGAGCAAATTACTGGACGTGTAAACAAACCCAACAAAGAACACAGCCTGGGGTCCGGACCTGGAGGGAAGGCGGCTTGGCGCCACACACAGGCATCTCTGCCTTTCTCAGAGCCTGTGTTCTACCTTGGAGTCGTTGTGGACGCTAAGCTAAGCAAATTGAGTAGCCGCTGTCATTCAAAGTGGTATAGTGGTTTCTGCCGAGGAAGCCCTTGCAAACGTTTTCTAGGAGTAATAATGGAAGTGATGAGTGTCATGGATAATGAAATGGAGGAGATGGAAATAAACACATTGCTGTCACAGGGTCACCAGCTGTTACAGATCTTTAAAAACATTTGTACACTTTAGAAATCTAAACATAGATGAATGACTTACATAAAAGTCTTGGGGAAGTGGGCATTTTTTAAGAGACATGGTGGGAAGGAGGGCGAGAGTTTTAAATTGAGTCCAAATTCCATAAAGTGATGAATGCCAAAGTAAGGAATTGTGACTTTAATCCAGGGGTCTGTGAACGATGGCCCACTGCCTGTTTTGTAAATAAAGTTTTATTGGGACACAGACATGCCCATTTGTTCAGGTATTGTCTGTGTGTGTTTTTTTTCACTTGAAGGGTAGAGTTGAGTCATTTCAACAGAGACCCTATGGCCCACAGAGCCCTTTAAACGTATACTCCCTTACAGAAAAATGTGGGTGCACTCTATGATAGGCAGTATTGAAGGTTCCAGACCAGGGGAACGCTGTGATGGAAGCCATGAGAATCTCAATCTGGCAGGAGGGTGCAGGATGGGCTGGAGCGTGGAGAGGTAAACATCATCAGATATAATGCCACCAGAGCTCAAATGAAGGTGGTCTCAGTAAATATGGGGAGACAGAGACAAGTTCAAGAGATATGCCAAAGAAAAACGGAACCTGAAACCTGGTTAGATAAAAGTAGAACAGAAATGTGGATTCAAGCCTCCCTTTGAGGTTCTGTGCTCAGGTTACAAGCTGCGTGGTTATGACAACTGGGAGATGAGCAGCCAGCCTTGGGTGAGTGGCTGACTTTAGTTTTACATATACCTGCTCCCTCAAGTGCGTGAATTGCCTGCAGATGGTTGGCGATGTGCAGCCGGAACTCAAGAGGTCACTGGTAAAGGTATGTTGAGTAATCTAGGAAGGTTTGAACACGTTCTATACGTCTAATATAAATTGTGATGAAAAGTGGCCCATGACAGCCCTCCAAAGAGGCAGGCCCTTCCTAATGTCACATGAGTAACTTTCTGGTGGAGTCGGCTGGGAGGAAGCCAGTTCGGCTCCAAGGACCACAGGTGTCTTATGTGACCTTCTCCCCTGCTGTCCCCTCCCTCAGCACAATCTCTTCAGTGCAGTGGACTCCAGGCATGTGGAGCAGACGTGTCCCTGTTCATGGACTACAGACGCTACGGGGTTCCAAGCCCGCTCATTGCTCACTTTGGCTTACCACAGATCATCGCCTACCTCGGGCTCTTGTAGACTCTCCAGTTTCACTTGGAATTCCAGCCTCAATTCCCAACCAACTGAGCCACCCAGGCGCCCCCAACCTCAATTCCCACCGCTTCCGGCTGGTGCCAATATTTCTGTTCCTCCTCTCTTTGCTGGTGCAACAAGTCAAGTTCTTTCTAGCTTGGGCCACCCAGACTTGAGAAGGGACCTGTTTTTCCCACAGCCCCCTGGATTCTGACTCAGCAGTTTGCATGGATTCTCCCCAGAACTTTCCAGAACATTCCTGGGCTCCTGGTGCTCAGGACACTCCACAGTTGCAACTGCTTTGTTTTTTTCATGAACTCTCTCCTTTCTGATGCTTCTTCAAACTTTCCCGAATCCAGCTCCCCCCAAATGCGCTTTCACTCTCTTCTGTCTCCCCCTCTTGTTTGCCCTGATAGTCCCTAATCACTTCGTATCACCCCTGAACCCCATCTAGTTCTTCCTGCCCCACTCATGGGTTACCTCACTCCTCTTCTCCAGAAAAACTGGTGCAAAAATGTACACAAATAATCTGTAAATGGTAGCACATCTACAATCTATTTAAATGATGGCTGGTCCCCTGGGCGGAGGGAGTGGGGAGTGACACTAGTAATTGATCAATCAGTATTTCCACTCCTGGGAGGGAGACTGTAATCACATGATTGACTTCAGAAAAGTTGTTTTGTTGTTAAATAAATAAGAGGTGGTCTTGTATTTCTTTAAAATAATTGTCAATCTTTTCCTCCCGATTAGTAAGTGTAAAGTTGATTACTATATATTTTTCCTGTCACTCCTTTGTGACATGCTCTTAGATGGCTTGACAGCTGGCATGCTCTGAGGAGGTGACAGGCACAGCCTCATACCATTTCTTTAGCCAGACATGCAAGCTATTTTACCTCTGACCTTTGTTCACTCACCTTTGCCTTCTTCATCTAGTGGCAAGCCTAGGCTTTCCTGCCCTTGCTTCTGTTCACATCCATCCAAAATGTACTGACAAGTCAATTCTATTGTTAAGAACAAACCAAGTTCACAGAATTGCTATAAAAAATGGAAGAAATGAATTATTTTTGCAACAAGAGGGTCCTAATCTTGTTGACATCAAGCAATCCCACTCTTTCAGGCTTGCATTTCCAAGCTGTGTCTTAGGAAAAGCCTTTTGTGTCTTAGGCTGACTGTGCTTGCTTAATCTTCCATAGCTTTCAGCGAAAATTAATTTACTAAAGTATGAAAAAATACAAACAAAAATTTAAAATATTACTCCCCTACAGAGGCACAAATGAAAAATGCATGCAAACTATTTTTATACCTTTCCCCCCCTTTAAAATTGACTTAAAATGTCAGCTCATTCCTTTGGAAAGATCAAGATATGTTCTTTTAAAGACAAAGACTGGAAAGGAATACCGAAAATTTTGTTTTATTTTATTTTTAAAGATTTTTATTTATTTATTTGACAGAGGGAAACACAGCGAGAGAGGGAACACAAGCAGGGGGAGTGGGAGAGGGAGAAGCAGGCTTCCTGCAGAGAAGAGCGGGGAGATCCCAGGACTCTGTGATCATGACCTGAGCAGAAGGCAATCGCTTAACGACTGAGTCACCCAGGTGCCCCAGGAATACGGAAAATTTTAAAAAGCTTTCTCTATTAAATTTGAAGTGGTGGGAATGCAGGTGGTTTATTTGGCTTTCGATTATTATTTGGGAATAAAAAAACTAACAGAAGAGGAAAAGTAAGAACTTTGTTGGGACGAGAACATAAAACTTGCCTCTGATGTACTTTTCTTTTTTAATATATGGCTGTATACTAAATACCAAAGTTGTTTCTCCTTCTAAAGGGAGAAGCTCACTAACTTAATGCTACATGTGGACAGCAGCTGGGGACAAATGTAATGGATTTAGTTGCTGGATCTTGATTCATCTGCCCCTGATTAGACTCTAGTAACACAAATTAGTTTCTAAGTCCTTAGACTAAAAGGATTTCCCAGTGGCGGTAATGAGACACACGAAGAGTCGGCACAGGTCACTGTCTCCGTCCACACCGGGAACCACGGGGACAGCGCCCGGACGCTTCGGCGGCCGGGCGCGCCACGGGCCAGCGGGGTCTGCGGCGCTCCCTCTCGGGGGGCCTCGCTCCCCGAGCCGCAGGCAGTCACAGGACCGCGCCCCGCGCCAGACCCTGTAGACCCGGCCCACGCGCCCCGCCGCGCACCTCGCAGACCCCGGCCCAGCTCGCTGCCCCGGACCGCCGAGGGTCTGGGCCGCAGGCTCGGGCCCGCGAGAAAGGGAAGAGCCGGGGACCACTCGCGCTCGGGCCTCCCCAAGTCTCGCCGCTCAGGAGCGGGACCACAGAGAGACCTCGGGGGCGGAGCCAGAGGGGAGGGGAGGGGTGAAGGGCGGGAGAGGGCGGAGTCAGAGAGGGGCTGGGCAGGGCGAGAGCAAGGCCGGAGTGTGGGGCGGGTCGAAAAGTGGGGCGAGGACTGAGCCGGGGTGAAGGGCGGGGCGAGGGTGGGGGCTGAGGGTGGGGCTACTAGGGCGGAGTCGGAGTGTAAGGCGGGGCCGTGGGCGGGGCTTGCGCTAACGGTCGCGCGGCGCGCTGCGGGCGGAGCGCACTGTGGAGAGGCTGTGGAGCGCCGGGCCTGGCGGGCGCGAGGAGCGGCGGCTGAGGTGAAGGCCTGGCCCGGGCGGCGCGTTCTGTGAGGCGCGGGCGCGCGAGGGGGCCTGCGGCGCTGCGGGGTGCGGACCGAGTTGGGGCGCCAGTCACGCGGTTGTCCTTTCCTTTGCTGCCGTTTCGGGGCGCGGCGTCCCGAAGTGGGGTTCGTCCCCGGGACGCGGGGACGCCCGGTTCCGTGAGGGCGGACCACGAAGGGCGTGGCTGGCGGGGCCCGGTGTGCGGCCGCCGGCTGGGACCGCCCTGGTGCGAGCGGACCGAGGCGGCGTGGCTGCCGGCTCCCGTCAGAGCGGGGACGCCCGGCGGGTCCTCTCCTCGGGAAGCAGCGGAGGGAGGCTGGGCGCGCTGCTGGTGCAGAGCAGCCCGCGCGAGGGGAGACCCGCGGGAGGGGGCGGCGGGGGCGGTGTCCGTACGAGAGCGCGCTCGGCCGTGTGGCGGAGACGCGCAGGCGGCGCGGCGCCCGGGAACGCAGTCGGCGGACGTGGCGGCGGACCCGCGCTCGGCCTCCGTCCGCTCGCTCGTTCGGCCGGCTGAGAAGTGGAGCCCTGGTTTGCACTGCGGGTCCGGCTGACTGCGCTCCTCGGCAGTGTCAGAGCCGGCCCCGACGAGCGTGCCTGCCTCCCCCGGCTCCAGGGCCCCAGCGCCAGGTCTCCGCCCCCTCGGGGCCCTCCCGCCGGGCCGCGGAAGGCAGGCCCTGGGCCACACTCGAAGCTGCCCTTTATTTTGATGATTTTTAATGATTTTATTTTTAGAAATCATCATTCTTTCATCGACAGAGTTTGCTTTAAAAAAAAATTTTTTTTTAAGTAATCTCTACACCCAGTGTGGAGTTGGAACTCACAACCCGGAGACCGAGAGTCGTGTGTTCTACCCACGGAGCCAGCCAGACGCCCCAGGGTGTTGCCCTTCAAAAGTGGGAGGAGGGCTCCGAGCCCAGGAAGGGGGATTCCAAGATCTGGACCCGAGGTGAGGGGCTGTCCGAGATGGTCATGATGTACCCAGTGTCTGTAGTGTGGCGCCAGCCCAGAGCTGCGACGGTGCCACCACTTGACCTTAAACTGGACTGGGTATCTGCACCATTGCCAAGGGTCTGGAGCAGTGAGGCCTTGAGGCACTACACAGCTGCTCCTACCTCCAACGCTCTGTTTGCCTTGCTCCTCTCTGCGGTTCCTGGGTGAGGCACCAACTCCCAGCCCTACCTACCCCTGTCCTGATTCAGGGCCTGGCACAAATCAGACACTCAACCGACACGTGCTGCATGAATAACCGAAATTGAGTAAATCTACTGGTTTGGTGTAGCTGACCAATGTTATTACATTGAAACCCTTTACAGTGATGATATTGAGGACCAGCCACCATTTGATATTTTAATATCACTCATTTGATATTGAGTGCTTTTTATGCACGAGATAGCATTGAGATACACTCATGAAATCTCTTAAGGCCCCACCTCTGCTCTCATCTAGATATGAGGTTAAAATCACTACCATCCCCACACACAGTGTAACCAGGTTAGAGGTATTTGCAATAGAGTTTTGCTGTATTTTTTTTAGATTTTATTTATTTATTATTTATTATTGACAGGGAGCACAGGCAGGGGGAACAGCAGCCAGAGGGAAAGGAGAAGCGGGCTCCCCACTGAGTAGGGAGCGGGATGCGGGCCCCATCCCAGGACGCCGGGATCATGACCTGAGCCAAAGGCAGACGCTTAACCATCTGAGCTGCCCAGGCACCCCTGTATTTCTTTTCTTTTCTCTCCCCCCCCTTTTTTTTAAAGATTTATTTATTTATTTATTTGACAGAGATAGAGATAGCAAGAGCAGGAACACAAGCAGTGGGAGTGGGAGAGAGAGAAGCAGGCTTCCCCAGGAGGAGGGAGCCCGATGTGGGACTTGATCCCAGGACTCTGGGATCATGACCAGAGCCGAAGGCAGACGCTTAACGACTGAGCCACCCAGGCGCCCCTCTTTTTTCTTTTCAATTTATTCACCCATTTGAGAGAGAGACAGAGTACACATGTGCTCCAGCAGGGGGAGGGAAAGAGAGAACCCCAAGCGGACGCCCCCTGAGCACAGACCCCCTCCGCCCCAGGCTCTATGCCACAACACAACCAAGCCACCCAGGGGCCCTGAATTTTGCTGTATTTCTAAAAGTAGGCTCTATGCTAATAAATATTTAAATCTGCAAATGTCCCATTGAATCATCTTTCATCTGAAACTAAATTTACAGGGTGCACAAAAATTGCTAAATTAGTGAGGCGCTTGGGTGGCGCGGTCTGTCAAGTGTCCAACTCTTGGTTTCTGGCTCTGGTCATGATCTCAGGGTCATGAGATGGCTCCATGCTGGGGGTGGAGCCTGCTTAAGATTCTACCTCTTCCTCTGCCCCTCCCTCGCAATAAATAAATCTTTTAAAAAACTCATGTTCTCTGGTTTACTGAAACTAACATGCCATCACACATAAGATGCCTCTTACATTCAGAAATACTAAAATGTAAAAAGAATTGCTAAATTATACATTCTTATCAGTTTAAATTATACATTCTTTGGAAAGTGAAAGTTAAAAATTGAAACCTAACTATATCATTCAAAACTGTAAAAGGACATTTTGAAACATGTTTTTTGCAGATTTGATCTGTACTTACATTTCACTGTTATAATAAAAAACTTTCCCCAAAGAGTGAGTAATATATTCAATGCTTTCCTAGATAATTTTTTAAAGATTTTATTTTTTACTTATTTGAGAGAGTGCGTGCATGCGTGCACAGGGGGGAGGGGCAGAGGGAGAGGGAGAAAGAGTCACAAGCAGACTCTGCACTCTGTGAGGAACCCCTACAGGGCTTGACCCCACAGCCCTGAGATCATGACCTGAGCCAAAACCAAGAGTCAACCGACTGTGCCACTCAAGCACCCCCCAGATGACTTTTTTTAATCTTGGAATTTTTCATGGGTTATTTCAGTTATTTAATTTTCATCAACTTATATTTTCTAAAATATAGATAAAAGAATGGCAAATTCCTTTGCATCAAAGACCTTCACCGCACTTTCAGATCTGCATCCAAATTTGGCTAATCTGGTAGGTTTTAATGACATAGTGGTTTGGTTGTTCTCTAATGAAACTTTAGGTGGTAATATTATATTATAGCAACATTATTGGTTCATTTGACACATGCTTATATAATTGACAAGTATATAGCTACTCATTCCATCAGTACAATTATTGATATTATAGATACCCCTAAGCTTCTTTGATTTTATGCCAGCTAAATGAAAATTAGTTTCTCTTTTGTCTAGAGTAGGACATTGTAGATATGGCTAGCAATGTTCAAAATGATCAAAAGTTTAATTGTATTACTTTCATTAAATATTTAATAACAGCTCAAATTTAGCATTGTAAAATTAGAACATTTTTGTTTGGCAATATCTATTCTCTAATCAAACTGTACTTAAGTTATAGACTTAAATACTTGGCACTATGCTCCTTTTATGACATAAAAGAATACAAAAGCTGTATTTGTGAAATATGTGAAAATCCACTTTTAACTGAAGGGTTGTTGGGGAATTCAATCATTTCAAATATGCCAAGACTGTTTTTAGTCAACACAAAATCTAGGTGGAATCATCTTATGAGGTGAAGAACTGCCCTGAGCAGTCCGTTGTTTACATTTGGCATTTACAAATCAGATTTCTTAAAATGGGATACATTTATATGTAACCGTACTGTGCAGTTAAAGTTTATTAATGTTAAAAATAGGGGGCCCAAGTCCTTCTGAATGGAGGACCAGAAAAAGAAAGAAAGAAAGGTAAGTGATTTGTTCATTTCCTCTTCAGTTAGAAAGCTTTGCCAATATTTCCATTAGTTATATTTTTCCAACACAATTTGGTGAGATCAACATGCATATGGAATTTAAGAAATAACAGCAGTGTGTCTAAATGTAGTAAGATTAGTTAATAGCTCAGCTAGAATGTGGTAGTCTTAACAGCTTGAACATATTTTAAATGTAACAGATTATTGCAAGGTTAAAATCAGTTGCTAGAATTAGTGTAAGTTTAGGTTTATCCTTTCAGGAAAAGGTAGTTATTTTTGGTTCCTTTTTTTTTTAAGATTTTATTTATTTACTTGAGAGAGAGAGATACAGCAAGAGAGGGAACACAGGCAGGGGGAGTGGGAGAGGGAGAGGGAGAAGCAGGCTTCTCGCTGAGCAGAGAGCCCAGTGTAGGGCTCCATCCCAGGACCTTGGGATCATGACCTGAGCCGAAGGCAGACACTTAACTGAGCCACCCAGGCGCCCTTTATTTTTGTTTCTTAAAGTACTTTTTAAATATTCAGTTGTTTTTTTTTTTAAGATTTTATTTATTTGAGAGAGAGAGAATGAGAGAGAGCCCATGAGAGGGGGGAGGGTCAGAGGGAGAAGCAGACTCCCCGCCGAGCAGGGAGCCCGATGCGGGACTCGATCCCGGGACTCCAGGATCATGACCTGAGCGGAAGGCAGTCGCTTAACCAACTGAGCCACCCAGGCGCCCTTAAATATTCAGTTTTTATCTGGTAGTCGCCAAAGAGACATTAAAATGCTTAAGGAGATGTTAATATCTTTAAGGTTTAAGATCTAGGACTTTAGAGCTTAGATTTATTAGCAGCAATGTATAAGTTTTGTTACAGTCTAACTTATATTACTGTTTAGGATGTTTGGATTAAGAAGCTAGGCAATTTTATGTGGATTGTTAGAAAATCCTATATTAGGGCGCCTGGGTGGCTCAGTCGGTTAAGCGTCTGCCTTCGGCTCAGGTCATGATCCCAGGGTTCTGGGATCGAGCCCCATGTCAGGCTCCCTGCTTCGTGGGAGCCTGCTTCTCCCTTTCCTCCCTGCTCGTGCTTTCTCTCGCTATCTCTGTCACTATCTGTCTCTCTCTCTCAAATAGATAAATAAAATCTTTTAAAAAATCCTATATTAAAGAAAGCTTTGAAGACCGTGGCAAATTAAATTGTGTATACATGTGCTTTGAATGAATTCAGTGAGAACTGATAGCACAGGGCAGCTACTGTGCTCCAACTAGTGACTAAAAATAAAGTAGAAACATGCTAAGTATTAAGTGATTATATTTGTAATAACAGTTAACTGTCCTGTTACTTTGTACTATTCCTTGTGGAATTGAACATTTATGAAGTTCTTTAGATGTTTTTCTGGAGTAAATATATTTAAATGGCTCCTAGTCAAAAATGTTTGTTAGAGCCAGTAAAATATAACAAGTCCATGAAATTAAATTTACCATCTACGTCTGTGTTTAATATTTGTCTTCTATAACCCTTTTGTTTTTCAGAAAATAATTGGTATAGTTATTGGGAAAACAGATGTCAAAGGCTTTCCAGACAGAAAAAGCTGAGTTCTATTTAACTTTTTACTTCATTTTTCATCAAGTGTGGCTTTTGACTACAACAAAGTGTATTTAAGTGATTAAATTTCTCATGCCTGTTTAACTCCTTAAGAGCAGTGGCCATTGTATGGTAAAGTACTCAATTTAAGGCCATATGTGTGAGGACATTAAAACCATTTTTAATGACATGTAAGGCTGTGTGGCTCCATGTTAGTGATCACTTTCAGCCTAAGAGATACAAATACACAGGAAAATCTAAGACAGAAAATGTTAAGGAACAGGGTTTTCGAGCAGAGATGTGTCTTGATAGAGGAGCATGGAGGGAGAGAAGTATGGCAGCAGTATCAACCAGACAATCCAGTGAATAAAATTAACCTTTCACATGTGGAAAATACAGTTAACTCTGGCTGTAGTGGCTCTTATTGAGTTGCTTGAACTGTATAAAAGTTTTAGGACTATGGAAACAATCCAAGACTAAAATTAGATTTTTTATTTTTATTTTTAAAAAAGATTTTATTTATTTATTTGACAGAGACATAGAGAGGGAACACAAGCAGGGGGAGTGGGAGAGGGAGAATCAGGCTTCCCGCTGAGCAGGGAGCCCGATGCGGGGCTCGATCCCAGGACCCTGGGATCATGACCTGAGCCGAAGGCAGACACTTAACAACTGAGCCACCCAGGCACTCCTAAAATTAGATTTTTTAAATCAAGTTTAAAATCAAATTTTCAAACTTCTGTAGTTGACTCTCAATGATAAGATATAAAATGCCAGGGGCACCTGGTTGGCTCAGTCATTAAGCGTCTGCCTTTGGCTCAGGTCATGATCCCAGGGTCCTGGGATCGAGCCCCGCATCCAGCCCCGCATCGGGCTTCCTGCTCCGCGGGAAGCCTGCTTCTCCCTCTCCCACTCCCTCTGCTTGTATTCCCTCTCTCGTTGTGTCTCTCTCTGTCAAATAAATAAATAAAATCTTAAAAAAAAAAGATATAAAATGCCAAAACTAGCACGGTTTATGTCAGCACTGCTTATGAAAGGTTACAGTATAAACACTTCTGTGTGGCTTAAGGGTGTCAGCTCTAGTCAGCCAGGCAGTGATTTTGGCAGAAGAAGACATTAATTTTGTTTGAATCACCTAGATAACTGTGGCTGTTTTTTGGCTCATGGTGTAGTGACGGTTCCTTTATTTTAATTTCATTAATATTCTATTATCATGTTTGATGTAAATATTTGCTTATGTCTTCACTTCATCATGATTAATTAGATCAGAATTACCATTTGAATAGTTTGAGAAAGTCTATGTATCTGTTTTCTAAGCTCTAAAAGGAATAACTTAAAACACATGAATTAGGAAAATGTCAGTATTTAAAGTATTTGCTGAAATCACAACAATGAAATACAATTTTCACCTCACAGACTATGCAGGTAGTGATTCCCGTAGTGTTGGAGTACTTTATGATGATATGTACAGAACTCCTTTTTTGGAGAAGACATGTTTACTGACTTAAAAAAAAACCATTACACACATGTTACATACCTATTTTCACAAAACATTCAAGCACTACAGAAGGTCATGGAATAGAAAAATGGAATTCTTAATTCAACCCCCAGCTCTTTCCAGCCTAGTCTCCTCCCCAAAGGTAAATGCTAATAACAGTTTAGTAGATATCTATAATTTATGTATATATGTTAGGTTGTGTTACTTTTTTAATTAGCAAAAAACAGCAGGGCCATTTTATTTTGGGAAAAAATGTACCTGCTGACCCCTAGTGGCACCATTTACTAGTACACATTTATTTGTTTTGAAATAATTTAGATCAGGGTGCCTGGGTGGCTCAGTCGTTAAGCGTCTGCCTTTGGCTCAGGTCATGATCCCAGGGTCCTGGGATCGAGCCCCGCATCGAGCCCCGCATCGAGCCCCGCATCGAGCCCCGCATCGAGCCCCGCATTGAGCCCCGCATCGGGCTCCCTGCTCGGCGGGAAACCTGCTTTCCCTCTCCCACTCCCCCTGCTTGTGTTCCCTCTCTCGCTGTCTCTCTCTGTCAAATAAATAAATAAAATCGTTAAAAAAAAAAAAAAAGAAATAATTTAGATCAGAATCATGACTTAGGTTGGAACTATAACAGTAAGAGGGAAATGGAGAATCTAAGCTAAAATCTGTATGGTTCCAGCCGACGTATCATTTCCCTCCAAGTACACAGATAACTGGGGAAAGGGAACAGAGGGATCAATAGTGAGGTGAGTTATCTACTCTGACAGCTTTGAGATTCGTTAAAGCCTAACTTATCTTAGAATTGATATCTGCAATATTATTTTTACCATGTGTTTGAGTATGCTTATTATCATAATAATTATATTTGTTCAAACGTAAGATAAAAGTTTTCATTTGAAACATGAAAGCCTTGGTTTCCCTTAGATATTGGATCAGAGAGGTACACTTTCAGTTTTACCATTCGGGACTCACCAACCCATTTTGTAAATGCAACGTCCTGGGGCAGCGAAGGTTACATCAGGTCGCTTTCTGACAGCTTTAGGGTTGGCGAGTGCGGTAAGTTGGCATTGGTTCTGGGACTGTTTCTATTATAGTATTATTCCTGTGATATATTTGTGGGAACTACACTGAGGGAGTCAAAGTAAGACACAATTTATAATTTTTTTTTTTATTAAAAGATTTTATTTATTTATTTGAGAGAGAGAATGAGAGAGAGCACATGAGAGGGGGGAGGGTCAGAGGGAGAAGCAGACTCCCCGCCGAGCAGGGAGCCTGATGCGGGACTTGATCCAGGAACTCCAGGATCATGACCTGAGCCGAAGGCAGTCGCTTAACCAACTGAGCCACCCAGGCGCCCGACACAATTTATAATTCTTAAGAAAGTTATCAGAAAAAAGTCAGGCATTGAGAGAATAACACAAACATTCAGCATTTTATTGCTTGAAACATATAAATGTGATTGTTACATATTTTTACTAGGTAGCTTTATGATCTTTGGTTTTTTTCGTATTTCAGTTTGCATCAATTCTTGTTGCTATCACCATTTATCTTTCAGTAAACATAATAAGGCTGCTAAATAGCTTTTGATAAAAGAAAATATTTGAATTTTTAGTAGGAGTTTAAGAAGCTTTACTTTCAAAATACCAAATCTTTGGCATCCTTTACCCATCCCAGGATCCTTCTGATGGTACAGTGTCGTATAAAAAAACCAGGGCTTTGAAAATGGATAGAACGGATTCAGATCCTACTTCCAATATTTGTTTACATCATGGCTTTGAGAAAAGTGCTTAACCTTGTTGAGCCTCAACTATGAATGAGCACCCTACAGATTTTGTGGGTGTCAAAGGAGGTAGTAGGCCTGGTATGAAGTGTAGAAAGTTTTCATTCCATGGATGGCAGCACTAGCCTCATACTGGAAACAAGAAAGCACGATACCAGCTCTCTTTTGTGGTAGAAAAAAGAAGGGCAAGAGTAATGCACATAATTAAACCACTCTCCAAAACTGCACAGTTAGGCAGGTTATTACCTGTCCCTGTCACTTAGCACCTACTCATACATTTAATGCCTCATATTATGAACTTGCAGGGTTGTGTGTTGTTTCTCTCTAACTGAATAATAAGGTACTTGAACATATGGACTGTGAAGGCAGAAAACTTTGTAAACTTCACAGGGCCCAGTACTACTAGAAACATTCTTTGGATGAATGCCAGTGTGATAGTTATATGGAGCTAAAGATATATTTTGGTATTAAACTATAGGTTGATGGTTGTGAGGATGAATGAGGTAAGGGATCTTAAAAGCACAAAGTTGGCAATAATTTTAAATCTAAATAGGATCTTAGTGTGGAGGTGTGTAAAGATTACAGATTTTTGATTCAGAACAACTATAAGTCTAGCCCTACTAGTTTCTAGATATAAAACCTCCAGCAAGTTATTTAACCTCTGTGAACTTCAATTTCTTCATTTGTAAAAAGGGGTAATCATGGAATAGTTATGTGAGGAATCAGCAAAACAGACACAAAAAGGTCTGACAAGACCATAAGGAAACAGAACCCTTAAAATGTTTAGCCATAAGCCGATAAGTTGTGGAGCTGGAATCTGGAGCCAGATTGTGCATGGCTCTTTCTGCCCCAATGGCTGTTGTTTCCAAAGGCAGCCGTGAATTGGGTGAAGTTCATTTAAAGTATATGTTTTATGGAAGGGCAGGTCGTAACCAGATCACATGTTCAGTGTAACTAATCAATTAAACAATATTAATGCAGGTCATATGTTGGGATTTAAAGACAAAACATAAGAAATGTCATCTGGGATCAAATTGATGGTCAGACCCAAGGATTCTGAGGATTCCGTGTCTCAGTGACACAAGGAGAGGACTGGGAAGGATATGTTACGCTGACTCAGAAATTAGAAATAACATTGTAATGTTCGTCGTGATGTATACTTGTTTTTACGTATCTAGTTACTTTTTGTAATAGCATCATACTTTTCCTTCTGTTGCAGTGATAATTGAAAATCCCCTGATTCAAAGAAAGGAATTAGAAAGAGAAGAAAAATTCAGCCCTGCAACTCCTGGGTAAATAATCCAGCACAGAGCCAACAGCCTTTGTTGTGTCTGTGTGTCAGATTAGCGGAGAATTTACTGAGGGTATATGCTTCAATTTGAAAAATAGGAGTTTAATTCTTCCTCACAGTATTTACCTTTGATTATGAAATAATTTATGTTGATATAGGATTACGTGAAAACATGGCTGTTTTTAGTACTTTTATTCTCAGATTTAGAAAAAAATTTTTTTTTTTTAAAGATTTTATTTATTTGAGAGAGAGAGCACATGAGAGAGGGGAGGGTCAGAGGGAGAAGCAGACTCCCTGCTGAGCAGGGAGCCCAATGCGGGACTCGATCCCGGGACTCCAGGATCATGACCTGAGCCAAAGGCAGTCGCTTAACCAACTGAGCCACCCAGGCACCCTAGAAAAATTTGCCTCTAGTCACATTAAAGCTGAGCAATGAGAAAGATAAATCTTGGAAGTCCTATAGATGTATCATGTCAAAGTAAAACTCTGCCTACATGCCTTCCTATCTTAGTTCAGGTTCACTGGAGGCAGAGCTGAGAGGAGGATTTTTGTGTAAGTGGTTTGTTGAGGGAGAGCTCTCTGGAACAGCCTGTAAGGATAAGATCAGGGGACAGCAGAGAGGCAGGTTCAGCGGGAGCCCAGCTCAGCCCGCCTGGCCCCAGGGCGAGCTCTGGAGCATGAGTGGCACCATGCCACTGAAGGTGAGGGGACTGGGCTTTTGTGGCCTGGATTCACAAGTTATTGGCTACGTCCACTCCCCACCACTGGCATTTCTGCCTGAGGGCAACTCTCCAGAGCAAGGTGACACTGGTAAAGGGCTCTGAGTGGGGCACAGCAGTCTCCCATTTCGACCCCTTCCCACCTACTGTTCTGACCTCATAGCAGACCCCAAGTTTCATTTCTGTGCTGCCACACAGATTCCTCTCTACCCTGTGAACACCCTGGGCTCATTCTGCACTGTCGGCTTTTGCACACTCACTTCCCTCTGCACAGAACAGTCTTCTCCCATCTGCTTTGTTTGCTCCTTCTCCTCATTGATGTGTCACTTTGTATGAAACCTCCTCAGTCCTTCTCCATTTACTCTGTGTGTAGTGGCCTTTCCAGTCCGTCACTAGGACTTTGCCCTGTGCTGTTATCGTCATAACCCACTGTCTGAGATTATTTGATTAATTGTTGTCTGTTTCCCTCTCACACATGTGAACTCCATGACAGCAAAGGTCTTGTCCGTCTTCTTCACCACTGTATTCCCTGTGCCTAGACTAGGTTCTGGCACATACTAGCTCTTGGTAGATATTGACGGAATGAATGGATAAATGGATGGAGAGAGGGAGGAAGGGTGGGGGCGAAGAGCGTTCTTGGCAGAGGGAACAAATATGAAACCTCCTGGCCTTTTCCAGAACAGTTAACAGTAGGTTGAACCATGTGAAACTGTTGACATTTGACTATTTTTGGTCTAAAACTGTCAGTTTCATAGTCCAGTAGTCTGATATGGCTGGGCTTTAGGGCAAGGGCAGGGGAGCAGTGGAAGGAAAAGCTTGAGAGAGAAGCAGAGACGCTTCCCAGACAGCTTTGCCTGGCATACCAACTTCATTCTTTGCCAGTGGCTAGCCCAGAAGGTCTTTGAGCTGGGAAATAGTATGTCCATATTTGTGGTTTAGGACAATCATTTCAGCAACCTGAGTGGGGAGGGAAGCTTAGGAGACAAGATAGTAGTTCAGGTGAGAAGTGATGAGGGAAACACCTAACGAAGTAGCAGGGGGAGGCGCGGGAGGAAGGCCTGGGTTAGAGGGTTGGAAAGAGGCTCCATGAGGGGACTTGGGAGTTGATTGGCTGGAGGGGGAAGAACACGTTGATTGGAGTTCAGTGTGTAGATATTGGGCATCTACTGCACAGAGAGCATCACAGGAGGAAGTCAAGCACTGTCCTGATGCAGGCAGGGCAGTCAGTGTCACAGGGGCAGAAATGACGGGATACCCCCACCCTGACATATTAGAGGGCTTTTATTTATTTATTTATTTATTTATTTATTTATTTATTTATTTATTTTTAAGACTTTATTTATTTATTTGACAGAGAGAGACACAGCGAGAGAGGGAACACAAGCAGGGGGAGCGGGAGAGGGAGAAGCAGGCTTCCCGCTGAGCAGGGAGCCCGATGCGGGGCTCGATACCAGGACCCTGGGATCATGACCTGAGCCGAAGGCAGACGCTTAACGACTGAGCCACCCAGGCGCCCCTAGAGGGCTTTTATACTCCTGTTTTACAGAGAAGAAAACTGAAGCTCAGAGTTCGGGGCATGGTGAGAAACTAGTAAGCTTAGAACTCAGGCACAAATTGGTCCTCAAAACATTTTCTTAATGAAAATACATTTTTTTTTACTTATTTATTTTTTAAAGATTTTATTTATTTATTTGACAGAGAGACAGCGAGAGAGGGAACACAAGCAGGGGGAGTGGGAGAGGGAGAACTGGGGGAGTGGGAGAGGGAGAAGCAGGCTTCCCACTGAGCAGGAGCCCGATGTGGGGCTCGATCCCAGGACCCTGGGATCATGACCTGAGCCGAAGGCAGACGCTTAACTGACTGAGCCACCCAGGTGCCCTGAAAATACATTTTATTATTTTATTATTTTTATTTTATTTTATTTTTATTTTTAGATTTTATTTATTTATTTGACAGAGAGAGAGAGCAAAAGTGGGGGGGCAGAGGGAGAAGCAGGCTCCCCACTGAGCAGGGAGCCCGATGCGATGCGGGGCTCAATGGACCATAGGATCATGACCTGAGATCATGACCTGATCATAACCTGAGCTGAAGGCAGCCGCTTAACCGACTGAGCCACCCAGGCACCCCTGAAAATACATTTTAGACAAAAAAAAAATATTTCACAACAGTTTTCAATGTTTCTCAGAGTAAAAAATATAAATTTTCTTAATATAGTCTAAATCACAACCAAAAAGATAATTTAATGTGAATCTGGAAGTATTTTTCTATTAGAAAGTCACTTGATATTAATTGTTTTTGTATGTTTTTGCAATTTAGCAACTATAAACTATTGCTCAGTGAGAATCACTCCACGGTAAAAATTTGTTCCAGTTACCAAGTGGACACCAAGCTCCTTGCTTTGATATACTTACCTGTTAAAGAGTCTCGTGATTTTTATTCATTGGGTGACATTGTTGCAAATGGATGCAGTCTGGATGGGAGGATTATTAACGTGCTTGCGGCGGTGAGGTCGGTAAGTTAAAGCCTCAACAAAGCCACCCTCTCTTTGGTGGGCAGTCCTATCACTTCCCTTCTGTTTGGAAAGTCATAACCAGCTGGAGTCAATTTTCTTGATCCATAGTAACTTGAATTAAGAAAATGGTGGCACTTCTCATCAATGTCAGAGGAGCAGTTTATCTGGGAATGAATAGCAAAATAAAATTGAATTTGAATGTTAAATGCAGCACACTCCTAAATGATCTACTAACTGTGAGAGCTTTGCATACTTCGGTGAAACAAAGACACAAGTGGAAAGGGTAAATTCATGGACTTGAAGATTTGCATGGAGTTTCTCGAGGGGATGTAAGTTGGAGGACTCATGGAGTCCACTCATGTGTGTGCTCAGAGGTGTCCTGAGATGGGCGTGGGCATACCCATCGTGTGGCTGGCGTGACCTCGTGCAGGCATCATGGGGCCCTGGGGAGCCTCCCAACAACCCGTACACCATCACCTCCCTCTTACACAGTTGCTGCAGTGAGTTTCAAACTTTGTTGGACAGACTGGTCACTTGGCAGACATTCAGAGGTAGATCTCAAAAGTACAGTTTCACAGACACAAAAAAGTACATGGAGAAAATTAAAGGGGCAGGACCAATTCCTCAACGTGGGGAGTGAGGATAGTCAGAGACCACATACAAAAGCGTGAAATGTTGTAAGTAATTGCTCATTGCTTTTCTGTATTAAATGACAGTGTCAACTCTCCCTGTTGACAGGCCTATGACGGTGGAGGCCACGACTGCTTTATTGTCCACCCTAGCCCCAGCCTAGCCCAGTGCCCAGCACAGTGAGCATTCAGTGTAATTCAGGACAGAGGAATAAATTCCCTCCGTGACAGTCTTGAACAATACGAGAAATCACTTTCTAGGCAATTTAGCTTCAATCTTACATAAAAGCAGGATATTATCTTGATTTCCCTGCAGTTCTATACAATGCCATTATATTACAATGTAGTTAGAATTTTCTCAAACTCAGTATAAGCAAAAGCCTGCGACAGCATTTTCCACTTCCCCGGCCATGAGTCTGGCACGCTCTTTTGTAGGAAGACATGACTTCTTGTGTGTATGTCTTTCTTCTACCATTTTGCTTCCATCCCTCTTACATTTCCTTTTCTTCACATTTTTGTTTAGCCCTTTCTCTCTTCCTTCTCACCTTCTCTCTCTCTTCACGTTAGAATCCTCTTCATAGAATTCTCTTGTGTGCTGGGATATGTCAGACCTCTGTCATACTCTGGCTGTCCTTTCCTCTGACTTTCTTTCTAGATCCTGCTTTTGTGCAGGCAGCTGCAAGTCTTCCTTCAGCTCCTTCCCCTGGAGCTCAGCTCTGAAGGAATGCAGTGGTGACAGCAGCATAAGGGGGCAGCCAGCTGACCAGGCTTGGGCCACTGTTACGCAGCTGGCAGAGGGGCCTGCTCTTCCCTTTGAGAACTCGCTGTGGGTACAGAAGGACCTCTGAGTTTACTCCCACTTCCATGATCCTCTTACCCCATGTGGGTCAAGCTAGACGGTGTGTCAAGGTGGCCTCCCGTACGTCCCTCATTTGGTCTTCACCACCTTATTCCCACGGAGGGAGCAAAGAAGGCATTGGATCCTACCTGTGCCAGCAAGCTGAGGATGCTGAGGTGTAGGAAGACTGAGTTCTTCCAGTCACATATACTCCATGCCAGGCTCTGCGCTAAGCCATGGGTGTCACAGATGTTGAAAATATATTTTCCATCCTTAGTGAGTCCACCTAGATGCCGTACGGGGGCTTGTCATGGAGCATTGTTTCTGACATGTTGAAAAGACCCCACAGTCTTTTTTTTTTTTTTTAAAGATTTTATTTATTTATTTGAGAGAGAGAGAATGAGAGACAGAGAGCATCAGAGGGAGGAGGGTCAGAGGGAGAAGCAGACTCCCTGCCGAGCAGGGAGCCCGATGCGGGACTCGATCCCGGGACTCCAGGATCATGACCTGAGCTGAAGGCAGTCGCTTAACCAACTGAGCCACCCAGGCGCCCCAACCCCACAGTCTTAAAGCACATATTTTTGTCTCTTCCTTCAATCAAAGTGTGTAACTTACAAATTCAGCTAAAGACACCTAATTTAGAAATAGATGCTTTTAAAGCCTTCAAATATATATTAGTGAATAGCAAATATATTGCTATTTTGATTTTTTAATTAGCTGTTTAAAAGGTAAACATTTGAATGTTTCCACCGATAAACATTTATGTACCTCTACAACTGTAGGTGAAGAATAATGATTTCCTTCAATTTCTAAGGTTGGAGAGCCAAAATACTTTACAACTTCAGACCGGAGAAAAGGCCAGAGGTGTGAGGTGAAGCTCTATGATGAGACAGAGTCTTCTTTTGCAATGATATGGTAACTTCCTACATCTGTTCCAAACCGTGAAATCCCTGCTGTTAGCACCAAGACAGAATATTTTTATTTTATGAAAAAGATGATGGATTTCATAGTAGGAGAGGAATAATGATGGAAGAGAAATCATTATTAAAAAGGAAACCTTGCTCTTGTACACTGAGCGTTACAGTCTGTGCTGTAAGATTACCTTAAAATGAGCTCTTTGGACAGCACAGGATTATTTGGATGGACTCCACGATGACTGGTTCATTCCTGTCCTCTGCTTTATAACAGTGTGATTCATTAGGTCCCATTGGTAATGAACCAGCCAGATTCTCTGTGATTGCTGGGGTAATGCCCTGGAGTCAGGCCACAGGAATATGGTGGAAAAATATCCTGAAGCACCGCAGGGTAGAACATGGCATTGTTCAGACTCCAGATTTGAAGTGAATTTGAAACAGGCCTTCAACCCATCAAGTCCCCTGAACAGTTTATCCAATTCAGGGCCCTCTCTTAGTGGTCTGACAGAGTGGTTGTAAAGGCTTTGGATTTGTAGTCACTTGGTTCTAACTAGCCTGGAGCAACCTAAGTAGTGGGGAAAGAAGGAACTGATGAGGCAGAAGTTGTCAAAGATGAATAGTGTCTAAGGATTGACTTATCACATGGACGTGAAATGCCCTGTGAAATAGACAGTGAATCCTGCAAAACACAGGAGAAGCCAACATCCTTCACTTGTGCCTTTGACAACTTGGGCAATTGTTAACTCCAGCCATTAAGACATTCTTTTTTTGGCAAATAATGTGGTCACTGCCACTTTTTTCTAACATATTCACTTTTTTACTTCTTTTTTAAAATACGCAGTTGGGATAATGAATCTATCCTGGTTGCACAGAGCTGGGTGCCACGAGACACAGGTATGATACTGCAATGATTGTGTTCACTGTTTATCATTTTTTAAACCCCCTTCCACATAAAAGTTGTAAAATGTCTTTTTTCCCCCTAAACAGTAATATTTGCCTCAGACGTAAAAATAAGTTTTGACAAATTTCGGAACTGCATGACAGCAACTGTAATCTCAAAAACCATTATTACGACTAATCCAGGTAAAAGGCCATCTGAAATGTTGTGTCCCTTTGGAAATGACTATGTCACACATTTCAGTGTTTGTACAATGTATTTAAGAATGAAACCAAGGGGTGCCTGGGTAGCTCAGTTGGTTGGGCGTCTGACTCTTTTTTTTTTTTTTTTTTTTTAAGATTTTATCTATTTGACAGAGAGAGAACAGCGAGAGAGAGAACACAAGCAGGGGGAGTGGGAGAGGGAGAAGCAGGCTCCCCGCCAAGCAGGGAGCCCAATGTGGAGCTCCATCCCAGGACCCTGGGACCATGACCCGAGCCGAAGGCAGACGCTTAATGACTGAGCCACCCAGGCACCTGGGCGTCTGACTCTTCTTTTGGCTCGGGTCATGGTCTCTGAGTTGTGGGATTAGCCCCAGTCGGGCCCAGAGTCTACTTAGGATTCTCCCCCTCTCCTTCTGCCCCTCTCTCCTCACTCACACATGCATGTGTACACACTTTTTTGCTAAAAAAAAAAAAAAAAAAGACAAAGCTTGGATTTCATTTGAATTAAAAGTGAAAGTTGCTTTATATGCTTTACATTTATATTTCTTTTTTTTCTTTTTAAATATTTATTTATTTGACAGAGAGAGACACAGTGAGAGAGGGAACACAAGCAGGGGAAGGGGAGAAGCAGGCTTCCCGCGGAGCAGGGAGCCCGATGTGGGGCTTGATCCCAGGACCCTGGGACCATGATCTGAGCCGAAGGCAGACGCCTAACGACTGAGCCACCCAGGCGCCCCTATATTTCTTTTTTTTTTTTTTAGATTTTATTTATTTATCTGTCAGAGAGTGTGCACAAGCAGGGGAGCGGCAGGCAGAGGGAGAAGCAGGCTCCTTGCTGAGCAGGGAGCCTAATGCAGGACTTGATCCCAGGACTCTGGGATCCTGACCTGAGCTGAAGGCAGACGTGTAACTGAATGAGCCACCCAGGTGTCCCTTTACATTTATATTTCTTAAACTTACAGTGAGCTATATCTTTGATGTCCTTACTAAAGAAAAGAAATGTGAAAAACCAGACTCATTTTTATTTTTAAAATTATTTATTTATTTATTTGAAAGAGAGAGAGAGAGAAATAGCAAGCACGAGCAGGGGAGAGGGGCAGAGGCAGAGGGAGAAGCCGACTCCCACTGAGCAGGGAACCCAACTCAGGACTCGATCCCAGGACCCCGGGATCATGGCCTGAGCTGAAGGCAAATGCTTAACCGACTGAGCCACCCAGGCACCCCCAGACTCATTTTTAAAGCATCATCCCTTGTGATGATTCTGGTGAGATCAATGTAATTGATTGGATCACCTAAATTATTGACTATTTTATTTTTTAAAAGATTTTATTTATTTATTTATTTGACAGAGAGAGAGAGACAGCAAGAGCAGGAACACAAGCAGGGGAGTGGGAGAGGGAGAAGCAGGCATCCCACTGAGCAGGGAGCCCGATGTGGGGCTTGATCCTAGGACCCTGGGACCATGATCTGAGCTGAAGGCAGACGCTTAACGACTGAGCCACCCAGGCGCCCAATTACTATTTTAAAAATAAGTACAGTTTTACTGTATTCAAATAACTTAGTACTGGAACACGGAGAACATACATGTCACATCATTAGTTCATATCATAACAAAATGCCCAGAAGGCCCACCAGAGTGGTTATTGAAAGGAATTATAGCTTATTCCAACATGCAGTCTGGGAAACAGGGTCTGGGGAGACGTGAGGGGTTGGTGACCTTAAATATCCTCACAGTCCTCTGTACTGCAGATAGAGAGATGAGTTCAGCACCGTGGAAGAATGCAGAATTCCCGTGGTCCTTCCCAACCTCAGGAAGATGGAACTGTAATAGTGGGTCATTTCTGACAATAGCTCCCTCTGCTGGTTTCTAACAAAGCATCAACAGTGACTGATTTTTATTTTATTTTTTTTTAAAGATTTTATTTGACAGAGTGAGCAAATGAGCATGACCAGGGGAGAGGGGCAGAGGGAGAGGGAGAAGCAAGCTCCCAGCTGAGCAAGGAGCCCGACATGGGATTCGATCCCAGGACCTGAGATCATGACCTGAGCCGAAGGCAGACACTTCACCGACTGAGCCAGCCAGGTGCCCCTACAGTGACTGAGAATTACAAAGCAATTTTATGTCTTAGGCCAAACCATTATCAGAATTTTTTAAAGTAGCATTGCTATGAGATATGACATAAAATGACAAAACTCTGTACTACATAAGTGCACTAGACCTTGTGCATCCACCGAACACCATGTCCCTGAAAGTGGCATCATGGAAGGTGATGTGACATGCACATGCTGTGTGCAGGGCATCGTCCTGGGGGCTAGTGACAAAACACAAATTTCTCTGCCCATGTGAAGCTCACATTCTAGCAGGAGAGACACGGATGATAAACGATAAAGATAACACATCTGTGAATTATGAAATATTGAAGAAGAAAAAGAGGAACAGGGTCAGGAGAGTCCAGGGTGACATGGTATATAGGGCAGGTTGCACTTTACAGAGGGTAGTCAGGTAGGCCTCCTTGGGAAGGTGACATTTGAGCAAAGACGTGATGAGGCAGTGGGGGGTTAACCCGGGAAAGAGCACCAGGCCCTTAGTACTGAAACAGCCAGTGCAAAGGCCCAGAGGTTGGCATGTGCCTGTGTGAGGGCAGAACAGCAAGGAGGCCAGTGTGGCTGGAGCTCATGGAGCACGGGCAGGAGGAGGAGTCAAGGTCAGAGGAGAAGGGTAGGTGTCAAGAAGGCCTTACAGGCTAATGAAAGAATGTTGGCTTTTACTCTGTAGCAAAGGGTTTGGAACAGAGCAGTGGACATTTTCTAAGTACTGAAAGGATCACTCTAGCTGCTTTGTTGTAAATTGATGGTGACACAACCACAATCTATTCTCAACATTTGGGACAAGAGTGCCACTCTTCAATTCCTTTTTTTTTTTTTTTTTTGAGGGGCGTACTATGGTTTATTATTTTTAATAACTCATTAATATTAATAGTTTTGTTAGTATTATATAGAGTAATGTCAATGATTTTATTTTATTTTTTTTTAAAGATTTTATTTATTTGACAGAGAGACAAAGCGAGAGAGGGAACACAAGCAGGGGGAGCGGGAGAGGGAGAAGCAGGCTTCCCGGGGAGCAGGGAGCCCGATGTGGGGCTCGATCCCAGGACCCTGGGACCATGACCTGAGCCAAAGGCAGACGCTTAACGACTGAGCCACCCAGGTGCCCCAGGCCTGGGAAAATTTCTAAAAGACAATTGGATTTGTCTGTTGGAAAAGGTTATCAAGCTTGATAGGACGCTTGTATCAATAACTCAAGGCTAAGTTAATGAAACACATATTCAGTGGATGTTATCTGTTTGATTCTGAACACAGCCTGAAAGGGGAAATGCCAACAGCATTAGAATAAATGCCTGTTTCTCTAAGAGACAAAGGAGAGTACTTACAAGGGTGCGTGAATTTTAATGTGCTTCTTTAAATCAGCCTTGTTTGTAACTTCCTGGGCTACACCCACCAAGTACAAACTAAAAACCTCCAATGGCTTAAGCTTTCATCCTAGCTTTCGTTATGGCTTTCTCTGCCCCAAAGAGTGTCCATCAGACAGTCCCGGATAACCTTGTCGTCAGGAGGGATCTTTACAGCAGTGCCTGCAGGAAGCCCCGGGGTTTTATTTCCGCAGCCTCACTCCAGCACCTGCTCCTGTCTGGTGTGCAGCACGTCTGTCAGTGGTTCAAAAACATCCACTCATTCACTCATTAAGTTACAGATATCTCTTGAATGCCTTTTATTTGCCAAGTACTGAGATAACATAAGTCCTTTCAGGAACAAGGCAGGACACGATAGGTAGATGGCCAGATGAGTAGGACAGTTGCTATATTAGGTACTGGAACTACAGAGCTAAAGAGGCAGACCCCTGCTCACAAGGGGCTTCAGTCTAGTTATGTGAAAGAACAGTGGTTAGATGCAGGGTTGGATGGGAGAGAGGAAGAAGCCCCTGCCTTTGCCCCAGGGGTCAGGGGGCCAGGGGTAAAAGCACCAGCACGTTTGCAGAATGTCAGAGTGGGTGAGGGAAGGCTGAAAGGCCATCAAGCGTTGGAGGCCGGGGGGCTTGAGGTTGAAGGGTGTCAGAGTCACATGGGAGCCCTTTTTCAAAATCACATTCTTGCCTTTGGCCACACCATCTGACTATTCCTGAGAATACTTGTGTCCCAAGTCAAGCAGCAAGGCTTTCAAATACACTTAAATTTTTTTTTTCTGCTTAGAAAAGAAATACATAGAAAATTCAGAAAATACATAATAGCAAAAAGGGAAAACAATGAGCACCTATAATCTTACCATCTTATAAGAGAATCATTTCTTTGGTGTATACTCTTCCAGATAATTTTGCATACCTATGTATATATATGTTTTTTTTAATTGAGAGGAAATTGCACCAGGTCGTTCTATAAGCTGCTCTTTAACAATATCTGGTGTATGTCTCTTCATTTAGTAGACTACCACGTCACATGGCTGTTTGGCTGCATAATAGTCTATTTGACTATGTTTATATATGTCTTCACTTTTACCATTAAAAATAATATTGGATCGGGGCGCCTGGGTGGCTCAGTTGGTTGAGCGACTGCCTTCGGCTCAGGTCATGATCCTGGAGTCCCTGGATCGAGTCCCGCATCGGGCTCCCTGCTCGGCGGGGAGTCTGCTTCTCCCTCTGACCCTCCCCCCTCTCATGTGCTCTCTCTCTCTCATTCTCTCTGTCTCAAATAAATAAATAAAATCTTAAAAAAAAAAATATTGGTTCATTCACAGCTATTTAAAAAGTAATCAGGGTCGCCTGGCTGGTTCAGTGGTTAAGTTTCTGACTCTTGATTTCGGCCCAGGTCTTGATCTTAGGGTCATGAGATCAAGCCCTGCCTCTGGCTCCATGCTTAGCATGGAGTCTGCTTGAGATTCTTACGTAAGTAAGTAAATAAATAAATAAAATCAATCTTGGGGTGGCTGGGTGGTTTAGTCAGTTGAGCAGCTGACTCTTGATTTCAGCTCAGGTCATGATCTCAGGGTCCTCAGATGGAGCCCCATGTTGGGCTCTGCACTTAGTGGGGAATCTGCTTGGGACTCCCTCTCCCTCTCCCTCTCCCTCTGCCCCTCCCCCCTGCTTACCTGTGTGCTCTCTCTCAAAGAAATTGTTTAAAAAAATAAAAAGTTATCAGTTGCTTTTCACTTATTATGCATCTTTTATTTAAGATACCCCAGAAGCTAACATCCTATTGAATTTTATAAGAGAAAATAAAGAAACAAATCCTCTGGATGATGAGATTGACAGTTACTTGAAAGAATCTGTAAATTGTAAGTGACCTTTAAATCTTATTTTTGTTTTACATAGTAAAAGATACCATATTCTTATCCTGTAACTGCTATATTTCCACTTTTTAAAAGGTAGTTTAAAACTTTTAGAGGTTTTGGGGCACCTGGGTGGCTCAGTCAGTTGGGCGTTGACTCTTGGTTTTGGCTTGGGTCGTGATCTTGGGGTTGTGGGATCAGGCTGCATGTGGGGCTCTGCACTCAGTGCGGAGTCTGCTTAGGATTCTCTGCCTTTCCCTTTCCCTCTGCTCCTCCCTCTGCCCCCACACACTCTCACTCTCTCTGGAATAAATAAATAAACAAATAATCTTTAAACTTTTAGAGGCTTCTATAACCTTTTGCCAATCTGATGGAAGTTAAAATTGAGCTGATTGCCTTTTACTTATTAATTTTTTTTAGATATATATATATTTTAAACATTTTATTTATTTATTTGACAGAGAGAGATACAGCGAAAGAAGGAACACAAGCAGGGGGAGTGGGAGAGGGAAAAGCAGGCTCCCTGACGAGCAGGGAGCCTGATGTGGGGCTCAATCCCAGGACTCCGGGATCATGACCTGAGCCGAAGACAGACGCTTAATGACTGAACCACCCAGGCGACCCTCTTATTAATTTTTAAGAATTATTTATATATTCTGGATATGAGTCCTTTGTCTCCTTTAAAGATTGCTAGCATCTCCCACGCTGATGGTTGCCTTCCCATTCTTTTAATGGCATCTTCCAATGACCACAAAGTCTTTATTGACATAAAATGAACTAAATTTCTCATTCTTTTCCCTTTTTTGCTTGTTTTTGCTGTTATGTCCATTTACACAATCAGTTTCAATATAGCAAATGTAATAATTTTTCTGTTGCTCAACTGAAGCTATTACGTGTTCTCATTTGAACTTTATAGCTTTTTCTATTTGGATATAATCCTTTGGCATTCTTAGAATATATAGAGAGCTGTAATAACTACTTTTTATTTTTAGTAAATACAATAGTTGATGTCTATACAGTTGAGCAATTAAAGGTAAAAGCTTCAAAGAACGAAGGGAAGGCTGACCCTTTCTACGGCATTCTTTATGCTTACATTTCTACGCTGAACATTGATGATGACAGCACAATAGTAGTTCGACACCGATGGTAAGCAGCCTGTATTGTCAGCAAATTCATTCTTGTAAGAAATAAAGACCAACTATTGTTAATAAATTTTAAGCTCTATTAAAGTTAAAGCTATTCTTTGACATAATAGTTGTTATGTATTTTAAAGAAATGTATAAATAAATAACCCATACTGAAGTTTCCAAGGCACACTATGTAGATTCAAAGGTTATAATTACCTGTTAAAGTAAAATTTGATTTCCTGTGTTTCTGCAATCCTAAAATATAAAGACAGAATGCTGCCAGAAACTTTTTTTTTTTAAAGATTTTATTTATTTATTTGAGAGAGAGAGAATGAGAGAGACATAGAGCACATGAGAGGGGGGAGGGTCAGAGGGAGAAGCAGGCTCCCCGCTGAGCAGGGAGCCCGATACGGGACTCGATCCCAGGACTCCAGGATCATGACCTGAGCCGAAGGCAGTCGCCTAACCAACTGAGCCACCCAGGCACCCTGCCAGAAACTTTTTAAAGATTTTATTTATTTGAGAGAAAGAGAACATGAACAGGGGGGAGGGGCAGAGGGAGAAGCAGACTCCCCACTGAGCAGGGAGCCCGATGTGGGACTCGATCCCAGGACCCTGGAATCATGACCTGAGCTGAAGGCAGGTGCTTCACCGACTAAGCCACCCAGGCGCCCCTGCTGCCAGAAACTTTTAACTGAGATGACAAACTGTTGTTTTATATTAGAATATTATTTTGGGGGGCACCTGGGTGGCTCAGTTGGTTAAGCAACTGCCTTCGGCTCAGGTCATGATCCTGGAATCCCGGGATCGAGTCCCGCGTCGGGCTCCCTGCTCAGTGGGGAGTCTGCTTCTCCCTCTGCCCCTCCCCCCTGTTCATGCTCTCTTTCTCTCAAATAAATAAAATCTTTAAAAAGTTTCTGGCAGGGTGCCTGGGTGGCTCAGTTGGTTAGGCGACTGCCTTCGGCTCAGGTCATGATCCTGGAGTCCTGGGATCGAGTCCCGTATCGGGCTCCCTGCTCAGCGGGGAGCCTGCTTCTCCCTCTGACCCTCCCCCCTCTCATGCTCTCTCTATCTCATTCTCTCTCTCTCTCAAATAAATAAATAAAATCTTTAAAAAAAAAAAGAATATTATTTTGGTTGCCATGTCCTATAGCAATGCAAGGGACAGCATTTAAAAAAAAATTATTTTCAGCCACATGGTGAATATGATTTACAGCCTTTCCTAGGTCAAAGTTAGTATCTACTTTTTTATAAAGGAAACCCCAGGGATTTAATAATATTAGCTGAAAGATGCTTGGCAAGAAACATCTAAAATGTTACTGTGAAATTCTACGAATTTTTGTAATTGAAAATTTTACTGAGGGGCACCTGGGTGGCTCAGTCAGTTAAGCATCTGACTCTTGAATTCAAGTCTTAACCTCAGGGTTGTGAGTTCAAGCCCCATGTTGGGCTCTGTGTTGGGCATGGAGCCTACTTAAAAAAAAAAGAAAAAACTTATTGAGATAGTTCTAGATTCACATGGAGTTGTAAAAAATAATACAGAGAGGGGCACCTGGGTGGCTCAGTCAGTTGGGCCTCTGCCTTTGCCCCAGTCATGATCCTGGGGTCCTGGGATTGAGCCTGATGTCAGGCTCAAGGAGCCTGCTTCTCCCTCTCCCTCTGCCATTCCCCAAGCTTGTGCTCTCTGGCTCTATCTCTTGCTCAAATAAATAAATAAAAATCTTAAAAAATAGAGAGAACCCACATACACTTTATCCACTTTCTCCCAATGGTAACATTTTATGAAACTATAGTATTACATCATAGCCAGGATACTGACATTATTTCAATTTGGTGATTTTATTGAAATTTCACCACATTGACATGCAGTCGTGTGTGTGTGTGAAGTTCTATATGGTTTTATCACATATGCAGGTTTGTGTATCTACCACCAAAGTCAAGATATTGACATAGATTTTGAAAACATTTTATGATTTGGTATTAAAATTGAAAAAACCAATGTGGAGGCTGCTGTGTAAGTCAAGTGTTTATTTTTTGAAAAACATTTTTCAAAAACTTTTGGAAAATTTTATTGTCTCCCTAATTTTTTCCTATATCTTTAATATTGATATCTGAGGAAAAGCGTCTGAAATTTACCTTAAAAGTGATCTGTGCCCAGACAGGAAAGCACTATTTCAGATCACACCCTCTACTTGAGAAATTTAAGTTAGTCTTTCTGTCCAAATTGGCTAATGTAAGACCTGCCTCAAAATATGGAATAGCATGTAATCACCCCTTAGAGGGAGAAGTGTGTGTCACTAGCAGTACTAAGAGCATTTTGGGTGTGAACCTGACCAACCCTAGGATTCTTCTGTCAATGTGCCGAAGCCTAGCACAGAAGCATCAAGCGAGCATTCATGGACCTCAGGCTTTCTAGGCACACGACAGGACTCCTCCCTCGGAACCCTGAGCCGGGGAGACTAGGTGGACATACCCGCAGTAGCGAGGAATAGGATGGGACAGGGCAGAGGTGGGGCTAAGGCATCAGTTCTGTGGCTGTTGGGAGCCGGGAAGGGGTGAAGGAAAGGAGCCCTAGCAGGGGTAGGGTAGGACGCAGGGCGGTATAAATGGGATTAATTGTATGTTGTGTTGTTCCTCATTTCGTATGTCTGTCTGGCATCCTACACCGCGCTGAGCACTCTGAAGTTACTCTGATTTAGACTAGGGATCAGGTTGGTCATTTATGGCCTTCACATTTTATCCTTGTCTTTGTTTCTTTTCAGCTCCGGCTGTGGTTATGTTGTAAAGGAAGCATCCAGCACTTGTACTGCTTGCAACAAAGATTCTTTGGAATTTAAATCTGTTTTTCTCAGCTTCCACTTGCTAATTGACCTCACTGACCACACAGGTACCCTCCATGCCTGCAGTCTTACAGGAGGGGTTGCTGAGGAGACTTTAGGCTGCACGGTAAATAACAGAAAGGAAGATGTGTTTAGAAATAATTCCAAAATGAATTCCCTTCCCCCCAAGTATAGGTTATTTCAGTGAACAGTTGATAGAAATTAATTCATTAGTAAAGAGGTCTGGGGGAAAAAATCAAGCTTGATTTAAACATGCATTGTTTTAATGAACAAATAATTGCATGTTGTGTATTCAAATCACAGCTGATTCTGCTGTTGGGTACAGCGGCCGAGGCTCTTGACTGCCGGAGAGAAAGAAGGCACTTTTTTTTTTTTCTTTTTTAAGATTTTATTTATTTATTTGACAGAGAGAGACACAGCGAGAGCAGGAACACAAGCAGGGGGAGTGGGAGAGGGAGAATCAGGCCTCCCGCCGAGCAGGGAGCCTGATGCGGGCTCGGTCCCAGGACCCTGGGATCATGACCTGAGCCGAAGACAGATGCTTAAGGACTGAGCCACCCAGGTGCCCCCAAGAAGACACTTTCAATAGTCGAGTAACAGTGGGTGGAACAGCACATTGGAGATGTTGATAGGTTAAGGCAGAAGGAGGGTATGGTGATATTTCACCAACCAGCTGAAGGAAGTCACCACATACAGAGTCAGAACACACACAGCTCCCTCCTCCTTCAGGAGGACAGCAGATACTTAGTAGCGTGTGCTTTGACGGGCACTTGGTTTTTCTTGTTAAAGCCAGCTCCTGCAGTTTGCTATTAGCCCCCAGCCCTACTCTGTCTTTAGTTCGTTAAGGGGAGTTCTCTGGGTTGAACCACCTGACTGGTTTCAGAGATTCAGTTCGGAGCCTTTCTGACCTTATCTCCTCCATTAAGAGAATTGAGCTGTAATTACTATAAATAAAATTCCATTCTAGTGTGCAAAGCCAAGTTTCACATTGTTAAGATGAGTTATTTATATGGACTTTGGAAATATTTGATTGTTTTAACCAGGTAAATGAGTTTCTTGCAATGACGGATGAACAGAAAACAGCACTGAAGTGGCAATTTCTTCTGGAAAGAAGCAAAATTTATTTAAAAGTTAGTGTATTTTACAGTACTATATCATTCTATATATTCAAGTAATAAGAAAATCCTAGAGTATGACCTAATAAATTAGGGAATTTGTTATTTTTAATAATGTCCAGTTTCCAAATATGCAGAAGAATTTGGCTAACATGGAAACAATGCAGGTAATCAGGTTTGTTTTGTTTTGTTTTGTTTTTTTGTATAGTATAAAGGGATTCCTCATGACACCAAAGGAATAGACCAACATGGGTGTCTGGTTGACTCAGTCGGTAGAGCATGTGACTCTTTTTTTAAAAAATATTTTTAAAGTTTAAAATCAATTAATTAACATATAACATATTATTTGATTCAGGGGTACAGGTCTGTGATTCATCAGTCTTACATAATACCCAGTGCTCATTACAACACATACCCTCCCCAATGTCCATCACCCAGTTACCCCATCCCTCCACCCCCCTCCCCTCCAGCAACCCTCAGCATGTGACTCTTGGTCTTGAGGTTGTGAGTTTGAGCCCCACGTCCGGTGTAGAGATTACTTAAAAATAAAATCTTGGGGGAAAAAAAAAAGAAATAGACCAACAAAGACAATATCTGTTATGTTTAGTCCAAGGAGGGCCCTGGGCTGTAGAGTCAAAGCTGGTCCCCCACCCCTGTCCCACCCCCATCCCGCCAGTGTAGCAGTGCTCCTCACTTCAGTGAGAAGTATCAGGTGGCACAGTCACACAGGGGAGAGATGGACTGGGTTTGAACCCCAACTCCACCACTCCTCAGCCTCTTTGACCCTCTAGAGCTCTGTGATCCTGCATCTCTAGTTGGAGCAGCACTAGCAACGCTTCAGTGTGAGAGGATCATAGAATCTTAGTATTAAAGGTATAAAGAGGGAGTGAGACAAACTCCTTTTGTTTTGCAAATGCAGAAGGTGGGACCCAGAAATGTTGCTACCTGTGCCAGGTCACAGGTGAGATGGGTTACAGCCTACGCTGTCTCTCCTATCAGTCTCAAATGCTTTCTTCTCCTTTACACTCTTAAAAAAGTTTTCAAGCTTTTGTCTAAGAGAGTTGTATCTGTCGGTATTTACTGCACTAGAACATGACATTGAGAATAATTTAAAACCTGTCCAGGAGCCCACATTCCATTAACAGTCAGCAATGATATCATCTCATGTCCCACAGCCTCTAGAAAACCACAGTGTGTTCTGCCCAAGAGTGAGAGTGAGAAAGGCAAATGGCGTCTTAGTATAATCTGAAAATAGTTGTGATCTCATGGGTACTCTGAATAGTCTTGGGGAACACTGCACCTGCTCCAGCTAAGCCTCAGAAACAGGTGTGCCCATTTCCCATGCACCGAGGCACCCAACAATGTCAATTATTTTAAATCAGTTAAAACAGAACATGTAATTTAAAAAGTAAGAACTCATGTATTTCTGCTAATATGACAAAAAAACAAGTATTGCTATAGAGATGGGCCATTTTGTATATTTATCATATTTCAATTAAAAACAATGGCTATCAGGGGCACCTGGGTGGCTCAGTCGGTTGTGTCTGCCTTCCGCTCGGTCATGATCTAGGGTCCTGGGATCAAGCTCAGCAGGGAGTCTGCTTGTCCCTCTGCCTCTGCTCATACTTTCTCTCTCTCAAATAAGTAAATAAAATCTTTAAAAAACAAACAAAAAACAATGGCTACTTAAAATGGTGCAGTTGGAGGGATTTCAAAGCAAGGTATTTTAATATCTTTTTAAAAAGATTTATTTATTAGAGAGAGCATGAATGGGGGGAGGAACTGAGGGAGAGAGAGACTCTCAAGCCAACTCTCTGCTGAGTGGAGCCCGACATGAGGCTTGATTCCAGGACCGTGAGATCATGACCTGAGCCAAAACCAAGAGTCTGACGCTCAACCAACTGAGCTACCCAGCCGCCCCAGTATTTTAATGTTTTAAAACACATGGGGATATGAACACAAGTCCTTGTAAGTCTGATATTAGTGTCAAAGAATGATTTCCAAAAAGGGTAAATCCATGACTCTTATACAAAAATAAAATGAATGTGTCAAAGATTTAATTCATTAATCAGTGAAGAAACTAGGAAGGGGTTCTTAAAAAATGAATTCAAAGAAGAATTAGAAGAGTAGACACAGAGGCCAACAGTCAGCAGTGCTGAACTGGGGTTATGTGTAGATGACAAAACCCGCCTCTTCTGCAGGGCAGCGCCGACTACATCTTCACACAGACAGGATGCCTTTGGATTTCCCGAATAGGACTGCTTTTTGCATCATTATCTGTTTTCTACAACATGCTGTTGAAAATAGCTCAGCCATGGCCACGAAAGGGGCCGAGCCCTACAGAATGAGGCCACCCAGACCGTGGGAGGAGCGCTCCAGTGAAAGACGCCCACTTATCCTCATTGCCCACCTTGGCCTTTCACAGTGCTTCCTGACGTTAGTCTTTCTGCATCATCACATCCCCAGAGCCTAACAGACTTGGGTTACTACCACAGGTTAATGCCTGTCACAGCTGCTAGTTTGAACACACTTTATTTTTGCATATTATTATTATTTTTGCATATTATTTCTTTATTTAAGTCATCTCTACACCCAGCGTGGGGCTCGAACTCACAACCGGGAGATTGAGAGTGGCATGCTCTTCCAATGGAGCCAGGCCAGTGCCCCTTGAACACACTTTAAACCCTTCTTTTGTAGGTGTTGGATTTGAAACTCCAACTTTCCAACCAAAAGAGATATGTCATGAGAAAAGTAATATAGATTTTTAAATTTTTTTTATTATTATTATTTTTAAGATTTTATTTATTTATTTGACAGAGAGAGAGATAGCGAGAGCAGTAACACAAGCAGGGGGAATGGGAGAGGGAGAAGCAGGCTTCTTGCCGAGCAGGGAGCACAATGTGGGACTCGATCCCAGGACCCTGGGACCATGACCTGAGCCGAAGGCAGACGCTTAACGACTGAGCCACCCAGGCGCCCAATATAGATTTTTTTAAAGATTTTTTTTTATTGGGCGCCTGGGTGGCTCGGTTGGTTAAGCGACTGCCTTCGGCTCAGGTCATGATCCTGGAGTCCCTGGATTGAGTCCCGCATCAGGCTCCCTGCTCGGCAGGGAGTCTGCTTCGTCCTCTGACCCTATCCCCTCTCATGTGTTCTGTCTCTCTCAAATAAATAAATAAAATCTTTAAAAAAAAAAAAGATTTTTTTTAAAATTTATTTACTTGACAGATAGCACAAGTAGGCAGAGTGGCAGGCAGAGGGAGAGGGAGAAGCAGGCTCTTCATGGAGCAGGGAGCCACCCAGGTGCCCCAATAACATAGATTTTTACAAAATTACCATCGAGAGCCAGATCTGTAATTTCTCTCCGAACTCCTCCCGATGTGAACTCGCTCCATCGTCTTACAGCTGTCACTAGAATTTATGCTCACACCTACAAAACAGCTCATTGTGGTTCTCTACTGCATTCTCTGTTGTCACTAGTTTTCAACTTTATATACATAGCGATTTTTTAAAATTAACTCCTTGTCTCTCTCTTTTCTCCCTACAGTTTTTTTTATCACACAGAGCAAGGGGTGGATTGAGAATTAGTGTGCTCTCATGTAAGCTCGCAGACCCTATTGAGGCAAGTAGGAATTTGTCTGGACAAGGAAATATTTAAAACAAGATACTTTAAACCCTGGACAAGAATATGAGTTTCAACTCTCTTGAAAGTGGAAAATGAGTTTGAAAATTATGGATAAAATTTTATTTTCAAAGGTGGTAAAAATGTTTCTATAAATTGTTATTATGTTTCCTTCTGGAGTTGGTTAGGGGGTAAGTCTTAAAATCTCTCATTCACCCCAGCTCCTTTCTTAGATGGCTTTTTCTACTGACTTTGCCCTCTCTCCCCAAGTTGGGAAATGTTTGCGTGAATTAATAAACAAATTTAATCTTCCCCACAGATACCAATGATTTCTTTTCTTAAGCCCCTTTCCTCTTTGTCTTGTTTCCCTGGAGAAAGATCAGAACCTCCAAAAATGACCTCTCTGGAGCTTGGCGGTGGCTGAGACTGCTCTCCAGGAGCTGGTGGGTCACAGGTGAGGGCTTCTCGGTGGTGTAGGGTGGGAACAGCGGAAGCCTGCGGGCAGTGCTGGGCAGCAGCTTTGAACACTGAAGAGCTTCTCTGATCCTTGCCCTCTCTGATGACACATGGGGCCACCCAGCCCTTGTGAAGGCTGGCTGACTCAGGGGTGATATGTGTGAGTCTGAATCACCTGGGAGGAGACCAGCCTCAAAAGTTCTAGGAGTGGTGCCAGTCTGGGACCTGGAAGGGCAGGGCTGCTTGGACAGGACGCCGACCCCCATACCACCCACTGCACTGGTCCTAGCCAAAGCCCCAGAGTGCCGTGCTCAGCCCCACACCATTCCGAGTCACTTGCTGCAGGGTACAGGCCTACCAGCATGGTCAGTGCTGGCCCATAGTCTGGGAGGTTTGCCATTTCCGGAACCCACCACAGGAGTGAAAAACAAAAAGTAAGTATCTGAAACTCTTACAAAGCTGGTGTTGGGAGATAAACTTGTCAGTCTCTGGCTTTTACAATAGGCAGCCATGGCCGAAGGGCATGAGCGGACCCTAGTGTGTCCGAATTGTGGTAATAAACGAGGCAATGGAGGCCTTGACCTAGTGTGTGGACAGGGAGTGTGCCTGATAAAGAGCTTCCTTCCTCACTCCCCTGGGGCAGGGTATGGGTGTGTTAAGCAAGGTGACTCCAGAAGGCAGACAGAGAAAGAAGGTGGGAGAGTGGTGGAGGGGGAGGGTTCAGGCTTGGGAGGAGAGAGAAGTGAGGGTGCCCACCTGGTGGACACATTCACACTCTCTGTTGATTAAGCAACAGTGGGTGTCCAAGAGCACAGGAGACCAGGAAGGACACCTGGCCCGGGTGGTATGTCAGAAATGGCTATGCCAGGCCTCCTGGTGCCCTGATTTCTGGCAGCAGGTCCCAAAGCACCAATGCCTGGACCACAGGTGCAGGTACCAGCTTTGTGGGCTCCTACTGTCCAGGGGCTTCAGTTGCCCACTGGCCTCAATAGCATAATACAGATGCCTAATATAGGCATTCTCAAATTAGGCTTATATGTCATACCCAGTGTTCCCCAGCCACAGTGGTGGGCCCTAGCAGGGCAGTGGAGGGATCTGAACCACCTCTTCACTGCTACCTTGGTGACCTCTCAGTCCACCAGCATTTAACCACGGAAATCCCATGCCCGTCCCTGGAGGGGTCCCCAATTGCTGATTTCATCTGACGCCATAGGAATCTACAGGGCTAGGTGTCAGCCACACCGAATCAAAGGGGCTTGCCAAAGTTTAAACTACACATCTGTGAAGTGAAGATGACAAATTGGTTGATATCTAAAATTTGGTTGTAGAATAGCCAGAATTCACGCACTCAAAGGCATAAAGGAAGAAGCATCCCGTTCCATCACTACAAAATACACGAGTCCCTGTCCAGCACCTCCACTCGCCACTCCTCTCCAGGAGCTGCTTTCCTTGGTCCTGGCATCTTCCCATCCACAGGTTTGCTTTGCTTTATGTAAATAGTGTGGTGACTCTAGGATTTTTCCTAATCTACTAGTGGTTGCTTTCAGTAAGATTCTCCTTTCCTGATTCTGCTGTGCACATGGCAGAATATGTGATATACATTACATAAAATTGACCATTTTAACCATTTTTAGGTGTAGAATTGAATGGCTTTAAATACATTCACAGTGTTGTGTTAACTATCACCACATCCATCTCCGGAACTTTTTCATCTTCCCAAACTGACACTCTGTCCCTGTTAGATGATCGCTCTCCATTTCCACCTCTCCAGCCCCTAGTAACCTCTGATCCGCCTCATGTCCATGCGCTTGACAACTCTGGGTACTTCATATGATATGTGACTTTTTGTGTCTGGCTTCTTTCTCTGAGCACGATGTGTTTGAGGCTCACCCATGTCTCATCAGCCATCAGTGCTTCCCTCCTTCTTGCGGTTGAGGAGTTTCCCACTGTATGGATGGACATTTTGTTCCCCCATTCATCTGTCTGTGGACATCTGGGCTGTTTCTGCCTTTTGGCTCTTGTGATCAGCCAATCACAGCTGCTGTCAGCATATGCTTACAAGCATCCTCATGTTTGTGTGTCTTTCCTGTCATATGTATTCATCTGTCTTTGTTAGAACATATGGTTTGCAAGTACAGGTTACTCTATAATCTGTGTTTACACTTAATACTTTGTAATAAAACTTTTTACCTTATTCAATATTTGACCTAACTTTAATGGCTGTACATCTTTGCATTATATGAATGTAGGGTAATGAATGTAATTAATCCAATACTGTTAGACATTTAAGATGTTCCCCATTTGTTGCTATTGGAAATGACAGCTGTAGCTAAATTTTTGTCCGCATTCTTAATTATTTCCTTGGGATAAGTTTCTGGACATTAAATTGCTACAATAATATTAACAGCTAATATTATTGAGTGCTTTCAATGTGACAGACACTATAATAAACACTAATAGAATGCAATTATTATTATTTTTTTTGAAGATTTTATTTATTTATTTGACAGAGAGTGAGCACAAACAGGGGGAGGGACAGAGGGAGAGGGAGAAGCAGACTCCCCACTGAGCAACGAGCCTGACCTGGGGTTCGATCTCAGGACCTGGGATCATGACCCAAGCTGAAGGCAGGTGCTTAACCAATTGAGCCACTCAGGCGCCCCTAGAACTCAATTTATACAAGGACTGTTAGTTTGCCCATTTTACAGATGGGACCTGAAGTCCCAGCTGCATGGAGATGGTTGTGTGGGCAGGCTCTGTTACTGCAGGCTCATACTCTATGTGCTGCTTCCAGGATGGTCTCTGGCTCTGAGCTTCTCCATCTCTGGTTCTCCTTTTGTAAACAGGGATAACGATACCAACTTCTCTTGGTGACTGTCAAGACTGAGTACATCCATATATGTCAGGTGCTTGGACTCACACAACCCAGTGCATGATCAGGGAGTATGTTATTGTAAATGTTGAAGGAGAGCAGTTTCACTGTCACTCATATTTGGCAATGTTTTTGTTGTGTGAATCCTATTCTGCTTTTATAGTTTGATTTTTTTTCCATAATTGATTTTTTTTTTTTTTTTAAGTAGGCTCCACACCCAAGGTGCGGCTTGAACTCATGACCCTGAGATTAAGAGTTGTGTGCTCGGGGTGCCTGGGTGGCTCCGTTGGTTGAGCATCCAACTCTTGGTTTTGGCTCAGGTCATGATCTCAGGATCTTGAGATCAAGCCCTGCGTTGGGCTCAGTGCTCAGCACAGAGTCTGCTTGAGATTCTCTCTCTCTCTCTCCCTCTGCCCCTCCCCCCATGCGCTCTCTCTCTCAAATAAATAAATAAGTCTTTAAAAAAAAAAAGAGTCGTGTGCTCTACCAACTGGGCCAGCCAGGCATCCCTATAGTTGAATTATTATACTTACTTTATTCTTTCTCTTTAAAAATTTTTTTTAAAGATTTTATTTATTTATTTATTGGAGAGCGAGCGAGAGAGAAACAGCACGAGAGAGGAGAGGGTCAGAGGGAGAAGCAGGCTCCCCGCTGAGCCGGGAGCCCGATGTGGGACTCGATCCCAGGACCCTGGGATCATGACCTGAGCCGAAGGCAGTCGCTTAACCAACTGAGCCACCCAGGCGCCCAATACATGAAGGTTTTTAAGCATATTTGAATTAATCGTATTGAAAAGAAATATAAAATTTACCTGAAACCAAAGATACTACACCAACATTAATACCACAGATGTGCCCAATAGTCTCATTAAAACAATAACTATAAAAATATGAAAAGATGTTAATCAATGAAATGCAAATTAAAATGACCATAGCCATAGGGAAGCCTGGGTGGCTCAGTTGGTTTAAGCATCTGATTTTTGGTTTTGGCTCAAGTCCTGATCTCAGAGTTGTGATCTCAGGGTCTGAGACCGAGCCCTGTCTGGCTCCTGGCTCAGCAGGGAGTCTGCTTGAGGTTCTCTTTCCCCCCCACCACCCCTTCCTGCCCCCATGCTCGCTCTCTTTCTCTCTAAAAATATTTTTAAAAAATGATCACAGCCATGATACCCAGCATTAGCTAGGGTGTGCATTAAAAGGTATTCTTAAACACTCACGTCAAGTACAAATTTGTGTATTATTTTCCCATGGCAATTTGGCAAATACATAATTTAAAGTGCAAACCATCTAACTGATTTCACATCTATGCTTTTCCCTAGGGAAATAAACATATGCTCCCAGTGGAGGATGTTCCTCACATCACTGTTTCTAATAGCAAAACATTTGAAACCTAGCAGCCCGTAAGGGAATGTTGGGCCCCACCCAGACCCCCTGGACCCTCAGGCACACACACACCTATCCCTCAGCTTCTCTGAGAGGTGGAGAATTACCTGGGGGAAGTTATGGGAGGGGTGGGGAGCAGATTCCGACAGTGACTTCCCCTTGGGACGGTCAGTGGACTGAAGCTCATCTCTAGCTCTGAGACCAGCACGTTCTTTCTTAGTTTGCTCTCTGCCCTTTCTGCTTCCTCTGTACTTTTCTCCTAAGAGTGCTCCTTCAGTAAACCGTATGAACAAGAACCCCACCTTAGCTTGGCCTCTGGGGTACTCAATCTAACGCACGGCATTAAAAGGGATTATGAAAACCTATATTCGCTGACCTGGAAAGATGTTCACAGTATATTAAGCAGATGTAAAATACTCACTTTCATAAAATCTCAATGAAAAAGCGCAGAAGAACACATGTGAAGCCATACATTCTACATGAACTAATATACTGTGGAATTTTTTTCTTAAGTGTGGTAATGGCATTGTATCTATATAAGAGAAGGTCCTTATTCTTAGGAGATGCATACCGGAAGGGTAGAGTTTTTCTGCAACTCATTTCCAGTTTTCCAGCCTAAGTTGTTCAGGCATGCATATATGCGGAGAGAGACGGAGTATGGAGAGACGCAGAGAGAACAAACATAACCAATACTAACAATTACTGAATCGAATGAAGGGTGTGTAGAGTTCACTGTATTAGTCTTTCAACTTTTTAGTAGGTTTAAATTTATTCAAAAAGTTGGGGGGAAATGTGCCTCCTGGGTGCTAGGACTACTGTGATTTTAGCAAGATCAGGAATTGTGGAAATTGGTGTCTCTGTTTTTTATTCTTGAAGCCAAGGACTTTGTGTGCTACACCTGCAATTCTGTTGTCAGCTGTTTGTGACAAAGCTCATGCCACCACAGTGGTGAACATTGACCTCTCTGGGCTATTTGTGCCGCCCAAGGGGGCTGCTGTGAACCTGCTCCTGCCTCACACCTTTTGGTTTGCTTTGAAGTCTGTCAGCTTGGTGGGCTTGTCTCAGCTGAACCTCATGTCTGCTGGTTAGACTAATACACGTTCAGTATGAGCACACCCTTGAACCAGCTCTTCTGCCTATGGGAACCTAGCCCAATGAAGTAACCACAAATGTGCTCATTCTACTAGCAAATGATTAGAAACCATTTCAATTGCCAACAATGGAGGACTGATTTCAGAATCTTTTTTTTTTTTTTAAGATTTTACTTATTTATTTGAGAGAGAGAGAGAGATCATGAGAGGCGAGAGGGTCAGAGGAGAAGCAGACTCCCTGCTGAGCGGGTAGCCCAATGTGGGACTCCATCTGGGACTCCAGGATCATGACCTGAGCCGAAGGCAGTCGCTTAACCAGTTGAGCCACCCTGATTTCAGAATCTTACACAGTCACTAAAAATAGTGCTGCAGAAATGTGCTGCCCGACAGAGAGTCACAACACACTGTGAGGAAAGCAGGTTAGGAAATTTGAGTTATGGGCAAATCTTATTTTAAGAATTGCAATCAGGGGCGCCTGGGTGGCTCAGTCGTTAAGCGTCTGCCTTCGGCTCAGGTCATGATCCCAGGGTCCTGGGATCGAGCCCCGCATCGGGCTCCCTGCTTGGTGGGAAGCCTGCTTCTCCCTCTCTCACTCCCCCTGCTTGTGTTCCTGCTGTTGCTGTCTCTCTCTGTCAAATAAATAAATAAAATCTTTAAAAAAAAAAAAAAGAATTGCAATCACATCCACAGATTTGGAAGAAGGTACACTAAATGCTTCACTCGGCTGTCTCTGGGTGAATGGAATTTTGGGTATTCTTGAACTCATCTGTAATAAACACCTATTGCTTGAGCAATTAAAATAAGAAACTTGATTAGAAGATAAAACAAGATAGTATGACATTTAATAAGTCTAATCCTGGCACTTCTTCACAATAAATTATAAATTAAATGTGGGGGTTGCCTAATACCTACATGTTTGAATCTTCTTATGTATCTACCTGCAAGATGAAGCCTGCATAGTGGTCAAGACTTCATGTTTTGGTCCTAGGAAAGCTAGGTTATAACTTGGTTCTGTCCCTCAGCTGAGTGACCATAAAGCTAGGCTGGCTAGCCCCTAAATCTACATCTTCATGTTTAACAGGGATGGTAGTAATACCAATCTTACAGCTTTGTTGAGGGTTAAATAATACATGGAAAGCTCTTGACGCAGTGCCTAGCAGTACTAAGGGCTCAGTAAATGTGAGCTATTATTAAATTAGATGTCCTTAGCTTTCTGAGAGGGGCCTATAGATGTCTTGTTTCCATATCCAGCAGGAGCCCCTGCCTAAGCTTAAAGGGCACCACCGGGCACTGTGCATCTTGCCTAGACTTTTTGTCCACGGAGAGCAGGTAGGAACAAAAGTAGCTCTCCCGGGCTATTCAGCTTCCTCACCTTTGGTTGGAGGCAGAGGTGCTGATTAACTTTGTTAATAGAGCACAGTGCTCTAGAGGCCAAAGGTCAATGACCAAGGTCTGAAACCCCTTAATGAGCAAGTGTGCCTCCTAGCCACTAATGGAGTGATAAAAGTAAACTTTTAGGCCAAATAAAAGATAGCATTTTTATTTTATTTATTTTTAAAGATTTTATTTATTTGACAGAGAGAGACACAGCGAGAGAGGGAACACAAGCAGGGGGAGTGGGAGAGGGAGAAGCAGGCTTTCCGCGGAGCAGGGAGCCTGATGCGGGGTTCGATCCCAGGACTCTGGGATCATGACCTGAGCCGAAGGCAGACGCTTAATGACTGAGCCACTCAGGTGCCCCAAAAGATAGCATTTTTATTTGGAAAACAATTGTTTCAAAATTATCTCCCAAACTCAAATCTACAGGTCATGATGCAAATGACTGAAGTTGCCATTAATCGTTTTTAAATAATTTAAATTTAAATAATAAATTAAAAAACTTATTAAATACAATTTTAAATTAACTATGTGGAGTAGTGTTTATCCACATTTCCATGATAAGAAGCACTTGGGAGTGCTGGAGATTAATTCTGCTAATTAATACAGTGGACCTGGTACAGGCCAGTAATGTGGAAATTATTTTTACAAATACCTCCAGATAATTATCATGATCAAGGAAATTTAGAAAACATGATTTTCAAATTCCTTTGCATATTTTAAGTTTTGAATTACTGATCTCAGAATGCCCAATGAAAAGTCTTTTTTTTTTAAAGATTTGTAGTTATTTGAGAGAGAGAAGGGACGAGCAGGAGGAGGGGCAGAGGGAGAAGTACACTCCCTGCTGAGCAGGGAGCTTGACCCAGGGCTCAATTCCAGGACCCCCAGATCCTGACCTGAGGCAAAGGCAGATGCTTAATGGACTGAGCCACCTAGGCACCTCCGAATGAAAAGTCTTATCCAGTCCAGTTTTAGGAAAGGAAAGGAAAAAACATTTGTTTTGATAAATTCTCCGCTTTGGAAGCTTCACAAAAACTTAATTTGGTTGTTTCCTAAAAGACAATCTTCTTTCCATTTCTGGCCCAGCTTTTCTAGATCACATTTTCCTTGAAGGGTCCATCTTCCTTAAGTCATAACAATCCAATTAAATCATATTTAAGAATTAGTTTCTTACCGCAAACAAAACAATTAGTATATTAAAGGATTGTCACATTTAACAACCTTTGCTTGCTTCTGTCCAGCTCCCTTCTCTCCTAAAACTTAGTAAGTCAATACTCTGGCTTTTCCACCTTAAATCTCATACTGACGACCCCGTGTATGCCAGCCTGGATCTCATCGTTTTCTTTAACGGGTCCGACTCCCTTCGGCGTCCCGGTCAAGATAATATCTCCTTCTTCCAAGGTCATTATCTTAGAAACGTAGCTAATAATGTAGGGGATGGAAAAGATCATGGAGGATGTCTCACCCTCCTGCCTGAGTTCGCCGTTGACCTTGAGCCAGAGCTTCAGGTTGTGAGGGTCCGGGATCTTCTCTTTGGGCACGAACGCGCTGACCGGGCAAGAGGCGGTGAAGCTCTTGGCCAGCGTCCAGGGCAACCCCTTCTTCTTGCACTCGTCCTGCACGTCTCTGGCGGTCATGTCCAGACACAGGGCATAGCCGGCCACGTAGTCCATGGCCGCGGCCTCCGGGACGGCGCGGCCGCGCCTGCCCATCACTACGCCCAGCTCGAGCTCGTGGTGCAGGTTGCGGCTGTAGGCCGGCATGAGGATGGCCGAACCCTCGCGGACGTAGGCTGTGGACGGCTTCAGGAAGAGCACCGGCTCGCTCAGCACCACGCTCTGCATCTCCTTGACGTGGTCCGCGTAGTTCCTACCCACGCACACGATGTTCTTCCCCCACTCCCAGAAGCGGGACAGCGGCCTGGTGGCTGCCATGTCCCGGCCGGGTGCCCCTGGAGGTCACGTGACTCCGCCGGGACCCGGTCACCTGATGCCTACGGCGCCCGGGAGAGAACCAACTACCTCGCAGCGCTGTCCCGTCCGCGACGGCCCGTTCCGCTCTGCGCTCTACCGGGTGCTTGGCAGTCGCGGCGCCTCAACTCCTGGGAGCCGCTGTCCAGTAGCTGCCCCGGGACGCTGGCCTGGTCCCTGGAGAGAGGCTGAGGCCTTGTCGCTGCTCTCCGGCCGCCGCCGCCGCCGCCGCCGCCGGTAGCTCGCGGCTCCCGGCCCGCACTCAGGTACGCAGCAGCCCGGCCCGGAGCGGGCATGGGTTTGGATGCGGGCGCTGATTGGCCGGGGTCTGGGGCAGGGGCGCTAGACCTGCGCTGATTGGCTGGGGGGCGGGGCGGCGGGCGCCGATTGGCCGCGGCGCGCCGCCGGCGTGTGCAGCCCCCGCCCCTCGCGCCGCCGCCCCGCTGTCGCCTCAGCAGCCACCCCGCCGCCCCGGGTCATGGTGCTGGGCCGCGGGCTGCTCGGCCGCCGGAGCCTCGCCGCGCTGGGAGCCGCCTGCGCCCGCCACGGCCTGGGTAGGTGGGCCGGCGCCGGCCGGGGCGCCGAGGGGCGCACCTGACAGGGGCCGGGGGCGCGGGGCCCGGCCCGCGGAGAGGGACCCACCGGCGTTGTGACCCCGTAGCGGCGGTTGGGCCGCGCCCCCGCGAGGGGTCCGGCGGTGCCGGGCGGGTGGCCGGCTCCGGGCGCTGGGGGCGGCCGGGAGTGGCCGGGCCGCCGCGGGCTGACGCTGTTTTCTGTCGACACAGGCTTGTAACCCTCGCCGGCGTCCAGGCGCGCCGGTTGGGGTCGAGAAAAGGCCCCGCGGCACTTGAGTCAGACTTTGCGGGGGCTGAAGACAGAGTGGGGTCACTGGTCAGCTGGGGGTTGCTGGCGGATTTGTGCCGGGTAAGGAGACGTGGGCCCCAGGAGCCCCGCGCCCCTGCCCGCCCGCGGCCCTCCTGGGGGTCCCCTCCCCGCCCGGGGGGACCCCTCGTGTGTGCGCCCCGGGGCGGCACAGCCGGGCCTAGCGCCCCAGGGACTGCCTTCCCATCTCTTCCTGCGAGCTTCAGCTGACAAGAAAAACCCGGGGTACACGATTCTAAAGTGCAGATAAAGGGCAGGAAGCCGGGCCAGTACTCGGGTTCCAACAAGACTGGGTCCTGGGGGCTGCGAGGCCCTGGCCCTCCCTCTAAAAGGAGAGGCATTGGGCACCCGGGCTTCCCAGGGCCTGTGCTTCCAGCTGTCAGATTTCCTTTCCCACTGGGAGTTACCGCTTGCTTTGTTGGAATATTTTGACTTTGATTTTGAAATCTTTCTTTATTTCCTGATATCTTATCTGGCTGGTGTGGCAATAGGGGCAGTAGGTTAACCCGAGTCTTTGGGAGATGGTTAGCCGCTGGAGAAATGACCACATAGGAGGCGAAGCCGTCCTTGGCCATTTTAGATCTCACTGAGAGCACTCAAGGTTCTGGAGCGGGTAAGGTGTTGCCATTACTAAGGAAAGAGCCTGTCCTTTTTCCCATTTGGGGACACACCTAAGAGTGTCAGGGCTAGGACTTTTTGCTTCCGGAGTCAGGCAGAGAGTGTAAGTGGGACTGTAGGGAATTGGCAAGATTGTGGCCACCTCGTTCAGAAGGGAGCCTAGTGCCAGCCATTGGATGCCGTGCAGAAGGATGGGCCCAGCTCAAGAGAAGCGGAATAAAACATGTCTTAGGACTTGGCCTGGACTACAGGCTGCACCTCTGTGCCCTCTGCTTATACAAAAGGTCACAGTTGCAAACCAGTGAACTGGAAGCATTTCTCAGGCATATAATTTTTGGAAAAGGAATAAGGCTTCTGGTGGTGCCTGCAGAAATAACTAAGTACCCCAGGTTTTCCAGGAGAACCCTTATAGTACCTAGAGGAGCCTGAGCACAGGATGTAATCATGTTTCCTTCACCTGGGCGGTGTTCCTCTCCCAGACTCGAAGCACAGTCCTGTTTCAGTCCTGCTTTCCTCCCTCCCCAGCCCCCAGTACGCATACTCCGCTCTGTAGTCCTTCCTGGGCTCAGGTAGGGCTGGGGCCTAGGGAAGGTGGAATATCACAGAAACATCATACAGAGATGTTTGTTTTGCTGTGCATGAGGCGAAGGGCCTGGAAAATGCCCAGCTGGTTGTCCAGGGAAAGGGGAATTGGATATCTCTGTGTACTCTTATTTAAAGCTGCAGTTCAGACAGTTTCTCTGGCTGTGGCAGATAAGGTTGAATTCAGCTTTAGGTGGCCGCTGGAGATGTGGTCTGTCAGTCAGTGGGTCCTGCCTGCTTTCTGGATCCCTTTTGGAAGAGGCCCCCATTCCAGCACCTCCCCCAGTATTTCTTGGCTGTCTTCTGTCATTTTTTGTGGTGTTCATCTCTTTGACATTAAGACAAGTATTGTTGGGGCCTCTCAGTTTTTAGATTGAATAGGAGTTTCATTGTTGAAAATAGTTTGGTACCTGACTCCTCGGTGGAAGATGCTTTTGGCTTTTGCTCACTCTTGACACATCCTGGCAGGGTCCTTCGGTTCAACTGGATGGCGATTCTGTGTCCTGCACACTTGAATCTGGAACAAGTCGCCACCTGTCCCCTGTCTCAGGCCCTGGTGTGTTTTGTGCATGATCCAAATTTTGAGTTCCTGCCTATGAAAGTGAATATTGTTTTCCTCTCTGGCTGGAGGCCTAGGAAGGGTCAGAGGCCCTCACCCTCCGGGTTCCTCTCTTTGTGGTCTTTCTGGTTCGGGTGTGAACACCGCGGGACTGGCACTGGTCACTTCTGACACTGGTTTGAATCACAGGCACAAACCAGCACTTCTGTCCTCTGAGAGCTTTCGAAAAAGAAAATCAGGATTATAGTCTGAAAGAAGTGATTTCCGTGAATATGCATGTGGAGAATTTTCTGTGTTTTTCTTACGAATGTGGTAAAATGAGGATATTTTCTTCTTTACCGAAGGAACTCAGAAAACCTGACACGGCGAGCCTCACACTTTGCTGCTCGGCGAGTCACTTTCCTGGAATGTTGTGTCCCCGGGACGCGGGGCCTCCCAGGCTGAGGGTTTGTCTTTAAGTCTCAGCCTGGGGCGGCCTCCCTTGGACACTGACCGAAGCTGTGCTTTGTCTTCAGGCCCAGCCCTGCTGGGAGTCCTTCTCCATCACACAGACTTAAGGAAGAGCTTGACTGTGGAACAGGGCACCATGAAGGTTGAGTTACTGCCCGCACTGACCGACAACTACATGTACCTGATCATCGATGATGAGACCAAGGAGGCCGCTGTCGTGGACCCGGTGCAGCCCCAGAAGGTGGGAGGAAGGGCCCCAGCACCACCTTGTCCCCTGCCAGGGCTAATAGCTGCAGTGTCCTTGTAGCTTGGCTGAAGCTACACAGAAATTCACTCATTTGGTTTTTGAAAAACAACTGGTGGCCTGCCACTCTGCCGTCAGGCAGAAGGCCAGTGAGGGGTGGAGGCTGCCAACGGCTTGGGTGGGGAGAGCAATGGGCTTCTGTCTGTAAGGTCCTGGGCCGCCAGGAAGCCCCGGAGGCGGTGACCTCCGCTGGAGGGGCTTGGAGAGGTCATGGCTGGCCCTGAGTTGCCAATTGGGTCAAGAGAGACCTGGAGCGGGGGCAAGTCGGCAGGGTCACGACAGGGCACGGCCCCTCTTGGCCAATCCTGGGTTCTGCTGGGCACCCTGCAGCTCGGCCGGCCAGTGCCAGGAGTGTGACCATGGCCCCCATCTTGCCTCACGTTTGGTTGCAGGTTGTAGAAACGGTGAAAAAGCATGGTGTGAAGCTGACCACGGTGCTCACCACTCACCACCACTGGTAAGCCCTCACCAGCCAGCTGCTTGGGCCTGTCGGCTCCCGGCCGTGTGCACCCCCGTGTGCACACCGGGCTGGTGTCCGTGGGGGTTGGGCACTTGCGGGCTCCCTGGGCCCTCTTACAGGTGGAGGCCTGCGAGATCGGGGTGCTGGAAGCCCTTGTCCCCGCCCAGCCATGTTCTCTGTGCCGCTGAGGGTCAGCCCCAGTGGGATTCTGAGAAGACGTGTGGGCTCTAGGCTCCGTACTGCTGCCCTGCGCCCTCGGCCCTGGCCCTGGCCTCCATGGGGCGGACCTCCAGCAGCAGGTTCTGGGCTTGTGTGATGGGAGACTAGCTTTGATGTCAGGGAAGAAACTATTCTAGACCTTAGTGTTTTTAAAAATCAAGCAGCTCTGTTTGGAGAGGTTGTGGTTCTCGAAATTGAAGGTAAGGGATGAAAGAAGCACCCAAGTGTTTGGGTTTTAGGGCTAGAGCTGCTTGTCCAAGACCCTCCTGTGGGGTTTTTGAAATTCTGAGACTTTTCACAGCTTGAAAAAAATACTTGTTTGGCTCTGAATTGTCTTTTCCACGTAAGTGCCTGAAGGCAGCCAGCGACTCTCACTGCACTTCACCTGTGAGGTGCGGTGTCTCCGCGGGGGTGTCCTGAGGACGTGGGTTGGCCAGAGTTTGCTCAACGGTGGCCACTTCTTGGTTGATGTCACTAAGGCACCCAGAGTCTTTGGGGTTTAGCCCCGGGGGCATCAGCTGTTAATTCCTGAATGCAGAGGGGTCGGCCGGCAGCCTTGCCCTTGGCTGCTGTGCCGCTGGGCTTTCTGGGAAAAAGCCAGATTGCCTACCCGCGAGCCTCAGGGTTGGCTTCTCACTCCCTTGCTAAGCAACCGCTGGGTCAGTTTTCTCAAGTTGTGATGCTCTGGGGTTTTTCATATGCTTATGCTACAATACAAAACCCCAAATTCGGCCCCAGACTGAGCCCGAGGGCGCCGGGGCCTCCCTCCCTGCACTAGAGGAGATGGTGAGGCGGTGGTTGCGCAGGTTAGCGGAACGTGTGGATGCGTGTGTACGTGTTGGCGCTGCCCTGTGTGTAGCAGATGGCGGGGCGGGGCCGGGCGGCCCCTGCTATCTGTGCGCCCTGCTGGGTCGGGGCCCCTCGAAGGGCTCCGTGGATAAGTGTGTAGTGAGGGGCAGGAGCCCTCGCCTTGTCCTGGGAGGTGCAGGGAGCTTGGTGCAGGGCCGTGGCTGGGCTTAGGCTGTGCACGTTCCGGGTGCGTTATGGGCTGGTCGCTGGCCCCTGATCGCCCTCGGGCATTGGTGATCGATTTATGTATGTATGTTTATTTGTTTAAAGATAAGTGTTTTCATTTTTATTTTTTAAATTTTAAAGAAGTTTTTATTTTAATTCCAGTTAACATATGGTGTTATACTGGTTGCAGGTGTACAACATAGTGATTCAGCAGTTCTGTCCATTACTCCGTGCTCATCACAAGTGCGCTCCTTAATCCCCATCACCTACATAACCCTTCCCCCCACCGCCTCCCCTCTGGTAACCATCTGTTTCTTCTCAAGAGTCGGCTTCTTGGTTTGTCTCTCTTCTTTTCCCTTTGTTTCTTAAATTCCACATATCAGTGAAATCATGTGGCGTTTATCTTTCTCTGACATTTCACTTAGTTTCTGTAGCTCCATCCGTGTTATTGCAAATGGCAAGGTTTCATTTTTATAGTTGAATAATATTCCATTGTGTGTGTGTGTGTGTATGTACACACACATATATATACCACATCTTTGTCCATTCATCAATTGATGGACACTTGGACTGTTTCCATAATTAGTCTCATAGATAATGCTATAAACATCGGGGTGCATGTTTCCCTTTGAATGAGTGTTCTTGCATTCTTTGGGTAAAGACCCAGTACTGCAATTACTGAATCATAGGGTAGTTCTATTTTTGACTTCTTGAGGAACCTCCATACTGTTGTCCAGAGTGGCTGCACCAGTTTGTGTTCCCACCAACAGTGCACAAGATTTCCTTTTTCTCCACATCCTCATGAACACCTGTTGTTTCTTGTGTTGTTGATTGATGTTAGCCATTCTGACAGGTGTGAGGTGGTATCTCATTGAGGTTTTGATTTGTATTTCCCTGATGCCGAGTGATGTCGAGCATTGTTCATGTGTCTGTTGGCCATTTGGATGTCTTCTTTGGAAAAGTGTCTGTTCATGTCTTCTGCCGATTTTTTAAATTGGATTATTCATTTTTGGGTGTTGGGTTATATAAGCTTTTTATATATTTTGGATACTAACCCTTTATCAGATATGTCATTTACAAGTATCTTCTCCCGTTCTGTAGCCTGCCTTTTAGTTTTGTTGACTGTATCCTTTGCTGTGCAGAAGCCTTTTATCTTGATGAAGTCCCAATAGTTCATTTTTGCTTTTGTTTCCCTACCCCTGGCAACGTGTCTAGTAAGAAGTTGCTATAGCCAAGGTCAAAGAGGTTTCTGCCTGTATTCTCCTCTAGGATTTTTATGGTTTCAGGTTTTACATTTAGGTCTTTCATCCATTTTGAATTTATTTTTGTGTATGGTGTACGAAAGTGGTTCAGTTTCATTCTTTTCATGTGGCTGTCCAGTTTTCCCAATACCGTTTGTTGAAGAGATGGTCTTTTTCCCATGGGACATTCTTTCCTGCTTTGTCGAAGATTAGTTGACCATAGAGTTGAGGGTCCATTTCTGGGCTCTCTCTTCTGTTCCATTGATCTGTGTGTCTGTTTTTGTGCCAGTACCATACTGTCTGGGTGGTCACAGCTTTGTAATATAGATTGAAATCCAGAATTGTGATGCCACCAGCTTTGCTTCTGTTTTTCAGGATGGCTTCGGCTATACGGGGTCTTTTGTGGTTCCATAGAAATTTTAGGATTCTTTGTTGTAGCTCTGTGAAAAATGGGGGTGGTATTTTGATAGGCAATGCATTAAATGTGTAGATTGCTTTGAGTAGTATAGACATTTTCACAATGTTTGTTCTTCTAGTCCGTGAGCATGGAATGTCTTTGTTTCTGTCCTCTTCAATTTCTTTCGTAAGTGTTCCATAGTTTTCAGAGTACAGTTCTTTCACCTCTTTGGTTAGGTTTATTCCTAGGTATGTTATATTTTTGGTGCAGTTTAAACAGGATCATTTTCTTAATTTCTCTTTCTGCTGCTTCATTAGCATACAGAAATGCAGCAGATTTCTATGCATTGGTTTTGTATCCTGCAATGTTACCGAATTTGTTTATCAGTTTTAGCGGGTTTTTTGGTGGTCTTTTGAGTGGGGCATTGCCATTTTATTTATCATTAATTTATTTTTAGGGAGGGAGAGAGCAGGGAGGGCAGAGAGAATCTTAAGCAGGTTCCACCAATCTCATGACCCTGAGATCATGACCTGAGCCGAAATCAAGAGTTGGACGCTTAACCAACTGAGCCCCCCAGGTGCCCTGGACATTGCCTTTTTAGAAGACAGCTTCCACCTGCTCAGGGCAGTGGGTCCTGAACTGGGCCACCTGTGAGAGTCATGCGGGTGGGGGCGCTTTAAAACTCCTGCTCTGCAGGCTGCCCCTAGGCCAACTGCGTCAGGATGTGGGGCAGGGAGTCACGACTTGGTGCTCCTTAACAGATCCTCAGGTGACTCTTATGTGCCCAAAGCTTGGGAGCTGGGCCTTAGGGATTATCTAGGTGTTTGGGATTTGGTTTGTTTGTTTCAGAAGCTTCCGCAGCCACAGGGCAGGAGCACAGAAATGCCTCACTTCGGAAAGACATGTCTCAGAATGTTCTTTTCAGTGGACCCAAATGACAAGCCAGTTTCCTGTGTTGGGAGATGCGTTTCTACCGAGAAGGCAACCAGGAAAGGAGACTTGTGGTAGGGGTTTAAGAGCAAGCAGGCCCAGTCCCATCAGCAGGAGCCCAGGTCTCCTTTCCGACTTCCAGGGACCACGCTGGCGGGAACGAGAAGTTGGTCAAGCTGGAGCCTGGGCTGAAGGTGTGCGGGGGTGATGACCGGATCGGGGCCCTGACTCACAAGGTCACACACCTCTCCACACTGCAGGTGAGCAGTGAACCAACGGAAGGCACTCCAGCGGGCAGGGGTGCGGTGGGGACACTGGCCCCCACTCCTGGCATTTCCTCCCTGAGCCAGGGACCCGGCGGGTGGAGGGCGGCATGCGGAGGGTGCCTGGCCGTGGGGAGAAGCGGTCAGGCCCGGTTTTGAGACAGGGAAACTGGAACACGGACAGTGACCCGTCACTGTTCATCTCTTGGACGCAGTGACCCTGTGAGGAAGCGAGAGGGGGTTCCCAGGGGCTTCCACGGGCGCCGGGGGGGGGGGGGGGGGGGGCGGTATGCGCATGCGTGCAGCTCCTGGTGCGCGTATGCACAGTGCACACGGCAAACGGGGCGGAGGCGGGGGTCTGTTCGTGATCGGTGATCCTTGGGAAGGGCACACCGATGCTCATTTTGCGTTCAGTCTTTTTGTAGGCTTGAACATTTTTGAGGTTAAGGGTGGGGGGAGGGCTGTGGGAGACAGGAAGGAAAACCAAACAGAAGGCCAAGCACCCAAAAAGGAAAACTGTCTTTTCTAAGAAGCAAGACACCTGGTTCAGATTTGGCCTGATTTTGAGGTCTCTTCCTTTGGTTTTGCACGCCAGCCAGCACCAGGTTCCAGGGCGGGCCTTGCCTCTGGGGGCCCCTCGGGGATTGAGTCCCACGGTCACCAGCAAGATGCATGTCCTGCTCAGTGGAGCAGCGGTGACCGAAGTCCTCTCGCCCCTGCCAGGGACGCCCCCGTGGGGCAGTGGCGGGTGCGAGGGGGGAGGGACCTGTGGGGGGCCCCCCAGCGTGTGGGGAGCATGTGCCAGCACCAGCTTTGTTTAAGGTGGGGTCTCTCAACGTCAAGTGCCTGTCCACACCATGCCACACTTCTGGACACATCTGCTACTTTGTGAGCAAGCCCAGCAGCTCTGAGCCTCCTGCTGTGTTCACAGGTGAGAGAGTTCAGGTGTGTGAGTGGGGGCGAGGGATTCTCTGCAAAGACCCGCTTTACTTAGGGATGTCTCTGAACACTCGGGGCGAGAAGCGGAGAGTTTGCAGCCAGGCCTGCTGCGCCGGGCCCTCAGGTAGAGCCCACGAAGGGCCCCAGCCTCAGGCTGTGTGAGGAGTACTGTCAGGACAGGCCTTTCCAGCAGTTGGGGGCTTCTCCCTTTGGAGAGAAGGTGAGCCGCTGTTGCTGCTGGCTGGGAGCGGCGAGACCAGAATGGCCAGGTGCATCCGCTGCAGCGCAGAGCAGGCCTGTTGGCTGTGCCCAGGCCCCTCTGCCTCCTGACCTTTCTCAGCCAATATCGAGTCTTGCAGAAATTTAAGTCTCAGTCGTGACGTCACTGCAGCGAGGGCCAGTTGGGAAATGCGATGGGGCTCCTGGAGCAGCTCCGCGGTGGGACCGGTGTGCGTGGGGCTCGGTCACCAGCAAATGGGGCTGTGGCTCCTAGTTCCAGCAGAGGTGCTAACAGGTGGAGGGGCCTCTGCGGCCTTGTGAATCCCACAGCACCCCCACACCGAAGCGTGTTTTTAAAGACTACAGTCGTCAGTGTCCCCAGTGCAGTAGCAGCAGGTGCAGGCCCTGAGCTGACTCTGAGTTTGCGTCGTGGGACCCCGGGGACCCTGGACTCGCTCCGCCTCAGCCCCCGGTGTGTGGGGCAGGGGAACCGGCCCCCGGCGGAACAGCGAGTGCGGAGGCCCCCTGAGTGGCTATGGGCAGCTGGTGTCGCGCCTGCATCCCTGTCACCGCTGCGCGGGGGAAACCCCCAGATGTCAACCTGCCCAGCTGTGGGGGGAGGCGGGTCCCTGGGGACTGCGCAGACGAGAGAAGCCATGTCCCCGCTTTGGAAGGTGGGGCTGCCTGCTGTGAGACCCCGCCCTGAGCCCAGGCGCTATGCGGTGTGCCTGTCCTCTGTGGACAGCAACTGGCGGGACGCAGTGTACCAACAAGTCGTGTAGTGTCCTCCATGCTGAGGCTCCAGTGTCTGCCGCCTGGACAGTGAGGACTGGACATGTGGGAACCAGGGTGTCCAGCGAGGCCCCGGCAGCAGGCGTGGGAATAGGGGCTGCTCCCCTGGAGGGAGGGCCCGAGCTCGAAGTCTCCTGCACCTGTGTGTGCCCCAGTCTCCTCTGGGGTCTTGTGGACTTCTCGCTGGTTCCCAGACTCGACCTACCTGGAGAGGTCCTTCAGGGGACAGCCCCAATCCCACCCGCACTAGGTTGTCCTGTTATCTCCTGGGGGGCCCTGACTCCTGTCTGGGGCGGCCCCATGGTCCTGGGCTGTGGCTTAGGCTCCCTGGGAAGAGGTCTGGCCAGCACTGATGCAGGAGGACACCCCACCACTGGGGCCTGGAGAACAAATGTGTCCGAGCTCCCGTTGGCCGTGGAGCCCTTCCCAAGGAAGAGACCAGGCAGGGAAGCAGCAGCAGATGGCCGGGTGTCAGGAGGAGGGGACGCCCCTTTGAAGGGCTGAGGCAGGAAGGGGTCTGTGAGGTGGTAGGCCTGTGTGTTGAGGACTCAGATGGTGGCTGGTGAGCTCAGGGGGTATCCTACAGGCTCGTGCTGGCCGGAGAGGCTAAGAGGAGACCTAGGGAGGCGGGCCTGGGAGGGCTGCTGGGCCGGTAGGTACAAGGGCTGGTTTGGCGGTCCTGGCGCTAGGGCTGACAAGATGGGGCGGTGAAGAGAGGAGTGGGGTGACCCTAAGGTGTGGGTTTGAGCAGCTGTTTGCGGGGGCTGGTGGTGCCAGTTAGACTTGAGGGGAGAGGTTGGGGGGTAGGAGCCGAGAGCTGGGGGTTAGGGTTTCTTGGTTTGTCTCTGTCCTGCTGGCGGCCCCCCACTGCTCCCTGCCTGTCCTGTTTCTCAGGTGACACCTTGTTCGTGGCTGGCTGTGGGAAGTTCTATGAAGGGACAGCGGATGAGATGCACAAAGCCCTACTTGAGATCCTGGGCCGGCTCCCTCCAGACACAGTAAGCGGCAGCCTGCGAGTGGGGCCCTCACCTCCCTCCCAGGCTGCGGAGAGTGGGGGCGCGGGGGCACTTCATCTGGAAGCGAGGCTTTTCTGTTAATGTATTTTTATTGTTGTTTAACACGCATGCAAGAAGTGTCTGTGTCATGCTTGTCGCTAATGGGACCTAGCCCAGAGCCCCACAAGCCCGTCCTCGAGGGGTCTGAGGGCAGACTGCGGAGACTCCGAGCTCACAGTCTGGTGTTTTCCTCAGAGAGTGTACTGTGGCCACGAGTATACCATCAACAACCTCAAGTTTGCGCGGCACGTAGAGCCCAACAACACTGCCATCCAGGAGAAGCTGGCCTGGGCCAAGGTGAGCGGGGTACACCGTGGGGTGTGTCTTCGGGGCAGTGACCATGACGGGGCTCCCTAGGAGCCACTCTCGGGGTACCATCTCCAGTGTGGGCACGAAGTGCTCCTCCCGGCCCGCCTCAACTAGCAAGGAAGCCCCAGCTGTCTTGTTGAGGTCCTTGTCCACCCAGGGGGTCTGGGCTGGGCCTGGGATCCCGCACTTCTAGCAGGTGCCCAGCGGAGGCCGGAGCTGCGGGTCCCTGACCTGTTCTCCATGTGCTGGGCCACGTGGTAGGCAGGATTGTGAGTTAGCAGCTCAGCCTCCGTGTCTGGGGCCAGCAGTGGGAGTCGCCCCAGAGGCTGCTTGTCTGAAAGGCATTTATTTCTGTGATGACCCCAGGGCTCGGAGGTTTGGTTGCAGGGTTGGCTTCTTGTCCCGGATGCATCCTTGGTGCTGCTGCGGGTGGCTGGGCTAAGGGACATGCTCCTGGATGTGGGGGTCTGTCTTCCTGCCCCTCTCAGTCCCCAAGAGAGGGCGTCAGAAAGACACACCCGGGAGTCCTCTCGTGTGGGGCCTTCTCCGTTCAGTGACGACTTTTTTTTTTTTTTTTTTTTTGAGAGAATGAGAGAGTGCATGAGAGGGAAGAGGGCAGGGGGAGAAGCAGACCCCCTGCCGAGCAGGGAGCCCGATGTGGGACTCGATCCCGGGATTCCAGGATCATGACCTGAGCCGAAGGCAGTCGCTTAACCAACTGAGCCACCCAGGCGCCCAATATCTTGTTAATTTTTACCAAAAAAGTCAGCTTTGGATTGGGACTGTTGTAACAAAAGATTTAGAGAGAACTGAGGTCTTAAAAATCCTGAGTCTTTCCATGAATATGCTATAGCTTTCCATTTATTGAGGTCATTAGTTTTTCTCAGCAATATTTTATAATTATCATTGTTACAGAAATAGGGATATAGTTAACAATATATACAAAGAACTTCATGTTTTTGGATTTTATTGGAGATGATTATTTGCTGAAGTCTTTAGAAATACAAGTGATTTTTGCATTTTGATCTTATATCCTTATGACCTTGCTCAGCTCCCTCATTCTAGCATCTTTTCCAAAGATTCCTTAGCACACAATCACGTCATCAACAAATAGAGACGATTTTATTCTTTCTTTTGCAATCTATGTGCCTTTTTCCTTGTTTTGCCCCCATTGCATTGGCTACCATCTCTAGGACAGTGTTCACTAGAAGTGCAGAGAGTGGGCATCTTTGCCTCGTTCCCAATCTTACGGGGAAGGCATTTAGCCTTTAACCATTAGGTATGATATTAGCCGTGGGTTTTATGTAAATCTTCTTTCTTAGGTTGGAGTTCACTTATATTCCTGGTTTTCGAGAGTTTTTATCATCAGTGGGTGTTGAATTTTGTGAATTGTTTTTTTTCTTCATCTGTTACGTAATGATGTTTTTCCTCCTTTACTCAATTAATATGGTGGAGTACATCAATTGGTTTCAAATGTTAAACCAACTGTGCTTTCTAGACAAACCTTAGTCATGCTGTATTATGTTGCTGTAGTCTCTTTTGTGTTCATAAGAGATACTGGTCTCCAGTTTTATTTTCTTTTTTTTTTAAGATTTTATTTCTTTGACAGAGACACAACAAGAGAGGGAACACAAGCGGGGGAGTGGGAGAGGGAGAAGCAGGCTTCCCTGCTGAGCAGGGAGCCTGATGCGGGGCTCGATCCCAGGACCCTGGGACCATGACCTGAGCCGAAGGCAGACGCTTAATGACTGAGCCACCCAGGCGCCCCTCCAGTTTTATTTTCTTCTAATGTCTTTGATCTTAGTATCAGGGTGATGCTGGCCTCATAAAATGAATAGAAAGTATTTACTCCTCTTTTTTAAGTTTTTCTGTGCTATTTTTTATTCCTTTAATGTTAGAAATCACCAATGAAGTCACCTGGATGTTGAATGTTTTTTTGTGGAAAAATCTTGTTGATACGAATTAATGTCTTTATGTAGAGCTGTTAGATTTTTACATCTTCTTGAGTCAATTTTGTTAGCTACTTGTGTCTTTCAAGGAATTTGCCCATTTTACCAAGGTTTTCAAATTTATTGACATAATTTTCATAGTGTTTTAAAATATCAACTTTGCTGTGGTTTAGTTCATATGTAATGAACCACATTAAAGTGAACGACTGAGTGGATTTTGACAACCCCCCCCCCATGAAATCACTGCCCTTACAATTAAGGTACAGAATATTCCCATCATACCTCATTCTCTCTGCAGTGGTTCCAACCACTGAGGTGTTGTGCCATTGGACCTTAGTTTGCATTTTTTAGAATTTCAGAGAAATGGAGAATACATTATGTACTCTCTTATTTTCACTCAGCAGAATGATTTTGAGATTCATGTTGCTGCATGTATCAGTATAATGAATAGTATTCCATTGGTTGGACCACGTTTATCCATTCACTTGTAGACATTTGTGTTTCCAGTTATTGGCTGCTGTGAACATTTGTGCACGAGTCTCTGTGTGGCATGCCTTTTAATTTCTCGTGAGGAAACACCTAGGAATGAAATGGCTGGGTAGTGTCAGGTACATGGTTGACTCGTGAAGAAACTGCCAGTTGTTTTCCTAAGTGGCTGTTATTTTACATTCCTACCAGCAAAGTGTAGACTTTCAGTTGTCCTATATCCTCACCAATACTTGGCATTGTCATTCTTTTTGATTTTAGTCATTTTAATGGGTATGTAGTGGGGTTACATTCTGGTTTTAATTTGTATTTCCCTAGCGTCTATTAATGTTGAGCATCTTTTTATATGCTCATTGGCCATTTTGTGAAGTGTTTGTTCACATCTTTTGGCCATTTAAAAAATTGGATTGTCTTATTTTTGATAAGAGGATTTTCTCTTTTTTTGGTAAGTTTGTCAGATAGTTTCTCCCATTCTGTGGCTTGCTTTTTATTTTTCAACAATGTTTTTTGAAGAGTAAGCATTTTTAATTTTGATAAAGTCCAGCATGTTAATTTTTTTTATGGTTCATACTTCTTGTCTCTTATCTAAGAACTACTTTTCCCAAGGTCAAAATTTTTCTTTGCTTCCTCTTTTAAGTTTTATAATTTAGCTTTTACTTTTATTTTTTTAAAATATAATTTAAAATTCTTCCTTTTTTTCTTTTTTTAAAGATTTTATCCATCTATTTGAGAGAGAGAGAGACAGAGATAGTGACAGCATGAGTGGGGAGGAGAGGGAGAAGCAGGCTCCTCACCGAGCAGGGAGCCTGACGCGGGGCTCGATCCCAGGACCCCGAGACCACGACCCGAGCCGAAGTCAGAGGCCCAGCCAACTGAGCCACCCAGGCGCCCCAGCTTTTACTTTTAGAGCAGTTGGTCCCCACCCCCATCTGTTGGATATGCAGTGATATCACCTCTTTCTGATGTTGGCGATTTGTGTTCCTTCATCATTCTTAACAATTTTGCTGATCTTTTCAAAGAACAATTTTTGCCTTAATTTTCCTTGTTTTTCCATTTGCCAACGTGCCTGCCAAAGGGCTCTTCTGGGTCTTTCTCCTTGGGAGCCCGTGAAGGGGAGGCCCTGCCCAAACACCCTGTGATGAGAGCTCCCCACCTTCCAGAGGGGTGGTCATCCCAGGGCAGGGACCTGGGGCACTTGGGTGTTTTCTTCTTTTCTGTGTGGTCTATATTTTTGCTGGTTATTCTATACTGTAAAACACAAACTTCATATTAATGAAAAGAAAGTTTGGTATCCCCTCCATCTCCAAGACAGCAAGGGGAGGAGGGACAGGTTGTTGTTGGTGGCCGGGACACTTGGGTCTCCATGGCAGGAAGGAGCCTGTCCTCACACTGACCCAACTCTGTTCACTTTGCCTTCTGAGTTGGACGATGTTTGAAGATCATTAGAAGGTACTTAGAAATGTTACCTTTAGAAGTTTCTGTATCAAAGTGACCTCTGTCCTCTGCAGGAGAAGTACAGTATCGGGGAGCCCACGGTGCCATCCACCATCGCGGAGGAGTTCACCTACAACCCGTTCATGAGAGTGAGGTGAGGGAACACTCCATGTCTGCACCTCTGCCTCACTCAGCCCAACAGTGTCCACTCCCCAGCCCCCCTGCAGACCCCAAATGCTGGAGGCTGCCCTGAACTCTTTATCAAGCACTGCATAGCCTAGGATGCAGGTATCTCTTCTCAGAATGGGGGGATGCTTTCCTTGTGCCCTGGCAAGGGTTTGGGGTCCTTTCTGACCCTGGAGGGTCTCGGGGAGCTTCCACCTGGGCTCTGACCGACGCCAGTGCGGAGTTGGTGTTCCCACTCTCTGGGTTGCCGGCAGGACGGCTTGGCCAGCATGTCTTCCAGTTAGGAACACGCAAGCTGGCCGCTGGCTGTAGCATTTCATTTTTTAAGAATGTCCCAGCTTCTGCTGGCTCTTTTTGTCCCCGGCGCCCTGGTAGAGGCGGTGGGCTGGGCGAGCATGGTGTGCAGCCTGGCGTTTGGCTTCTGCAGGGAGAAGACCGTACAGCAGCATGCTGGCGAGACTGACCCCGTGACCACCATGAGGGCCATCCGCAAAGAGAAGGACCATTTCAAGGTGCCCCGGGACTGAGGCGGCTGTGGGGCCTGGGGTGCCCGTGGCCGCCACCACTCTCAAGCACATTTGGGTATTCAGATGTTTTAGATAAATTTCCTGCCAGGAGTGCAGGAAATCCAGTCTTGGTTTAATTTTAAATTAATCTCAAAGCCCTTTGCCCGTGTTATCAGATGTTCTAATGCATATTTATAAGAGAAGTTGAAAGTGTATTCCTGGATGCTCAGCTTGCAGACTGTGTGTTCTGTCCGGCCTCCGGTGCACGTGGGAGGACCCAGTGGGGACAGACGAGGCTCAGGGTGCGGCCAGACCGAGGGCACAATGGGGGCAGGAAGGGCTGTCCCCAACCGGCTCGTTTTTGCATCTGGAGGTCTTCCTCTGTTCTGGATGTTATCCCTTTGGCTTTGATCTGTGGGGGAGAATGGTGCCGGGAGCGCTGTCCTGGCAGCTGCTGGCTGCTCCCAGTTAGGACTTCTCCAGCTGAGGTTGTGTGTTGCCACTCTCCCTAGACGTCCTCAGGCCACTCAGGTCACGTGTCCAGGTCCTGGGCAGGTGTGGGGCTCCCGTTGATCTGCTGCTGCCGTGTGGGCCATGGTGCTGCACGGCTGCGAAGCACGGAGTCCTTCGTGTCCTAAGATGATGACCCTTAGATGGAGCCGGAGCCCCCCTGCTTCCCGGGGTTGTCATGGAATGGGGTTTGCATGGGACCTTCTAGATGTTTTGTTGTACAGCTCTGGAAATAGCCTGGGCATCTCAGGGTGCGTCGTGGTGCTGCCAGGCTGTACCCATCCGTGCTGGAGAGTGCATATCCGGGGCGGACCTGTGGCGGCGGGCCCATACCCCTGGGGCCTGCAGGGCATTGCCGGTGTCCCTTGGTGCGTGTGTCCCTCGTCTGCCACTAGCATCCCCCACAGTCCCCCTACTCTCTTGGTCCCTGTGCTCCCAACTGCACATGGAAATGTCAAACAGTAGACAAAATATAAAATATACGGAACAGAGGAAAAAACACACCCCATCACTCAGCCTCTATGGGCTAAGAGCCCCGAATATTAGCTGTTGTCCTTTGCATGTGTTGTCTTTGGTGAGGGGGTCCTGCTGGGCCACCCCCATGGGCTCTGGAGCCAGACATGTGGCTGAGGTCTTGGGTCTGTGACGTGAGGCTCCGAAACGCTCACGCGAGTGCTGCATGCCGACCACGGAGAGCAGGCATTTCGACTCAGGAGAACGTTCTGGCCCATGTCCACCACACCTGTGTGCAACCCACCGTGGGGTGGCCTGCTGCCGCCCCGGGGAGGCTGGATCCCATTCCGCACGCATGCTGCCCACTTGGGTTTCCTCCTCTGGACCGCTGCTTCGCCTGCCCCCCCCCCCCTTTTCTCCCGGGCTTTGCTCTCGCTGGTCACACGGGGCCTTTGTTTCCTGCCACGCGTGTCGGCAGTCATTTCCTAGGCGGCTGCTGGCTTCGTACTCTGGCGTCTTGTTGAAGAAATCCTTCCTGTGGTCAAGTGCACGGTACGCATTCACCTTTCCCTCCTCTGCTGCCTTCCCATTAGTCCATCCAGGAGTCCGGTGCTTGCTTCTGACCCCCCGGTCTGCGGTTCCCGTGAAAGTGCTGTAGATGCTGGTGGCCAGCACTCTGCCCCCCCGGGGTGGGTGCCCACTCGTCTGTCCCTCGGGGCGAGCACCCAGGGGTGCAGACCTGTCCTGTGGCCCCACAGTCCGTGTTACTACAGCTGTAGAATAATTCTTCATTTCCAGGAAGGGACACAGCCCAACTTTGTCCTTCAGGAAAATCTTGGCCGTTTGCCCTTATGTATAAATACTAGGTGTTTATGGCTGGGGTCAGGACAGGAATGATACTGTGACGCGCTGGATTTCTGGACTTCTTGTGATGCAAGTTTCAAGTTACGAACTTGCCACTTGTCCAGCATTAGGTCTCTGCTGCTCTCTGTGTTGGCTAAAACCCAACTCTGACGCTGAGTACCCCTGTCCATGCGGCCCTGCAGCTGGAGGGCTCGCTCCCCAGCAAGACCGCCCTGGTCCGCGGGCTCCCGCAGGGGGCGTCCGTGCGACCGGTGTGGGCTGTGGTGGTGGCCCGCCTGGCTGCAACAGCAGACGGTCCTGTTGACCTCTCTCGCTCAGTCACTCACGAGATGGCTCCTAGAATGCTGAGATGTGCTGCCGTTGGGATTTTATAGTTTGATTATAAAGGGTACAAAGCAGGGCCCCAGGGCGAGGCCTGGGGAGCCCGGAGCGCTGAGCCGCGTGCTCTCTGGAACGCCATGTGTCACCCTCCTGGCCCATCTGAGCCAGCGCTGACGTGCAGTGGGGTGTCATTGCGTCGTCCCTGGGATTGCTGGCCATGTGCGCGGTGTGACCATCCCCCTTGTGTCAACCCCCGTGTGGCAGCAGCTCCTGGGAACGACAGTCCGCACCCCACCCCGTGGGGAGTTTCAAGGGCTCCAAGGCTCCCTGCGCGAACTAGGGAGATGGCAAGCAGGCCACCGGACAGCAGATGCCTTCCCACCGGGTGCTGACTCTCTCCCCGGGGGCCAGCTCTTGGAACGTCCAGTACCTGGTACTTGGTCCTTTGACGCGGCTATAAATGGTGTCTCTTTAAATCACTCCAGGGTCAGGAACGTAGAGCAGTGCAGTCAGCTTTGCTCCCGGGAATCCGCTCATCCCTGCCTGAGCTCCATATCCTTTGTGAACCTTCTATGGTCCCGCTGCTGGGACTTTTGTTCCCTGGGTCTCCTGTGTTGAGGTGAGGAGAGCAGGACCACGGCCCTCGTCCCCAACCTCACTGACGGTTTCCCGAGTGCAGCCGCTGTGGTCGAGGCCGAGCTGCTCTGGGGGGTTCAGTGTGAACAGACCAAAGCCTCTGCCCTCGTGGAGCTTCTGTCCGGGTGGAGGAAGCACTGGAGAAAGGCAAGAAGCAGAAAGTGTGGGGGCTGGGCAGGCCTTGCTGAGGTGGTGCTGTGAGCAACTGAAGGCTCGAAGGAGCCAGCCTTACAGATACCTGGAGAGAAAAGAAAGTGCCAAGGCCCTGGGGCAGGGCTTTGGCTAAGGCGTGGGGAGCGGCAGATGGGACATGGGAGCACCTTGGCATCCACCCGAAGATGTGTGCTGGCGGGCAGAGGGCGCCTCTACCAGCATTTCTCTGAGGGCCGTGGTGGGGCTGCCGGAGAGGTGAAGGGCTTCCCAGTGAGCTGAGCGGGAGGCCCCCCCAGTGAGCTGAGCCGGAGGCCCCAGCCTCTGCCCCAGCTGGGATCTGAGCTGTGCGTGCAGGGTTGCGGGGAGACAGAAAGGGGCCCATAGAAGGCCCATGGGGCTGGGTTTGGGCAAGTGGAGGTCGAGTTGCCTGTGAAGCACCCCGAGGTGGGGGGCAGTGGGCAGAGGAACGTCAGGGTAGGTTGAGGCTGGAAATGCACCCTAGGGGGTCGCCAGCATGCAGGGGAGTCCTGCAGGCAGGAGGTGCTCACTGGGCAGTGAGGTCAGGATGGCGGGTGCTGGAGAGGTGCCAGGAGGAGGGGCAGGTGTGCGGGACAGAAGTTTGGCCAGAAGTCACCCCAGATGGGAGCTGGGTCTCCTCACATAGTCTCCTTTGGTGGATTCTGCACAGTTATGTTCTCGACGTGCCGTCTCCACGGGGCTCCCGCTGCTGGCCGGGCGTAGACGCCTTCTTGCAGAAGCCCATCTGCTGTTGGCAGATAATAAAGGGACTGGAGTGTTTGCTCTTTGCGAGTCTGAAGAAGGTAAATTCTAGTATGAGCCTGATGTTTTCAACAGTTACAGGGCTGTTACTTCTCTTGTTCTTCAGCCACTTGGGGAGGGGTCTTTCTTTCCAGTATTTTCTTTTTTTTAAAAGATCTTAAGTCCTCTCCACACCCACCACAGGGCTCAAACCCAAAACCCTGAGGTCCAACCACATGCTCCGCCGACTGAGCAGGCCAGGCGCCCCTCTTTTTTTCAGAAGGGTCTGGGGTGCCCTCCCGCTCCCTGACATCTTGCTGTGGCTCCTACCTTCTCAGCTCCTCGGGGCTGTCATCTTTCTGAACAAGAAGGTGAAGCTGGAAGCTCACCCGAAGCGTCCGGCGTGAAGTGCTGAGTGTGACTGAGGGGACTTCCGTGGTTTCTCTCCTTCGTGTCTTCCCTGCCATGGACTGACTTCCCGTCGGGCATGAGCACAGAGCCCGGGCGTCTGCCGCCCTTGCTCCTGAGTCCCGACCCAGGGCCCCTGATGCCCTCAGAGGGGTTTTATTTGGAAGTATTTCTTTAGGGCTCTGTGACCCGTTTTCCTCTGGGCGGGGGGGGGTCTGTCTGCTCTTGGACGTGGCCCTGGGTCCCGTGCTGGTCCCGTGTGGTGCACTTCTCTGCAGCTAGGAAATCGCTCGGGCTTTACCAATCTTAAAAATGTTTTATTAGGTGAGGATCCCAGCAGTGACCCAAGTGTACAGTTCAGGGGCACTGAGCACTCCCACACTCCTAGTAACCCCACGCTTTTCATCATTAATTGGTCAGTAAAACCGTAAAAGGTTTCTCCTGGTTCACTTACTTCTACGGACGCTGATTGTGAGTTGGAGCAGCAGAGAGGCCTGGGAAGAACTGGATCTTGGTTGGTCTAGGACAGAGTCTGGTGTAGGGGCTGCACCCCTGTGTGAGTCCAAGACTGTGTGTGAAGGGTCCGCCCTTAGCAGAGGTGGGGGTCAAGCCCATGTGGGGTCCCACTGTAGCCAGGTGGGTGTTGGGGGGGTGGAGAGGAGACAGGACACTGCGTCTGTTCCTTCCCTGGCCCAGAGAGGTTTCTCATCTGTCAGCTAATATAAGTTGGAACCCAACTTCTTAATAAGCTTCTGTTGAAGCAATGAATGTCTCGGGTCTAGTCTGGGGCAGAGGGGTGGGGGGTGGGGGACGGGCTGTCACTGGGAAAAAAGAATACTGCTTTACACTTGACCCCGTAAGTAACACCGTAATTCAGAAATTGAAAGGAAAATAGGTAACGTCACAAAAATTAGATTTTTTTTTTTTAAATTAAAAAAATTTTGAGAGCACGTGAGCAAGCCGGCGGAAGGGTGCAGAGGGAGAGAATCTCAAACAAAATCCCCCCCTTCCCGAATGTGAAGCCCAATGTGGGGCTCAGTCTTGTGACCCTGAGATCATGACCTGAGCCGAAACCAAGAATCCTGATGCTTAACCGACTGAGCCACCCAGGCACCCTAAGAAACAGAGATTTAAATTCTCCCGAAGAGGTAGACAGCCTGGATGACCCATCACCAAGGACGCAGGAGGCGCAGAGTGCACGCTTCCCCCACGGAATCACCTGTGTTCAGAACAGCCCACCCATGTGGCATTCTTCAGCACAGACCACAGCGTAAGCCACACAACTAGTCATTGTGAATTTTAAAAGACCAAAACAATGAAGTATGTTCGTTAACTCCAGCAGAATTATTTCCCCGCGGCAGAATGAAGTCTGGACGCCCCCGCCTCCGGAAAGAACAACTCTCTGAACAGCATGTGGGTCAGGAGGAGTGAAAATTGAAAGTACACCAATGTTTGTGGGACACAGCAAAGCCCAGAGCCTCACACATCTGCACAGAAAAGAAGGCCTCTATCTTAAAAACTAGAGAAAAGAGCAAACAAAACACAAAGAAGAAAAAGGAAAATCAGCAAAAGAGAAAACAGAAAACCCAAAAGTTCTTTGAAAAGATCACGAAGTTGACAAACCCACAGTTAGACTGGCCAACAAAGAACACACATCACCAAAATCACGTGGGAGAGGGGACAGCGCTACCCCTCCCCTCACGGAACTAAGCGTCAGGACTCTCAGGGAATGTTAGGAAAACAACCCTGGCCAGTTCCTAGAAAGGCACAAATCACGTAAATGGACTCAGAAGGAAACAGTAAATCAGAATAGACTGTAGCAAGAAATCAAACTGATACGAGGTCTGAAGTCTTCATGCAGAGGAAGAGCCCAGCAGCTCCACCGAGCATTCTGTCCATGACACCACTCACTCACAAACTAGGAAAAAAACAGAGGGAGCTTCCCCACCCCTCCTGAGAGGCGAGTGTTGTCCCGACACCAAAGCCACAGACGTCACGAAAGAAGACTAGAGATCAGTGTCCCTTGTGAACCGTGAGATGTCAAATTCGCAACAAAAGATCAGTAACCCAAGTACGGCAACATCATGCAGCATGACCAAATATTTATCACAGGAATGTCAGTCGGCTAGACATGCAACAATCAACAAACATTGTAGCCCATCCTCATGGAGTAAAGGACAAAATCCACAGGATCAGCTCAATGGAAGCAGCAAAACACTGGACAAACCCAAACACACCCATAAGAAGTGTCCAATCACGAACAGAAGGCAGCTTCCTGGGCCTCAGGATAAAAGACACCCGCATGAAGGTCTCAACAGCAGAGCATCCGATGGCGACAGACCTGGTGCTCGAGGCAGTAAGTCAGACCCCAGCCGCTCCAGACTCACAGTGCCTGCCGGGCTGCTTCCTCCTGGAGGCCCCGGAGAGCCTGCTTCCCCGCCCAGTCCTCCTGCCAGAGGTGCCCTCGTTCCTTGGCTCCTGATGTCCTTCCCATATATTCCAACACCAGCAGCTGTGGGTGGAAGCCTCCCATGGTCTCCCACCTGCCCCCGGAGCCCCCTCTTCCACTGTTAAGGACCTCTGTAATGACACTGGGTCCACCTCGAAAATCCACGTTAGTCCCACTGTCTGGGCCAGCCGATTAGCAACCTCTACTCCCTTTTGCGGTGTGGCTGAACACGGTCGTGATTGTAGAGGTGAGGACGGCTATCCCTCTGAGAGCATTATTCTGTCACAGTGTCCGAATTCATGGTGACCGACTGAACACTCACCTCTAAAACCAGGAGTGAGGCGAGGCATGTCTGCACTTGCCCCTGTACTCGGCGTGGTACTGGACGTGCAGTAAGACCAAAGAAACCACAAAAAAACCACAATAGAATGCAAACTAGAAAGGAAGAAGGAAAAATGTCCTTATTCATAGACTAGATGACCCCATAAGGAGCTAATCCTAGGGATCCAGATATACGTACGAACCCAGGACTGATAAGTTTGTTTAGCCAAGTCCAGGATACAAGATTAGTGAAAAAAAAAATCCATTCTATTTCTACATGCTAATAACTGGAAATGGAATTAAGATGATTCCATTCACGGTAACGCAAAAACTAATAAAATACTTAGAAATTACTTTATCGGAAACAGTGCAAGATTTATAAAGATCTAAGTAAATGGAAAGGTGCTCTGTATCCCTTGATTAAAAGATTTTTGTGATCCAGTGTGAGGCACACAGAAAGCATGAGCCAGAAAAGAAAAAAATAATAGAGTGGAACTTAGTCAAAATAAACTTTTGCATTTTAAGAGACAGTATGTCTTTTTTTTTTTTCTCAAAGTAGGCTCTACAGCCAGCATGGAGCCCCATGCGGGGCTTGAACTCACGACCCGGAGATGGAGACCTGAGCTGAGATCAAGAGTCTGACGCTTAACTGACTGAGCCACCCAGGTGCCCCATTTTTTAAAATATGGATAACCCATAAACTGAGAAAAATATTTGCAAATATTATACCTGATGACCTATAATCCATAAAGTCTTGGAACTCAGAAAACTTAAGAGCGAGCGAGACTTAGATAGAGCTCGCACCCAGGACGACAGAGCTGAGCGCCCTGGGAAACGGTGCTGAGCGTTAGTTGTCAGACACAGACTCAGAATAGCCGGGCGTGTAAAACTGCACGCCCAATGCTGGGCAGGATGTGCAACCACTGGAACGCTCGTACTTCCAAAGATTTTTAAAAAGTTAGACCTAAGGGGTGCCTGGCAGGCTCAGTCAGTGGAGTGTGCAGCTCTGGATCTTGGGGTCGTGAGTTTGAGCCCCACGTTGGGTGCAGAGATGACTTAAAATCTTTAAAAGTTACACCTAAATACCACGTGAGCCAGCAACTCCACTTGTAAGAATCTACCCAAGAAGCATGAAACACGTCCATATGAAGAGTCGTAGACAAATGCTGGCAACAATGTCCCAGTAGCCCCCAGATGGAACAATCCAGACGTCTGTCAGCTCAGCGGGTGAACGGATCCAGCGGCGGCCCATCCCTGCCATGGCCTGCTGTTCGGCCACAGCTCGGCTCGAAGGACTCCAGGCTGCTATGTGGGTGAGCGCAGAAAGCCCGCCCACTGGCCACGGGGAGACCCACGAGCTCCCGAGGCTGGAGCAGGGGGCCGTGTACCTGGTCCCAGTAAGGCCATTTTAGGGGAGGACTGTCGGTGGCGGCGTCGCACTTGTCAACGCCCTTCAGAAGTTCTCAGCCTATACAGACGGAAGGAAAGTGGAACAGAGGAAGACAAGAGGGAACAGTATCAAAAAGTTAGAAGCCATCCAGGAAAAACTCCACAGCGTGCACAAGATCGTGACAGAGGCGTATGGAAATGCTGAGCGACACCAGGGGAGCTCTGAGGAGGAGACTGTGCACCACGTGCGGGGGCGTGGGGTCCGTCCTGCACAAACTTCGGCACAACCCACACTCCCACAGGCTCTGGTTTCGGTTCAGACACTGGCGAGCTGCTTGCTCGGCCTAGGAGGGCTCGCACGGGGTCCTGCACACGTTCCCCCACCCCCAGGCTCGTGGGCAGGGGACCCAACGTGTTCCCAGGGTGCTTCAAGAGCATTATGTTTAAGTCCACGTGCCATAGTGGCCGTGAAGCCACCAAGACTGAGAAGTCCAGCTCAACGCAGAACGTCTTGGGAAACCGTGTTAAAATGAACTCTTGCCAGAAATGACGGAGAGAGCGGAAAGGCACGCTCCGGGGCACAAGGATACGCTGCCCACGTACGCCTGGTGAAGGACTTGCATCCCTCCCCCACCCGCCCACCGCCGGCCGATGAGCCTGAGGGGCCGTGGTCCCGCTGGTGTTGGGAGAAGACCAACGGAAGGAAAGCCACCATCCACTCACCTTCGGGCCTTGGGAACAGACAGAGTGGCGGTGGGGTGTGCAGGACACTCCTCGGCCCCAGAATGTGGTGACCTGCTAACTACTTGGGAAGGCTCGACCTCACCTGCCGAGAAGACACGCACCTGGATCCCAGTAAGTCCACCGAGGGCCCACAAGCTCGCGGCACTGTCCACGGGCAGTAGGTGGGTGAGTGCATCCTAAGGCGCGAGCGAGGATGTGGGGACAGCTGTGTGTACGAGCTGGCTGAATCGCACGTCACACAAGCAGCCAGACCCGGCGCTTGCGTGGGTCCCCACACACCTGACGCCAGACGCCTCGGGGAGACCCTCAGGGGGCCGACTCCCTGAGTGGTGGGGGCTGACTACGGGTGTTGCTGCAGCGAGCACTCGCCCCAGCGGCCAGGTCCCGTGGAGTGTTTCGGCCATGCAGGCCCAGCCGGGGTTTACAGAAAGAGCCCTGTCCCCTCCTGCCGCACACCCTCCCTTCCCAGCCGGGCCGAGAGCTTGGCGGAACGTGCTGAGTCGGCACTTTGTGCTCTGTAAACGCGTGTTTACCGTGTCAATTTCTGGGCGTGCACTTTCTCTGGCAGATCTATAATTTCTCAGAACAGAGGCTGAGAACCGACCTGGAAATCAATCAAAGCTCAATAAAGGGACAGATAAAGCCGCCCCCACCCCTGGCACCAGGAGCTGTGGGCCAGACAGGGGCGAAGCGGGGGTGGGGGGAACGGAGAGGGGTGCTGTAGCTGCCCCCAAGCCCTCCCTGCCGCGCTGCCTCCGCCTGGCCAGGAAGTACACTGCAGAGTCTCCCGAACCTCCACCAACCCCTTCTCTCAAGGGGAGCCCGGCCGTGCCCTCGTCCACTCGCCTCTGCCCTGCTGATCAAGTCACCTCTTCCTGGGGGCTGGCCACGCGCAGTGCAGCCCTCCAGCCCTGCCTCTACCGAGGACCCCTCCCCGGCTGTGGCAGCCGCGCCCAGGGTGGGTGGATGAGGGTGCGGCCGGGCTCCCTTTGCTCGAGCAGCCAGAGGCCATGCTGGCTGTCAACTTTCTTCCCCGCCTGACCTGGGGCTGACCTCAGGCCATGCACTGGGCGGTCATCCTGTGCAGAACGGGCTGGTCATGGCCCCCCAGGAGCTCTGGAGGACAGCTTGGGTCCCAGAGCAGGTGGAGGCTGGTTCTGTGGCCATAAGACCTGGCCCCCAAGGCCAGGCCTCCCTCCACTCTTTCTGGGAGGGCAGTGCTAGGGAAAGCAAACACGAGGGGGCCGGGGGCCCTGCCGGGTGTTCCTAGAAAAGATTGGGGGGAGGAGGAGTGGTCAGACACCAGCTGACCCTGAGGTCCCAGAAACAGGCTGGGCGGGGCCCCGCGGAGTCCTAATGAGGACCCCACCCAGGTTGTTAGGAAATGGGCAGGGGGAAGGAGGGGGGTGGTCAGCGTGCCAGTCCCATCTCCCACTTAACTCCCACATGGCCGTCTGCTGAGCGGGAGGTCCCCCACAGCTGTCGGAGGGGCCCCCACCCAGGGTCTGGGGGCCAGCCAAACCTGAAGGTGGCTTTGGGGTGAACATGGCCCCCCAGCCTCTCCCCTGCGCCGTCTGCATCCTGGGCATTTGGGGCTGATGCTGGGCGCCGGGCACGAGAGGGTTAATGGAATCCGGGCCAGTGGGGCTGGGCTGGGCTGGCCAGCGACAGGGTGCTGGCTGCCCCAGCAGTGAGGGAATCAGAGGGCACGAGCAGCCGGCCCCAGCAGACGCACTCAGCTCGTGGCCCGCCTGTGGCCTTTCTGCACGCGGGATGGCCCCGATTAGAGGTGAGGTGCCCCCAGGGCCCCAGCCCCTCACTCTGGGGGCAGCTAACCCTGTGCCCCCCGAGCCCACGGGCAGCCCTAGGGAGGGCTCGGCCTGGGGTGGGCCAACAGCCGAGTGTTGCTGCTGCCGGCCGAGGGATGCGCCCTCAGGCTCCTCCACTCCCTCTGCCCACCTCCCCTCTGGCCCCAGGGCCCAGGCCGGGGCGCCGGGCAAGAACCCGAGTCTCCTCACAGCCCACCCCGGAGACCCTTCCCTGGGCTGGGCTGCTTCCCTCACAGCCCCTCACGGGCCAGGCCCCTGTCACCCCATCCCCCTTGGGGCCCAGGCCCGTCGGGGGGGGGGGGTGCATCCTCTAGTGCTGTCTCTGGCCTCACTCAGACACCCCGAACCCTCTGGCAGGGATGGGCCCCAATTTGGTGGGCAGCCCCGGGCGTGATGCAGGTTTTGGGGTGTTGGTGTGGGGCCCAGCGCCCTTTGTCCTGAAACACCCCTGACCCCTGGTGAGTTGAGGGTGTGTAGTCTCTGTCTGCCCTGAGGCAGGCGCCCTGCTCCTCTCCCTGCCCGAGAGCCGAGCTACGTTCCTGGACGTGGCGCACACACGCCAGGGAGCACACGGGCGAGGGCCCCCCAGTCCGGGAGCCTAACTGGGGTGGTGTGCGCCCGCTCACTGGCCAGCCCTCAAGGGCAGGAAGCACATACCTACTCAGGCCTTCCCCAGGCCCACCTGGCGGCAGGGCCCCACTCAGTGTCCACGTTGGGGACGCAGACGGCCATACGGCCGAATGGCCAGGCGCCCCTACCCTCAGTTCTCTCCAGACCAGGCATCACGACCCTGGCGGGCCTGGCCTGCAGGGTGGAAAGGGCAGTCGGTCGGTTCTGAGACGGACAACGTCCCGGCTGTCCTGCCCGGCTCTGCTTCCGACTCTGGCGGGGAGAGAGCGCAGCTCTGAGCTCCCCCCTTCCTCCGGGCCCTCAGCGGCACTGCCTCTTCCGGTCACGTGCTGCGGCCCGGGGCGAGCCCCACGAGTTCCACGCTGGAGCCATGTGCGGGCTGCGCCCTCGCCCCGGGGCTCACGCTCTCTGGCCCCTCTCCCTGCAGGAGGCCTGGCCCTGGCCGTGCTGCTAGTCTGCTGGGCAGCGCTGGGCCCCTGCGGCCCCGAGGGAGCGGAGCCCGGGGCTCCGGGGGCCGCCGAGAGCCTGCAGTGCCCGGCCATCTGCACCTGCGGCCACGACGACTACGTGGACGAGCTCAGCGTCTTCTGCAGCTCCCGGAACCTCACGCGGCTGCCCGACGCCATCCCGGACGGTGCCAGGGCCCTGTGGCTGGACGGCAACAATCTGTCCTCCGTCCCCGCGGCTGCCTTCCGCAATCTCTCCGGCCTCGCCTTCCTCAACCTGCAGGGCAGCGGGCTGGCCAGCCTGGAGCCGCAGGCACTGCTCGGCCTGCAGCAGCTCCGGCACCTGCACCTGGAGCGGAACCAGCTGCGCGGTCTAGCGGCCCGCACCTTCCTGCACACGCCGGGCCTGGCCTCCCTCGGCCTCAGCAACAACCTGCTCGGCCGGGTGGACGAGGGCCTCTTCCAGGGCCTGGCCGGCCTCTGGGACCTCAACCTCGGCTGGAACAGCCTGGCCGTGCTCCCCGACGCCGCCTTCCAAGGCCTGGCTAACCTGCGCGAGCTGGTGCTGGCAGGCAACAAGCTGGCCTACCTGCAGCCCCCGCTCTTCTGCGGCCTGGCCGAGCTCCGCGAGCTGGACCTGAGCAGGAACGCCCTGCGGAGCGTCAAGGCCAACGTGTTCGTCAAGCTGCCCAAGCTCCAGAAGCTCTACCTGGACCACAACCTCATCACTGCTGTGGCCCCCGGCGCCTTCCTGGGCATGAAGGCGCTGCGCTGGCTAGACCTGTCACACAACCGCGTGGGCGGCCTCCTGGAGGACACCTTCCCCGGCCTGCTGGGCCTGCACGTCCTGCGCCTCTCGCACAACGCCATTGCTGGCCTGCGGCCGCGCACCTTCAAAGACCTGCACTTCTTGGAGGAGCTGCAGCTCGGCCACAACCGCATCTGGCAGCTGCCCGACAAGGCCTTCGAGGGCCTGGGCCAGCTGGAGGTGCTCACGCTCAACGACAACCAGATCCGGGAGATGGAGGCAGGCGCCTTCCTCGGCCTCCTCAGCGTGGCCGTCATGAACCTCTCTGGGAACTGCCTGCGGACGCTCCCGCAGCAGGTGTTCCACGGCCTGGGCCGACTGCACAGCCTGCACCTGGAGCGCAGCTGCCTGGGCCGCATCCGGCCGCACGCCTTCGCGGGCCTCTCGGGCCTGCGCCGCCTCTTCCTCAAGGACAACGGCATTGTGGCCGTGGAGGAGGAGGGCCTGGGGGGGCTGGCGGAGCTGCTGGAGCTGGACCTCACAGCCAACCAGCTCACGCACCTGCCCGGCCAGGTCTTCCAGGGCCTCGGCAAGCTGGAGTACCTGCTCCTCTCCGGCAACCGGCTGGCGGCGCTGTCAGCGGACTCCCTGCGGCCCCTGCGGCGCGTCTTCTGGCTGGACGTCTCGCACAACCGCCTGGAGGCCCTGCCTGAGGCCGACCTGCCCCAACTGCGCTACCTGAGCCTCAGGAACAACTCCCTGCGGACCTTCACGCCACAGACCCCTGGCCTGGAGCGCCTGTGGCTCGAGGGCAACCCCTGGCACTGTGGCTGCCCCCTGCGGGCCCTGAGGGCGCTGGCCCTACAGCAGCCCAGCGTTGTCCCGCGCTTCATGCAGGCCGTGCCGGAGGGGGACGACGGCCAGCCACCCGTGTACGCCTACAACAACATCACCTGCGCCAGCCCCCCGGGCGTCTCGGGCCTCGACCTGCGTGACGTCGCCGAGGCTCACTTCGCTCACTGCTGACCGAGGCGCGCCTGGCCCGATGCTGCCCCGGGGTCACAACGGCGTCCCCCTCGGGGCGGGGGGGGACACGGTACAGCCACGGGGTCCTGCTGGCGTGGGCACCGCCACCACACGGGCCCCGGCCCCTCAGCCGTCCCTCATTAAAAGCCATCTGACACACGCGTGTGACCACAGCAGTGTAGCTTTGGCGGGGGAGGAAAGCTGGGCCCACGCCCTCAGCCCACGTCCCTCCCGGGATGCCCACCTGCATGGGAGGGGGAGCAGCACCCCCGACCGTTGTCCAGAGCCCCAGCACCTCAGCTATCCTCTCTGGCAGCGTCCTCGGAGGCCCTGGTCCTGGGAAGCTGGGCAGAGCTGGGGCGGCCACTGCTCGGGGCCAGTGTGGATGTGGGTTCTCACTCCCCGGCCCCCCGCCAACACCCCCCTCCCACCCCAGCAGCCCTGCCCCTGCCCTCTTGTTCCATGCCAGGAAGTGTCTGTCCACGGCACACTTGGACCCGTCACCCCTGCCCTGGGGGCCACCCTGTCTCCTCTGCTGACACCCCAACCTCTTCCCTTGGGAAGAGCGCCGTGCAGTGCCCTCTCCCACTTTCCCTCTTGGCCTCCCTGGGGTTCCTGCACCTCAACCCCAGCTCTGCCAAGGCTCTGCGGCGTGGAGGGTGTGGAGGGCGATCGGGGACGGGCAGTGACCTATGCCGGGCTGAGCCTCCCCCAAGAGCATGCGTTTCTCCACCATCACCAAGCCCTCCACACTCTGTCCCCAAACTTGACCCAGACGTCTGCAGGGGCCTGCGGGCTGGGCATCGGGGCAAGGCTGGCTGTCATGGAGCGCGCCAGCATGCTAAGGCGCAGGCGGGACCAGGGCGCCACACTCTGAAAGCATCAGACCTGTAGCTGCGGCAGGGGAACGTTTAATCGTGGGTTCCTCTGAAGTTAACAAGTCTGACACTTCACAAGATGCTCCCCGCTGTCACCAGCATCACTCAGGGTGGCCCTGAGGACGGCGGACGCCCCAGGGATTTTACAGACGCACAGGCTTCGTGCCCCGCGTGGAGCCTGGGCTGCCAGCCACAGCCCGGCCGTGGGTCGGGGGCACGTGAGCACCGTGACAGGAAGAGCGGACGTGCTGTCACCTGAGAGTTCAGCCGCCAGGACCCCACACCTTCCCCTGGGACCTGCCACCGGCCCACCGGGCAGAACCACCCACTGTCGGCGTGGCTCCGGGGGCAGGGTGACGCCCGCACGGCCACAGCCTCTGCTTAGGCCTGTGTGCACGGTGCCAGGAGACGTGAGAGGGGGGCTGCCTTGGTTAGGAGAGCCGAGCAGGCGCCTCGCTCATAATCTTCTGGGCTATGGAGGAGAGTGCGGGGAAGGCAGGACTCTTAGGGAAGTCCCTGATGAAGTCTTGACCTTCCTCCAGGCTCCTTGTGAGCTCAGGGTCCAGAGGCACAGAGCCTGCGAAGGGAGACAGCAGGGGAGGGGCCGTGAGGGCGGCGGAGGGCAAGGAGCCAGCTTCCCAGCCCCACCCCGCACGAGGCTCCCAGGCCAGCCTCTGGCCCCCATGGGCGCCCACTCAAGCCCGGCTGCCCGCTGCCATCTCTCATGCCCACCGGGCGCGGGGAGCTCAGAGCCCCAGAGCAGAGGCCGAGCGGCGGCCCTGCTGCGCTCACCCAGGAAGGGGACTCCGGCGAGTCTGGCCAGCGCCTCCCCGCCTCCCCGGGAGAAGACGTTGGTGCATTCCTAGAACACAGATGTGCGGCCCCCCTTAAGGAACCTCTCACACACTCGAGGGGCAGGTCCAAGGGTGTCCTCGCCCCCCACAGCACGCCTGACCCTCAGCCCCGCGCCCCGCAAGGGCTGGTGACCGCCCGCCAAGTCCCCAGGACTCACTGCGCAGTGTGGGCAGACGAAACCACTCATGTTCTCCACGACCCCGACCACCTGCAGCCCTGTCTTCCTACAGAAGGTCAGCTCCCGCCTCACGTCCCCCACGGACACTGCCTGAGACCAGGGAATAGGGGACAGTGGGTCAGTGGGTAACTTTAAAGCGCACCACCGAGGGAGTAAAGGGCCGGGAGCAGCGCCAGGTCCCAGGTGAGGTCGAGGACAGCGGGCAACGTAAAGGTGCTCCTGCAGTACCTGGGGCGTGGTGACCACGAGGGCCCCCAGCGGGCTGTAGGGGCGCAGTGCCTCCACGGCGGCCATGTGCTCGTCAGAGGTCCCTGGTGGGGTGTCCACAACCAGGTAGTCCAGCTGTCCCCAGGCCACGTCAGCCACGAACTGCTTTATCAGCGCTGCAAGGACCCAGGGGGCTCACTGGGGGCTCACCGAGCTCCTCGCCTCCGGCACAGAGGGGCCTCTGCCCGTCCCGGGCCCGCCCAACAGCAGCAGAGCAAGCCATTCCTCACGGAGGGTGGGGCGCGCACAGCGCGGGCCCCATAAGCACCCCTCTCTTCCCGGCTGTGGGGCCACCCTTGCCCCTCCGAGACTTCTGCTCAGGCCTGAGCCAGGAGCTGTGACCCTTCTGCGGTGTCCGTGCTCGGACTCAGGCTCACCTCCAGCTTCGGCAGCAGGAGAGCCAGTGACCTGCAGCATCAGGCCGCGTCAGCACGTCCCGCACGCAGCCCCTGCGCTGAGCCTGCCGCCTGCCCCTCCCACCGCCAATTACAGGGCTTGGTGGGGCCTGCGGGTGCGGAGGGCCCAGTGCCCAGGCTCGGCACCCCACCCCCATGTCGGGTGGCCTCAGGTCTGAGCAGAACCCTTCCCGCTCAGGGACATGGATGGGGTTCCTCCTGCTCTCAACTCCCACGCGGGCCTGACCACTCAGGTGAGCAGCAGGACTGTTTGGAAATAGCTGGCTGTTGGGGTCTCCGGCTTTACCCAAGAACCCTGGGGAGGAGGACCCGCAGCTCCCGCGGGACTTTCTAATTGACTTTTTATTGAGCACCGCGGCGGCAGCTGGGAGGCGCGAGAGGGCTGACTGTGCCGTCCCCCACCCATCGTTACCGTTCTTCTTAGGGCCCCTCCACACCACAGCCTCATCCGGGCTCTCCAGCAGGAAGCCCACGGACATGAGGGAGATGCTCTGCTCCTGGTCCACAAAGACGGGGACCCAGCCACTGTCACACTGGTGCACGGCCCTGCCCTGTGCCCGAAGCATGCGGGGGATGCTGGGGCCACACAGGTCCACGTCGAGGATCCCCACCTGCAAGGAGGCAGGACGTCCACGAGGGGGAGGGGTAGGAGCAGAGGGTTGGTCCATGCAGGGGCAAGGCTGGGGGTGCTCACCTTCTTGCCTGCATGGCGCAGGGCCAAGGCCAGCTCCGTGGAGATGGTGCTTTTCCCGACCCCCCCCTTTCCTGAGAGGACAAGGATGATGTGCTGGACACCTGCCAGGTTTCCAGGCTCTGGTCAGAAGAAGAGGGCAGGAGGGCAGAGAATCCCCTTCGCACCAGATGCTTTTGGAGGCTCAGTCAGAAGGATCACAAGCACCTCCCACGTCCCAAATTCTGAGACCTGCCCCTTTGCCCTGATGGAAGCAAACACCCCCAGTTGGGAGGTCTTCTGGAGGGCCGGCCCCAGACCAGACCCGTGGCTTCCTTGAAGGCGCTATCTCAAATCGCCCCTCTCTGCTGAGAGCACATGTGTGACTGCGCACCTGTGAGCTCACACACACACCCAGGCGATATGAACTGAGAGGGGCTGCAGGCTCCCAGCTGATTCCAGGGAGAAACAGAGCCGTCATGACAGGCATGAGGTGCATCTGTGCTGGGGCGGCCCCCACCCCCACTCCTAGGATCCAGATCTGATCCCTAGGTGCTCAACTGCTCTCCTGGGGTCAGAGCACTCAAGGCAGCCCTGGCTTCCAGTTCTCAGGAGGAACGCTTACAGCTCTAGGAAAGCATGGGCGCATACCCACCTCTCTGGCTCAGACCAGCCTTGAACCGCAAGCACACAAGGGCGGCCATGGGACGGTCGTTCAGCCCCGGCCCAACAACCGTGGCTCTCTGTTGGCCAGGGGCCATTCTGCCCCGACTCTTCCTTCCAACGAGCCTAACATGTCACTGAAGAACTACCATCCCAACTCCTGCCCCTCCCAGGGGTTGCCATCTGCACCCACACAACCCTCAGTCCCTCTGCAAGACCCGAACGTTGCCTCAGTGCCCTCCGACCTCACCGTCTGCACGCCTGCCCAACCTCCAACAAGCTACTCTCCCCACCACCCTCCCCGCAATCCCGGGTCCTTGGGGGGCTCCACAAAGGACACCCTCGCCCTCCTCCAGACTCTCCTCTCAGAGAGAGGTGCAAAGGCCCCCGCCTCCAACGCCTCGCGGGGAGGAGCTGAGAGGGGCCCCGGGCCTGGCTCCCGGCAGGTCCTGGTCACCGAGGCCGGCAGCAGCCCCGGGGCAGCACACCACACCTACTTGCACCCGCTCGCACCATGCTGGAACGCCACTTCCACGAAGAACCAACAATACGTGGCGCTCTGGCTCACCTTCCTGGGACCCCCGCTCCAACCACAGCTCTGCCGCCACCAGGCCACCGAACCAAGGCCGCCGGGCGCAGCAAGACGCGGCTGGCCCCCTCCAAATACCCTGCGTGCGCCCTATGGGCGCCCACGAGAGCTCTCCTGAGCACCGGGGGCTGCGACCAGCAGCGGCGGACCAGCCCCTCCCACTCCCGCCGGCCCCGCGCACTCACCGGCCGCCGCCTCCATCCCGCCCGCGGCGCCGCACAGCCTCCGTCGTCTGCCCCCAACCTCTCGCCCCGCGCAGCGCCCTCCCCCTAGCCGTTCTGATAGGCCCACCGGCGCTCCACTCAGCCAATCACATCTCACGTAAGGTGCACGCACTTCCGGTGCCGACGATGAACCGGAAATGGACTCCCTTCCGTGTCAGTCCCTGCCTCGCCCCGCGTCCAATGGGCACACGGGCCCTCTCTCCGACGGTTTGAGAGCTGACCAATGGGAAATGTGGAGTCAGGATTGACAGGTCGGGCAACCTTTCGGTAGTAGGCATGTGCCGCGCGGCCCGCCCCCTGCCCGCTCCCGAGCAGCCAGCACCCGGCAGCACCCGGCAGCGCCCGCCAGCGGCCGCGGGGCCAATGCGGCGCGGGGGGCGGGCTGCGGGGCGGGGATTGTTTACGTCTCGCTCGGGAGGCGAAAGTAGGTCACGGCCGCCCGGCGGAGCGCGGCGGCGGCGGCGGAGCTGTGGCAGGTGAGTGGCGGCGGGCGGTGTCCGCACCTCCCGCGGCCCCCGGGGTCCCCTCGGCGCCGCCGCGCATGGCCGCCGCGCCCGCTGGCCTGGCGGGACCGCTGGTGGCGGGGGGCTCCGGCGCGCCTTTGTTCCTGCGGGCGGCGGCGCCGGGGGGGCTCCGGGGCTCGGCGGGCGGCCTCGCCGCAACCCCCGCCACAGCGCGGAGGCGGAGATCCGCGTGGGCCGGGTCCCGGAGCGCGCCGCCTGCCGTGTGCTGCCGCGGGGTCGCCACCTGCCTCGGGCGGGCAGGGGCGGCGCCTCGGGGAGCGGGCGGGGGGGCGCTCGTGCGCGGCGGGCGTCCGGACTGCGGGGCAGCCCCCGGCCTCGCGGGGCTCTGGGTCCAGGAGACAGCCCCAGAAGGCGGCGTGTTACTGGGAGAATGCAGGAAAGGAAAAGCATTCTGGGCAAAGGACAGGAAAGGGCTCGCACCTGGACCCAGGCCCTTGCGGCGTGGAGACGCACAGAAAAACCTGATAGGTTTTGCGGGATGTTGCGTATTGTCTTAGTAATGCAAGGCCGAGGAGTTTCAAGATTGGTTGAGACTTCCTTAAATTTTTAAGATTTGTGTTTCCAAAAAGTCAGCTTTTTGACTGAGTGAATGAGTGAAGTGGGAGGAGCCAGAGTGAAGGTGTGTTGTGGCTGGAAGTCGCGGTGGCGGCGGGGATGGAGAGAGGGGTTCAGGACATGGTTTGGAGGTGGTGCTGGGTGTGTGGGGCTGTCAGGCCAGTGCCCGAGGGAGGAAAGGGGTGTCCAGGGTGACTGCCATGGGTCTGGCATGAGGAACTGGGAGGTTGGAGATGCCATTTGTCAAACTGGACAACAGAGGAGGAGCCAGACAAGGTTTGAGATGCCTGAGGGACAGCTGGGTTCATCAGGCTGAGCTCCGACAGGGACTGAGATATGCACTGGAGAGTCATGGGTATCTGGACGGTGTTCCACACTCTTTGCCTTGCGTTCATCAAGGTGCTTGTATACTGGAGGGAGGTCTGAGGTCGAGAAGAGTCCCAGTGCCTTTGCTCAGTATCTACATGGCTCACGAGAGCTCCCACCTTTGGACGGGGCTGGCGCAGCTGGCCCACGATGGAGCACAGGAGTTGCTGTCTCCTGTCTTCTCTGCTCAGAACCTGGGTTTTCTTCCAGATCCTGTCCATCATGGCCCGGCGCCCTCGCAGCAGCAGAGCTTGGCATTTTGTCCTGAGTGCGGCCCACCGAGACGCGGATGCCCGGGCTGTGGCTCTGGCAGGGACCACTAACTGGGGCTACGACTCTGATGGGCAGGTAGGTCCTAGCGGGGGAGGTGGGCGTGGCTGGACTAAGGGGTAGAGGCGCCCAGGGCGGGCAGTGCCTGAGCCAGGACTGAAAGAGAAAGATGCCCCCAAGGGCCGAGGACGGGCCAGGCAGGCCCTCCTTTCCCCGGGTTAAGGACCCATGTGGTCCTGGGGTGACAGGACCCCAGGGCAGATCCCACCTCTATTCTCGTTTCTGGGGCACAGCAGTTGCGTATGTGGTCAGTTCAACAAAAACTCCATTCCGTTTATCCAACCAGTGTCCAAAAGTAGCTTGACGTGTGTGTTCCTGAATGTTTTCTCCACTCGTACAGACATACGCTTGATGTTTGTGTCTATGTATGTAGAAAGAGAACTTACAATTTTTAGAGCCCAAAACGCCTGCACCTTCGCACACTCGGCAGCTGCAGAGCTCTGGGAGGCCAGGGAGCCCAGGAGTGGTCAGAGGAGCGGCTGGGTTGTTCACGTGCAGTGCAGGTTGCCTGCCGGCCCTGAGCGCTTGGCTGTCCCAACCCGCCATGGTGGATGGGGCAGCAGGACTGCGTGGCCTCTGTGCCTGTTGCTGGCGGTAGGCACTGTGGATGGTTTCTCAGGGCTCTCAGACCAGGGTAGGGGTTCAGTTCTGCTCTGAGTCACCCCAGCTGTTTCCTGCAGGGGTGATCCTTGGGTGACTGGGCTCTGCCACGTCACAGCCACCCCGTGTTATTGCCCCGGCCCAGCCGGGTGTCTTTAGAGTGAGGGTGGCTGAGCCCCGTGGAACTGCGAGACCTGGAGGGAGAATGGGAGGCGCTGGTAGTGTCTTGTGCCCCTTCCTAGGGCCTCCGCAGACTCCCTGCCCAGGCCAGCAAGAGGCCTCGGCCTGCATTCCTGTCCCGCCTCCAGCTCCCCCTGACCACGTGACCTGAGCAATCTGTTCTCCTGCCTGTCTCTGCCTGGCCAGCTCATCGCTATGAGATGCAGGAGGTGTTGAGGGACCAGGGCATAGCACGTGACACGTTTGAAGCTTGTCTGTCGCCTAATGGGCTTGGAGTCCTTGGCTGTGTGGGTGGGCGTGTCACCCTGAGCATGTCTGGAGGCTGAACACCCATCTCCCTTCCCTTCGGCTCTGATGCTTGTCCTGTGGTTGGTGGTGGGTTGCTGTGCAGGGGGTTGGCCAGATTGACCCCCCAGTGCGCAGGTCTGCGACCCTGGCACTTGACAGTGGGAAGGGGGTCACCTCTCACTAGCAGTGGGTCTGCCTTGGCTTTTGGGGGATCAGCATTCCATGCAGGTGGGGTGCTTTGGGCCTTCCTCCCGTCTCCTGTTGGCATCTGTCTCTGCTTCTGGCCTCCTTGGCCGCGTGGCTTGTGTGGCCGCTCCATAGCCCTGGGTGCGACAGGAGACACACAAGGAGCAGGTTTTTTCAGCCTCTGTTCTAGTGGGAGAAAGCAGATCAGAATAGGAGCATGGGACAGGAGGGAGGGCCTGTAAGAGCCTCTTTTCTAGGGGCAAAGAGGAGACAGATGAACCCAACTGGAGTGGGGGTGTGGGCCTTACACTCAGGGCAGCAGGATGCTAAGGTGGGCCAGGCCCTGCTCCGGGTCTAAGCAGGGGCACCTGGCCTGCTGTGCAGATGGCATTTCAGGAGAGCAGGGGGTGGAGGGTGGAGCCTGACCAGGACCCCAGCCTGCCGGGCTGCCAGAGCGACACCTAGAGCCTGCCTGCACTCTGGGACTGGTCAGTGAGACCCCAGCCCCTTGCAGGTTGGCTCAGGGTCTGTGTCCAGGGGGGGCCTGTCCTTAGAAGAGGAACAGCTCCTTGCACAGACAACATCTGTAGTATTAGTAGCCCTAGCTGGCCTTCAGGAAGGATCTGGCTTTGGACCACAGTCAGGCTCCTGAGACATGGCGCACGTGCTGTGAGGATTAGGCCCCTCTGCATGTCTTGTGGCAGAAGCTTCACGCATGGACATGGGAGCACGGGGCTCCAGGGCCCTGTGCTATGGGTTAAGAGCCACCCATTCCATGGATGAGCAGAGGGCCATAGCCTAGGACAGGCGCAGGGGCTCTGCCACAGTGAGGGCCTCCCTGGAGCCCACATGCTCCCCGTGGGGAGAGCCAGGCTGCCTTTGTTGGGTCAGCAGCAGACTTTGTCCTGGGGCTCCCTTGCTTCAGGTGGCCCAGAGGAGGAGAAACTGGGGATCCGACAGCCCCACCTGGCTGGTTGTCAGCAGGGCGCCCAGTGACCCCAGGGCTGTGTGGAGGTGGGGTGGAGTCCTTCAGCTCATTCCCAGGAGGCCGGAGCAGGTGTCCGGGGTCACCTGGGGTGGCGCTGGGCAAGGGTGGGGGCTGACTCTCAGGAGACCCAGGGAAGCCCTTTGAAGCCAAATCTGCAGGCGCTTGCTTGGGGCATGGGTGTGGTTGACCCCCCCCCCCCACGTGGTGGATCTCAGGATGGAGGGCGGAGGGCGCGCCAGGCGGGAGCAGCCAGTCCTTCTCTCCCAGCACAGTGACTCTGACTCCGACCCCGAGTCCTCCGCCCTGCCGCCGCCCATCCCCAGCGCTGTGCCCGTGACCGGGGAGTCCTTCTGTGACTGTGATGGCCAGAGCGAGGCCCCCTTCTGCAGCAGCCTGCACTCGGTGCGCCGCAGCAAGGACAAGGACTGCCGCTGCGGCGAGGAGGACGAGCGTGAGGACCCGGGGGGAGGACCCGGGGCCAGGGGAGGGGTGAGCCCGGCCCACATGCCCTCCAGCCCTCCAGCCCCAGCCTCCTCCGCCCCTGGCTCCTGCAGATTTTGACTGGGTGTGGGATGACCTGAATAAATCCTCGGCCACACTGCTAAGCTGCGACAACCGAAAGGTCAACTTCCACATGGAGTACAGCTGCGGCACGGCAGCCATCAGGGGCACCAAGGAGCTGGGGGAGGGCCAGCACTTCTGGGAGATCAAGATGACCTCGCCAGTCTACGGCACCGACATGGTCAGTGGCCAGCAGGCTGGTGGGGGGTGGGGCGGTCAGGTGTGACCCCAGGTGCCCAGACGCTCTCTGCCTGCCCTGCTCTTCCCAGATGGTGGGCATTGGGACGTCGGATGTGGACCTGGACAAGTACCACCACACGTTCTGCAGTCTGCTCGGGAGAGATGAGGACAGCTGGGGTCTCTCCTACACAGGTACATAGGGCCCCAAGGGCAGGCAGGGCGGGGGCCGGGGGGCCACGACCCTGAGGCAGCAGGGTTTACCCCATCCCACTGCCCCTCAGGGCTCCTCCATCACAAGGGCGACAAGATGAGCTTCTCGTCGAGGTTTGGCCAGGGCTCCATCATCGGCGTGCACCTGGACACCTGGCACGGGACGCTCACCTTCTTTAAGAACAGGAAGTGCATAGGTGAGGGCAGCCGTGACCTTGACCCATGCCTGCAAGGTGTGGAACTGTGACCCCAGGCTCCCTGAAAGCCAATCCCCCCAGGAACCTGAGGCCCCGGGGTTCCCAGAGGGTGGTGCAGCCCGAGGGGTGGTGGGAACAGGCGCTGCCCCTGCTCGGCCTGGGGCTCAGGCTGCGCTCCCTGTCCCCCCCAAGGTGTGGCAGCCACCAAGCTGCAGAACAGGAAGTTCTACCCAATGGTGTGCTCCACGGCAGCTAAGAGCAGCATGAAGGTGATCCGCTCGTGCGCCAGCGTCACCTCCCTGCAGTACCTGTGCTGTTACCGGCTGCGCCAGCTGCGGCCCGACTCCGGGGACACGCTGGAGGGGCTGCCCCTGCCACCCGGCCTCAAGCAGCTGCTGCACCACAAGCTGGGCTGGGTCCTGAGCATGAGCTGCGGCCGCCGCAAGCCCCCCGCACCCTCCCCCAAGGCCACGGCCAGCGGCCCCGAGACCCGGCACTGCCAGAGGAAGCGCTGCCGACGGACCTGACTCGTTTCCCGTGAAAACTGCCTTTCTGGGGCCAAGTGGCCGCCTTCTCTGTCCCTCCTTTTGGACCAGGCTCCAGGGGCACGACTCGCACGGAGGGCTGGCTTTGCCGGGACAGGCTCCAGGGTCCTGAGGGCATCTGCTCCTTGCACCGCGAGGAAGCCGCCGGCCTGGCTCTTGCGGACCGACTATGGGTCAGCGCCCGCGAGGACGCGTTTAGAGGCGGTGCTGTTGCCGCGGCCTTGCATTTTCCTTCACTTGCTTTTTTGCATGTCGTCAGCTGCTGTTCCTCCCGTCCCAGACCAAAATGACCGTAATAAACTTAGACTTTATGTGACGCCTCCGTGGTGGCAGGATGGAGTCCGGCCGAGGCCCGCAGGTCTCCTCCCCTCGGGCCCGGCTGCGTCACAACACCCTCCAGGAGAGAGAACCCAGTGCGCTTTCCTCCCTCGAGACTTTTCTTACTGTTTCTTAGAAGGTGCCACCCTCAAGTCTCCCCGTGACTGGTGTGTGTTCCCCCTTCCTAACCCCCCAACTGGGCCCTGGCTCTGTGGCTGGTGTATCCAGAACCCAGGGCAGGGGAAGCTCACCCCCTCCTCTCCTGCCCATCCCAATTACCCAAAAATGTTCTGGCCATCCCGCGCCCTCCCACGCACCCCAGGGGCGGCGCCCTGTTCCCCCTCCCCTGGGGTAGTTGGCAGTTCAGCCCCTGCATGGGGTGGACCACGTTCTGTCCCGCTGGTAGGTGAAAAAGGGCCCCGTCCTGTCCCCCAGGTGTGGTCAGGAGCCCAGGTCCAGTAGGAGCTCAGGATTGGTGGTAGTCAGGAAGAGGCAGATGCGGCGGGAAAGGTCAGGCCCCACCCTGCGGGGCCGCATGCCCTCGCCCACCTTCACGGGGAGGTCTGCCAGGAGGGCCAGGCGCTCCTGCTCCGTGCTGCAGCTCCTGTATGCCTAGGGCAGGTACGGGGGTAAGCAGGGCAGCTCTGGGGGACCTGGCTCCACACCAGAAGGGGTGCCAGGGAACCCACCTGCTGCAGAAGGCGAGGGGAGGGGAAGGCGGTGACAATGGCATGGGCCACGGCCGGGCTGACCCGGTGGAACTGCCTGATCTGCCGCCACCAGATGCCCCGCAGCCCTGTGCCATCACTCGCCACGCGCTCGCTGGCTGCCCAGCGCCCAGCCACACAGAAGGAGAAGGCACAGGACTCCCGGTACCGCCTGCAGACAGGGAAGGATGCAGGGACGCTTCCAGAGGCCTCATGTCTGCAAAGCATCCCATCCTCCCAGCCCCACAAAGCCCTCGGCCCGCTCTGCTCCCAAAGAGACCAGAGAGATCCCACTCCTCCAGGTGTCCCTGTCCCCTCCCCCAGCCACAGCCACCAGTCAGGGTGGGGGTCACGCACCTGAAGGGGCGTTGAGCGAGGGCTTTGGTGAAGGCGCACACATGCTGACTCAGCTCCTGCCAGGAGGCCACCAGCAATACGTCCAGATGTGCCCAGAGCTGCAGGAGCACCAGGGCCTGAGGAGGTGAGCCCACAGTGTGGGTCAGTCAAGCTCACCCCCAGGGGACACCTGGCTGCGCCCAACCCCACGTGCTGCTCCGGGACCAAAACCGGGGCTACGGGGCTTTGGAGAACAGCCCAAGTGCCAGGACCAAGGGCAAGGCACCTCACCCCACCCGATGGGCCCTCACCTCCTCCACCTTGGGCCAGCTGAGTGCCACTGCGGCACGGGCCACCGATGTACTCTCTGGCTGTCGCATCTCCTGGCTGCTGGGCTGGTGAGACCTGAGCAGAGATGACCATTCCTCTGGCTCCCCACACCCCGTCATTACCCCTAAGCCCCCAAGAAAGGGAGTTTGTTGTGTCCCAGCAAGCTCCGGGCCACCACTACCTTTCCCCTGATCTCCCGTATCCCAGCCAAGTCTACTAAGGGCATGAGAGTGACTGGTACCACAGGTAGGCATCCAGCCCGACGACAGCCAGGTGGGGGTTGGTGGAGCTCTCAGGACAGATCCATGGCACGGAGCAAGATGGGCCACGAGTCTGCAAACCAAGGTTTAACACACCTGTTTCTGGGGCTGCAACAGGCAGGGCCCACTGGCGACCCAGCCACTGTGTTTGCAGACAGGAAAGAAGGCGGCCTGAGAGGGACTCAGTGGGAAAAGGACACTGGCTTCCTTTGACCAGTCAGCTCCTGTTGGAAACCAGCTGTGTGCCTCCCACAAGGCCCAGGGACCTTTGAAAGCCCCCAACACCTCCCAGGCACCTAGAAGAGCGGCACTGAGCCCCTACCCACCATTTCTCTCTATCTCTGCACCCCCGCCCGCCATTTGCCTAGCATTCAGCATTTCCTTGAGAAACGCGGAACCGCAAACACCAAGATCCACAGTGTGACCTATGCCTTTACCTTATCACGCAGCTCTCCAGAGAACCTTCCTTAGCCTGACTTTTACCCCCCAGCAGCAGCCCCCATCTGCTCCCCGGCCAAGAACCCACCTGGCTTCCCCGTCTCACCCAGAGCCCCAGGCTGCTGCACACACCCTGTCTGGCCCCTCTCCCTGGGGCAGGGAACGGAGACTGGCAGAGCAGCTCCCCCAGGCTGAGGAGCCCAGCCCCTCGAGATGTGTGGAGAAGGACTACTGCTGCCACCCTCCCCCCCCCCTCCGCACCTGGGTCAGCTGCTGGATGCCCTGCAGAAACTCCTCGGGCTCCAGGAGCAGAAGGACGTCCTGCTCATCTGCAGCCCACACCTCCGAAGGCACCTGTGGGGACATCCAGAGACACTGCTGCCCACCCACCACCTCACATGCCCCAGGGCCCTGCCTTGGGCACTCCAGTGGCTCTGAGGCTCGTGGCCACAGCCAAACCCAGGCCCCACGGGGACTGTTCTACAGGTGACCCACGTCCCATCCCCGGGCAAGTCCAAAGTCAGTTCAGGTCCACTGAGGCCAACCCTGCAACTCACCGGCACCCCCTCAGCGTTCCTGCTTCTAGCTTACTGGTCTGCAAAACCCGCAGACTTACATGAAGTTACGGGGAGCAAACAGGCCAAGGGTGCACTCTGTAGCTCCAAGACACTCACAGTGCGGGGACAAGGGTCCGGCTTCGCTCTGGTCCACCTGAGGCTCCGGGCCGGCCGCTGGGGTTCGACGTGGTACTCACAGCCCAGGGCGCGCAGGGCCTCCAGCAGGATGTCGGCACCAGCATCTTCCAGAAGGGCTGCAAGAGGCCGCAGGGACACGGCTGTCCTCAGTGCCCGGCTGCGGAGAGCGGATCCCCGGCCTGTGCCCCGCCGCCTCCAGACCACGCGCCTGCCCGGCTGGGAAACCGACCCAATTCTGGGGCGCCCCCCGCACCTGCGTCCACGCGCACCGCCACGCGCCGCAGGGCCTGCTCGGGCCGCAGCGCCTCGGCCACCGCCCTGCGCTCCTCCGCCGCCGCCCTGCGTTCCTCCACCGGCCTGCAGGCCGTCGCGTCGGCCTCCGCGCCGGCGAGGCCCTCGCCGTCCGAGTCCGAGACCTCCCAGGTCGGGGGCCGCCACGGCCCCCCGCCCCGGGCCCCCGCCCGGCGCGAGCACCCCGCCCTCCCGGAGCCCTCCCGCGCCATAGCCGGCCCGGCCTCCACTCAGCTTCCGGCCGCACCCGGACGCCTTTCGGCGGGACACTGGCCGCTTCCGGCGGCGGCGGCGCGGCTTCCGGTCGCTGCACGGACGAGCGGGGCTCAGACCATGGCGCGGAAGAAGGTGCGGCCGCGGCTCATCGCCGAGCTGGCCCGTCGCGTGCGGGCCCTGCGGGAGCAGCGAAACCGGCCGCGCGACTCGCAGCGCTATGCCCTGGACTACGAGACGCTGACGCGGCCGTACTCGGGCCGCCGGCTGCCGGTCCGCGCCTGGGCCGATGTGCGCCGGGAGAGCAGCCTCTTGCAGCTGCTCAGCCGCCTGCCGCTCTTCGGCCTGGGCCGCTTGGTCACGCGCAAGTCCTGGCTGTGGCAGCACGACGAGCCGTGCTACTGGCGCCTGACGCGCGTGCGGCCCGACTACACGGCGCAGGTGCGTGCGCGTGGGTTCCCCGCGCCCCGGCCTCGGGGAGGGGGCGAGCGCGCGCTTCGAGCCGACGCTCTGTGCGCTTGCTTTGCAGAACCTGGAGCACGGGAAGGCTTGGGGCGTGCTGACCTTCAAAGGTGAGGCGCTGGGGACCGGGCGGGGGCCCCCGGCTGCCGGTCACAGCCTGCCCCGCGAATGCATGTGCGCTCAGCCCCGGCCTTCTTTCCCAGGACGGACGGAGAGCGAGGCCCGGGAGATCGGGCAGGTCATGTACCACGACTGGCGGCTGGTGCCCAAGCACGAGGAGGCGGCCTTCACCGCGTTCACGCCCGCGCCGCCCGAGGACGCTCCGCGCTGCGTGCCCTACCCGCCGCTCATCCGGGCCATGATTCTAGCAGAGCGGCAGAAAAAGGGGGACTCCAGCACCGAGGAGCCCATGCTGAATCTGGAGCGGACCCGAGTGGATCCCTGGGACTACCCTGCGAGACAGGAGGCGAAGAAAAAGGCCAAGGCCACGCCAGTCTAAGTGCCAGCACTGGGTTGCCGCGGGACAGGTGTCTGGCGCTGGGCCCCGGTTTGTGAATGAAGACGCCTTTGGGCTGCAGCTGGGACAGCCCCCCCGGGAGCGTGGAGCCAGGCCCTGCCTTTGCTCTGGGCGAGCTGGCCGCTAGAGGGAAGCGGGGGGCGGCGGGGCTGGCAGCGCGGAGCCCCAACGCCAGCGCCGGTCGCTTCCCCCCTACGTGCGGCCCTTGCCAGACTCAGCCGGGAACCGTTTGCGCGCGAATAAAGGCAGAACCAGTGCCCTGGGTTGTGGTTTTTTTGTTTGGGGTTGGGCAGCCACAGCAGGTTGTGGGCAGGGCTGGGGAGGAAAAGCCGACCGTGTGGGGCGCCCGGCCCCGCGGTGCCCGAGGAATGGGGATCCCTGGGCAGCTGCCGCCCGGCCCCTTTAAGCGCAGGCCCCTCCCGGCCGCCGCCGCCATCGCCATCATGCTGTGCCTGCTGCTGACCGTGCTCGCCCATCTCTTCCCGGCGGGTGAGCGGCGCGGGCCGGGGTGGGGGTGGGGGAGCGGGAGCGGCCGGGTCTGACGCGCCCCGACCCCGCGGGCCCCCGCAGCCTGCGGCGGCGTGCACGAGCGCACCTTCGTGGCCGTGAAGCCCGATGGCGTGCAGCGGCGGCTCGTGGGAGAGATCGTGCGGCGCTTCGAGCGCAAGGGCTTCAAGCTGGTGGCGCTGAAGCTGGTGCAGGTGAGGGCGCGCGGGGGGCGGCGGCGGGGCACGGGCGGCGGCGGCGGCGGGCGGGCGGGGACCCCGGCGCGCGCAGCTCGTCTCCGCCCCGGCCCGCCGCAGGCCTCGGACGAGCTGCTGCGCGAGCACTACGCCGAGCTGCGCGAGGGCCCCTTCTATGGCCGGCTGGTGGACTACATGGGCTCGGGACCGGTGGTGGCCATGGTGAGTGCCGGCCGCGGGCGGGCGGGACCGACCGAAGGCCGGTGCATTGAGTCCCGCCAGCCCGCGCGCAGGTGTGGCAGGGGCTGGACGTGGTGCGCGCCTCGCGGGCGCTCATGGGGGCCACCGACCCGGCCGACGCCGCTCCCGGCACCATCCGTGGGGACTTCTGCGTCGAGGTTGGCAAGTAAGGCGGTCCGAGCGCGCGCCCAGCCCCTGCCACGCCCCAGCAGCCGCTGGCGCTCATGCAGCTCTCCCGCAGGAACGTGATCCACGGCAGCGACTCGGTGGAGAGCGCCCGCCGCGAGATCGCGCTCTGGTTCCGCAGCGAAGAGCTGCTGCGCTGGGAGGACAGCGCCGGGCACTGGCTGTACGAGTAGCCGCCCGGCCCTGCGGGCCCCTCCAGTTTGTGGCCCGTCCTGGTCCGCAGCTTGGGCCAGCATTTGTTGAGACAATAAAGTGAAGCAAACGCTCCCGCTGGTCTGGGCCCAGGGACACAGGGCTACGATGTTAAGACATTTATTACATACAGAGCAGATACGTGGGTTCGCTTGCAGGGCCAAAGCCTCAGGAGAATCACCACCCAGCCCCTTCCCCCAGCAGCACCCACCCGGCTAGCCCCCGAGTCACTTCACGGCCCCATGGGAACAGAAGGGACTGGACGTACATCACAGTGGAGAGTGGCAGGGTGGTGGGGAGAAGCCTGCAGCTGCACGTAACGGTGGCCGGCTGGGCTCGTGGGGTGGCTGCCCGAGATCTGTGCTTCTCTGGTGGGAGGTGGGTGGGCAGCAGGGCCTCTGGAGCAGGAGTAAGGCCTGGACCTGGGCAGGTCAGGGAGGTGGCAGTCCAGGGCGGCACCCCTCAAAGCCGGCAGGCATCCATGCCTAGAGCCGGCTGGAGGCAGCTTCTGCTGCGAGCCCTCGCAGGCTCGTCTTCAGTTGCCCTCAGGGGAGCAGGCCATGCTGCCAGCCCTAGGCACTTCATAGTGTGTCTTGGGAGTTGGGCTCCTTGGAGACTGTGTGGGAGGCAGGCCCCAAACCACGTGTCCCCCTGTCACCCTGAGGCTGAGCCTGCGTCCTAGGACTGACCCCAGAAGAGGCCAGGGGCCTCCCCTTCTTCCTGAGGCCTGGGCCTGCCTTGGCAGCCTGAGAAATTCCACCCTAGGGGATTCTGGGAGGGGGAGGACTCCAGAGCCTGCTCCTACCAGGTGGGTCTTCTGCCCAGGGAGAGCTGGGGAGAGCTGGCCACACGGAGTGAGCAGCAAGAGGGCATCTGGCTTCTCAAGCAGCTGCCTTAGGCAGCCTGGCTACGTGCTTCCATGCCAATTCCTGGGGCAGGCATCAGGGTGTGGGTGCAGGGGGGGCCCAGGGAAGGCCAGTGGCCAGGCCGGCTCCCTTAGGGTCAGGCCCACCCCTTCAGGCAGCAGGCAAAGGCAAGTGGGCTCCAGCTGGGAAGACTTGGCTGGCTGAAATCCCTACTTCCTGCTCTGGGGGGTCCTGGGAGTGAGGGAAGTGGGGGGTCCAGGGTGGAGCTGGGAGCCACCTGCAGGGCCTTCTTCCGGCCCGACCTACCTCCTACCTTGCTCTGGCCCCAAAATACCCCCCAGATGGGAGAACTTGGGATCGGGGGCAAGCCAGAAGCTGCTGGGGCACGTGTCTCGAGAGGTTCTTCCCCTCCTGGTGAGGGTCCCTCCCTCCCAGCCAGACCCGCATTGCTGTCCGCCTTTGGGGAGGCCCGGCCCTAAGGTGAAAGCTGCAGGTTGAGAGGTTATAAGAGGGGCGGGCGCCGGGCTGCCTGCGGGGCAGGCAGTGGGCAGGCAGGTGGGGCTGTATGTACATGTTGGCGTCGGGCAGGCGGGGCGGGGGAGGCCGGAGCCTCACTCGGGGCTGTAGGACACCTGCCACACGATGATGTGGCTGCGCTCTGCCTTGGACAGCAGGGGCTTCACCTGGCTCACGTCCCCGGTGTTCTCCTCAGTGTCATCATCCTCTCCGTCCCCTGGACAAAGAGCCGCGGTGATGGGATGGCCCTGCTGGGGATCCCGGGACCCCGGGCAGCGCCAACTCACCGATGCGGAAGTCGATGTAGCCCTCCCCACCGCTCAGCACCAGCACGTTCTTTAGCTTCTGGCCCTCGGCGTCTGAGGCAGGGGCGGCAGGCCCGGGGCTCTCGGAGGGGCTGTCGAGCACGCTGCCGTTGAGAGTGGCCAACACGTTCCCTGTTGTCAGGACAAGAGGAGCTCAGCCGGGTGGCCAGCGCCCCCCACGCAGGCTCGCGGAGGGAGGCCACACGGCAGCCCGGCAGGGATGGGGCCCAGCCCCTCACCTGGCACCGACACAAAGAATTTGACGGCATCACGGTGCCCATGGAAGCAGAGCTGGGCCTGGGCCATGGAGCAGTAGGGGATGAAGCTGCTGGCTGATTTGTCACTGCTGTCATCACCATACACGTGGATGACACCCCCAGGGCGGGCTCCCTCCCCAGACGTGGGGGAGGTTTTGTTAGCTGAAGAGAGAGAAGGGCCACAGGGCCTGAGCCTGAGTAGACCAGCTTCCCAGCAGGCAAGGGTGGTTCGTGGGAGAGCGCCCACCGCCAAGGGGCAAGGCCAGCCTCAGCCCACAGGGCATCTCAGGTGGGGGCCTCCTTGCGAGGGCAGGAGGCAGGTGCTCTGGACTCACCTCGGAGCCCCAGGAGCTGGCCTCGGTGCAGGACCACGGCTGGGGAGGTGAGGGGCGCAGCATGGAAGGGAGAGGAGACAAGTCACGGGAAGGGCGGGCAGCATCCCTGTCCCCCAGAGCGAGGCCTGGCTGATGGTGCCCCCCCACCCGACTCTTGTCACTCAGCAGCAGTCACCACCACCTGTGCAGATGTCGGGGCAGGGGGTCACTCACTCTCAGTCAGCGGGATGGAGATGACCACTCCGTTGCCGGTGCCCACCCAGAGGCGGTTGCCCGCGATGAGCAGGGCTGTGATCCGCACGAAGGAGAAGCCCAGCTTGCCCGTGCCTGGGGTGAGGAGGGCAAGGCAGTCAGTACGGCTGGTGTGGGGGGCCCTCCCTGCCCTGACGCCTGAGCCCGGCGCAGCCCCTTACCCAGCATCTTGCTGACGTAGGGCTCGATGTCCACGTCCTGCAGGTGCTGGTGGGTGTGGGCGTGGTAAAGCCTCAACGTAGAATCCAAGCGGATGGACACCCACACCCCATCCCCGATCCACGCCAGCTGCCGCACTTGGCTCTCCCGCCGTGGGTGGGCGTCGAATGACTTCTGTGGGATCATGGCAGCGCCGTCAGCAGGGGTGGGGGCTCTGAACCCACCACGGCCGCTGGGTCACGGTGACACCCATGCAGCTCACTGCGGCCTTCAGTCTAGTGCCTGCTTTGCCCCTTGGGGTGCAGGCTCCTGTGAGGAGCTGTAGTCACGACCCTGCCCTGGGGAGGCGTGCAGGGCCCCTGTGGGTCTCGGCCTGACTTGCTGCCGAGTAAAGCAGCAGGTACAACTCAGACGGACTGGCGCTCACGGCCCAGCTGCCCTTTGCCGGCCGTGACGTAGTCGCCTCCCTTAACCGCATAACGCCCCCAGGGCCCATTAGAAGGCACGCTGGGAGCGCCGTCCACCAGCAGGAGCCACTTGCCCTCCCGCGAGGCCCTCCTGCTACCAGCACGCACCTCAATCTGCATCGTCTTGGGCTGGATGACGTGCACCTTGTTTTTGTAGCCACACCAGACGCGGTCACACACGACAGCCATGCAGCGGATGGAGTGGTGGGGGTGGCCCAGGTCCATAAGGTGATAGTTGCTCAGGTCCCACTGGCCATCTGCAGAGAGCCCCAGACACCTGCTCAGGACTGGCCAGGGCCCACCTCTGCCCGCAGAGGGGGTGGCCACTCACCCGCCCAGAGCCCCCGGACCTCACCTTCACCTCGGTGGAAGATGGCCAGAGTCCCATCGGCCAGGGCCACCAGAACTCGCCCTTTCACATGCCTGGAATGGGATGGTGGTGAGCGAGTGGGCTTAGGCTGCTGGCCAGCCCCTCCCTCCCGACGCCCCGGCCTCAGCTGGGGTCACGTACACCAGGCTCAGCACGGAGTCCTTTAGCTTGATGGAGTGCAGACACTTCTTCCAGTTTGCCACGGCTGAGTGCACGTAGAGCCTGTGGGAGGAGGCCACAGTGGGCAGGGGTGCTCGCCCTGGAGACCCTCCCCAACCCCTGCCCCAGGGCCCCACCTACCAGCCGTTCTGGGCTCCCAGCCACATGGTGGGGGCAGCGCTATTGCTGGCCCCCGCAGGGTCTGCGCTGGGCTCCGGCTCGGGCTGCACCCCACCTGTGTCGGCCTCTGGCCCGTTCTCGCTGCAGGAAGGATGGCTGCTCCAGGGTGGCCCGTGGGAGCCCGTCCCCGCCCACCTCGGCCAGTCTCCCCTCCCCTCCGTCCGCCCCGTCCTGAGAGAGCCCACCTGCCAGGCTGGGCACTGGGGGCCGGGGCAGGGGCCAGGTCAGTGAAGACATGCTCCGTGAGGGGCCCAGGCCGCACCACAGCTGCCTCTGCCTCACTAGGCCCGGAGTCTGGCACCTCTGTGGCTTCTGTGGCCTCCTCCGTGGACTGAGATGGGTTGACCTTCCCGCTGGCGACAGTAGCCACCTCCCCTGCAGAAGGGAAGGGTGAGCGTGGCCGGGTGGTGGGGAGGAACAAAGGGGCTTAGGGCAGGCGGCCGCCCGGGCGCAGGCCCAGCTCACCCTGGCCCTTGTCCAGCACTGGGGTATCCCCTCGGGAGGAGCAGTTGCTGCGAGGCACGTTGCAACGGGTGGCGCAGCCCACCAGGGTGATGCCCGCCAGCACGCCGTCGGCACCGGAATCCTCGGGGTTCACGTCGCTGTCCAGGAAGATCTCCCCCGGAGGGTAGTCACTGTCACTGGCCGCTGGGGGGAGAGTCACGGCCCCATCACCCCACACCGAGGAGCCCCTTCTACCAGACCACACCCAGGGCTCACGTCCCGATGGGGGTGCCGGGGAAGGAGGTGGGAGCCGCCTGCTGATGCAGAGAGCGCAGTGGGCCCCAGGCTCTCAGGCCAGCTTGGCCTCAGCACGTGGGTACCTGCTCACAACCACGGCCTGCGGGCCTGGAGAGCCAGCAAGAGGCATGGAAGAGCGAGACTCTGGTCTCTGGGAGCAAACAACTCTGATCACGTGTCAGAAAGTTAAGAACTCTGAGCAGCTTGGGCCATCTTGGAAAATTGCCCCCGGCAGGGCCCTGGCCACCCCCAAATGCTGGCATGAGGAATGCTGCTGAGAGGCAAAGCCAAGCCTCCACCAGCCCCTGCTCTCCCCACAGCAGCTGGGCAGTGGGAACCGGGCCCACCGGCAGGTCCGTGCTCAGTGCCTGACTGATATTTCAATCTGTCCTGTGGCCCATCTCCTTCCAGGCAAGTGAGTGAACATCACCTTGGGGTCTTCTCCTAGTTGTTCACAGGACTAAGGGGCGAGACTGTCAGTGTGCTCCCCTCTGGACACCCCCACGGGCTCCCGTGTGTCCACAGCATGTCCCAAGCAAGGCTGGTGTGGCTCAGCGGCCTCCTACCATCCCAGCCGTCTGTGGAGTGGTGCAGAGCCCGCGCTGCCGGCCCTCACCTGGAATGCTGGAGATGCACAGGACGTGGGCATTGCAGACGGTGAACTGGTCCACCACAGTGCCTGGCTGGTTGGCATCGATGATGACCACTTTGCTGGTGGTCAGGGTGCTGGTGAGGATCCACACGCGGCTGGAGGTGGCGTCCGGCTCAGGGAGCTCTTTCACCTGTTTCAGAGCACGGGAGAGCAGGCTTCTCCAGCGGCCGCACGGGTCCTGGGGGCCTCCTGAGCTCTCTAAGGGTGCAGCCCTGCCCACGGCCTCGGGGGATGTGGCTGTCCTCCCTCGCAGACAGAATGTCCCCTTCTAGACCGCTGGTGTGCATGGCCTCACTCCCATGGAAGAGGACTGAGCTCCAGTGCCTCGGTCCCTGTCCCCCAAGCCAGTCTGGGCCACAGAACGAAGACTTGGACCCCGTGTGTGTGAAGCCTTTTCCGCCAGCCTCCTGTCCTCAGCCCCGCCCACGCTCCTGCACATAGCTTGCCAAGGTGGGAGACGCGCCTGGGGGCCTGACCCCTCCAGCCTACTGTCTGCTGAGCCTCTGGCCCCCCGCATGTCCCCACCCACCCAGGAGGCAGCACAGGCCCCCGCCTTCCCCGGACAGGGGGCGGGGACCTCATATGAGCCCCATCCTGCGGCACCGTCCCCAGCTGTCCTGTTTCTGTCACTCAACACGACTCCACTGCTGGGAGCAACAGGATGGGGGTCCCTGGCCCAGCCGTCTGCTCTGACCTTCTTCTCAGGGGACGTGTGATTGCTCTTGGTTTCTCCTTCCACTTCCCGGTCGCAGGTCAGAGGGTCACGGCCTGGCGCAGGCCTGACTCCGTTCCCAGAGTCGTCCTCGCTCGGTTTCCACCCACTCAGGTTCACGCCCGCAGCACACCACAGCTGGGAGAGCAGCCATGGGGTCAGTGAGCCCACTCCCCTGCGCTGGCCCCCGGGGGCCCCCACCACAGCCCACCCGCCCCCATCTGTCAGGCCCACGGGGCCAGCTCACCTTCATGGTTGGATCTTTCTCCACCAGAGGGCGGCAGTACACGGGGACAGGCACGTTCTTCATCCGCGTGTCCTCCTGGCCCCCGTTGGGACTCAGCTGCAACCGCAAGGCAGAGGCCACGTGGGCGCGAGTCCTGGGGCAGAGAGCCAGCCCAGGCAGCAAGAGCCGGGCCCTCCATAGGTGGGGCCGTGGGGGCACTGCGGGGCTGCCTAGGCGGCTCCCCAGCTGCCGTCCTGCCTGCCCCAGCACCCCCCCAGCCTCCCGCGCCCCGCGCCCCCTGCAGCACCTGCTTGTACTTGGCCGGCAGGCTCCAGCCGCAGGCCTGCAGCCGCCCATCGTCGTTGCGCACGTGCTCGCGCACCTGGCGGTATTGCTCGCGCTTCTGCTCCCGGCGGGTGGAGGACGTGCAGTCACTGGGCAGGAGGCACACAGGTTACTTCCTGCGCAGGCCCGCGGGCCTGCCCTGCACGGAGCATGCCTGGGCCCGGCGCCCAGGCGGCAGGACCGCGGCTCTCCCCGCACAGGCGCACCCACACCTGCCCCTGTCCGGCTCCCGCCGAGCGTGCCCTACGGTGCCGCCTCCCCTCCCCAGGGCCTGTCTTCTGGCTCAAGACACACAATTCCCCACTTCTGCCCTGGAGCCAAAATCTTGGTATCAAAACTAAGGAAAACACAAAATTCCGAACACAGAGTTATTCCCTAGAAGCAGCCCCACACTGCCAGCTTCCTATGGGCCCCAGGAATCTCTGTGGAGCACAGGGGTGCAGGCCACAGCCCAGGGTGCGGCCTGGCCTAGCTGCCAGCCGCAGTGCCATCTCCAAGGGCGGAGGGCCGGGTCAGCGGAGGGGCTGTGTGCAGCCCTCTGGGATGCAGGGCGGGGACTGGGGGGGGAGTGCCCAGGGACATCCTGTGCACCTGGTCAGACTGGAGGGGGGCAGGGTGCGGCCCAGAGAGGTCAACCTCGGATGCTGGCCAGCCTCCTTCCCGCCACGGACCACATCCCCCAGGTGGTGAGGCAGGGGTTGCTCCTGCCTCAGAGCCTGGAAGGGCGGGACCCTGGGGCCCACGGCCCCCCTCAGCCCCCCACCCGTGCAGGCCAGCACGAGGAGCAGGGCAGCCTGCGGGACACTCACTCGTCGGGGAAGAACTCCAGGGGCCGGCTGCCAGCAGAGATGGGGCACATAGCGTGGCTGCGGCGCTGGCTGAAGCCGGCCGTGGTGGGGGACTTGTAATGGATGTTCACCGAGGGATAGGACCGCTTGGCCGGAGGGGGGCTGGACGAGGAGCTGAAGAGGCGGCTGAAGCTGCCAGTGGAGGCATGGAAGTGAGGGGCAGCCAAAGGGGTGCCTTCCCTGCCTCCTCCCCATCCTGGCACCCCCAACTCACAATTGCCAGATGGTGGACTTCTTCTTCTCCTGGACAGATGGATGCTCTCGGGACGCTCTACAGGGGAGCGGCGGTGAGGGGCGGGGTGTTGCTCAGCCCGCGTCCAGGCTGACTTGCCCCCAGATGACACCCACCCACTAGGCCCTGCCCAGGCCAACCCTGAGCCTCCCTTGCCTGTGACGTCTCAGGGTGCTGGGGAGGCCCCCCCCCCCATAGACGCACCGGGGGTCAGCCTCAGGGAGAAGGTGCTCCTGGGTGGGTCAGTCACAGATTCCCGGAGGGGTCCCGGCATACCAGCCCCCAACATGCCCCAGCCCGGTCTAGACCAGCCAGGCCCCCCCACAGGCTCCCACCAGGCCCCCTTCCAGTCCTCCTGCGAGAGAGGGAGGTGGGGGGAGTCAGCCTTATTCCCACTGTCAGGGCCTCCTACAGTGATCACGGCTCACAAATGGAGACCCGAGGGTGGCCAGGACAGGAGGAGGGGGCCCACCTGATCATCTCGGTCCACCGCACAGCCTCCTGGAGCTCCATCAGCCTCTCCTTGTACTGATTGCGCTCCATGAGCACACGGGCCATCTCCACCCGCGTGAAGCGGCGGCGCTGTGCTATGGGGATCTTGTCCTGCAGGGAGGGCACTGCCGTTAAGCCAGGGAGGGGCTGGCCAGCAGGTCCGTCCGGCACCCTCAGAGACCAGCTCACACCACGCTTCCTCTCCAGGCTGGCCTCCGGATTCCCACAGATCCTCAGGCAAATGCGGTGGGGAGGGCATATGGGGAGTCTGCCCACCCCCAAAAGGGTAACTTTTCCAGAAGGTCACATGACGTACTTGAGGTGCATAACACAGTGACTTTTCTCACAACCCCTGGACCCCACGGCAATCCCAATGCTTTCAGTCAGCACTAACAGGTGATGCTGGTCCCAGGGGGAACCACAGGAAGAGAGGTTCTAGGGAAGGTCCAGTGAGCAGGACTGGGGGACACAAGGTCCCAGGGGGACGCTGGAGATTTTGGCAGATCTGTGTGGGGTCTGCCATCTGTGAGTGCTGGGGCAGGACCCAGTCTGCTCCGAGTAGCTGTGTCCTGGGCTGCTACAGGCTGGCACAGGGGTGAGGGACCATGGGGGGTTGCCAGGCCAGTGAGCATGAGCCCCCAGGCCCACTCAAGGAGTCCCAGGTGCCGATCGACATGTCCTTTGGCTCCACAATTCACCTGCACCTCTGGTTCTCTCCTAGGGTACTCAGAGGTGGGGGCTGCGTAGGGTGGGCCGAAGGAATATGTGGCCAGCACCCTGATATGTGCATCAGACACCCCTGAAAATAACAGAGCTAATGAGTGGTGGGGTCAGTGTCCACGGCCCACCTCGGGCTAGGAGCCGGGCCCTGCCATCTGCTGAAGGAAGGCAGACCGGTCGCTGGGCCCGGGCCAAAAGGGGGTCCATGGGGGTGAGAGAAAAGGCCCTGACACACCCTTCCCCTCAGGCCTCCCTGCAACAGTCAGTTACAAGCCCCAAGGAGCAGAGGGCTGTCCTCAGGACCGTCCTTGCACCTGACGGGGGATGTGGGCCCCTAAGGCTGAATGGGGGTTCCCGCCAGGAAAGGGCAGAGGGGAGGACACAGAAGGGGTGAGGAGGGCCCCGAGACCCACCCCGCGCTGCCCGCCCCCCATGCCCCGCATGTTAATAGTGGAATATACCAATTCTGTACAGAGATAGCTGCTTACATCCTCCACCTCTTCTTTGGGCTCTCGGCGGGCAACAATGGCCTCTGACTTCACTCTGCAGGACGAGGAGGGAATTGTGGCAGGGGTGGAGGCCCAGGGGCACTCTGGCTCAGGCCCTGGGGGACTAGCGGCCCACTGCCCTGCTCACACGCGGCCTGACAGCCGGACGTGTGTCCTGGCTGCCCCAGTGCAGGAGTAGGGGATGGGTAAGGCAGGCTAGCTGTACAGACGGCTGGCCAGCACCAGCAGGTCTGCCACCCCCACAGGCCCACCTCCCACCCTCCCCTTTCCACCCCTGGGGGGAGCATCAGACTGGAAGAGAAAGGCCACCACGAAGCGCAGAGTGCTGGGAAGGGGACCCCATGTCTTTCTGGGGTTCCTCTGCGCCCTTCTCCCGAAGGAACCTATGAAGGCTGCCAGAGACAGGACACCGTGCCTTCTGAGGGAGAAGAGGAGGCAGGCGGACGATACAGGACCTGGGCCTGGATGGGGGAGAAGAGGGGGCAGCTGGGCCCGGAGGCGGCTCCAGTGTGAGTTGGAACTGAGGGAGGAGGGGCAGGCTGCACGGTGAGCACAGAGGTGAGCCACTGGGGGAGTGTCCTCCAGAGGGAACCTGGACGGGAGGGACTGGGGGGGTCTGCCCCCGCCTTCTAGGAGCCCCACCTCCTCCCAGGGGCCCAGCCCCAGGCCTGGGCTCACCTCCTCAGCTCCTCCTCCAGGTCTTTGATGCGGCCCTCCAGCCTGAGTTTGGCCTGCCTGGCGGCTTCCAAGTCCCCTTTGAGCACCTCCTGCTCCCCGGACAGCTGGTCCACCTTGGCGATGAGGTCATTCTTCACCACATTCAGAGCATTTCTTTGAGAAGACAGAGTCGAGAAGTCCGTGTGAACCGCTGTGCACGTGGTGTGATGGGGGTTCAACGAGGCCTGCCCACCTGCAGGGGTCTGAGAGGGGACCCCCCCACTGCAGAATGCAGGGAAAGGCGGTGACCCTAGAGGGGTGAGCTGGGCCATGTGGGTCTGGGCCCTCCCCGGGGTTGTTACAGGGAGGCCCCAGCCCTGGAGGCAGGCTATCTCAGCAACGGCCCTGCTAGAGGAGAGCATTCCTTTTTTTTTTTTTTTTTCAGAGAGAGGGAAGTGCGGGGGGCGGGGAAGAGAGAGAATCCCAAGCAGAATCCACGCCCGGTGCTGAGCCTGATGTGGGGCTGGATCCCACAACCCTGAGATCATGACCTGAACTGAAATCAAGAGTGGGAGGCTTAACCGATGGAGCCCCCCAGGCCTCCCTGGAGAAGAGCATTCTTACTTGGTTTCTAGAAGCTGTGAGTTCTCCAGCAGCAGATTCCCCACTTCCTTGCCCATTCCTGAAACAAAAGGCACAGAGATATTACCTGTGCCGGCCAGCTAAGCCAGATGCTACTCCACCTGCCCCAGAGCACCAACCCTCCTCCCCGGGGGTGGCTGGGCCCTGGGGGGCAGATGTGGGGGGACGAGGCCCACAGGTCTGGCCTCTGGGAACACTGGGTAGACGGACCCTGGGGAGAGGCCTCTGCTGGTCTTCCGGTGGGCTCTCAGCCAGCAGCGCCATCAGGGACAGAGTCCAGCCTCTGGACGGCACTGCCTGGATGGGCACGACCTCCCATAGCATTCTATCCACATGAGGTCTGTGTATAGTCACAGCTCAGCCGGCACCAGCCTGAGCTGACCAGGTGGCCTCTGCAGCCACCTCAATCTCTGTCCCCTCTCAGCATCTCCCCCAGCTCTGTGGTTTCTGAGTCCTTCATGAGGCAGACCCTTCTCAGAGCTGTCCCCAGAATGGCGGCTGGAACCGTGGTGATGGGGACAGAGCAAACAGCACAGGATGGCAGAGCTCCTGGCCAAGGAGATGGGATGGCCCCTCCACCGGGGTCAGCAGCAGGGAGAGAGGGAGCGGAAGTGAGGACAGAGGGGTCCACCCAGCTCCTCTAAACCAAGCCCCAAAGTGGACCCCACCGACTAAGCTCTCTGCAGGCATGTCACAAAAACTCCGAAATACCGACACTCAGGACAGACAGCCCCGGAAGCCCAGGGTCGTCTGTTCCTCCTATTACCTGTCCCTGGTCTAAGGCAATCATGAGACAAGACCCACGAACGTGGAGCACTGAGCGTGGGTTCTGACTGCTGTCTCCATTCCCGCCCCCTTGGCCTGTCAAGGGTCTGCTCTGAGGGAGGATGCTGGGGAGTCAGGGCTCGAGCCCCACCCCCACCCTGGGGGCCAGGAGCTAGGAGAGCCTGTGGCCCCTGCTGACCCCACCACCGCCCCCACCATGCAGAGCAAAGCAAACGGCTCATGAAGCACAAAGAAGGTGTGAGGCACACAGAGAAAGGCAGGAACGGGAGAAACACGAACTGAAACGGGGCCTTGGCCTTACCAAAGAAATCATGGCGCACTAGGAGAGCCGTCCCAGTCCCACGGGAGCCGGGCGACCAGGGCGGCAGGGAGAGGGAAGGGAGAAAAAACAAGCGCATTAAGCCTGTGTGAGCAGCAGGGGGGCGGTCCGCTAGGGCTACTTGTCTCTGGGTTGGGGGTGCACACTGGAGAGGGACGGGAGGGGCAGGCTCCTCCGTCTGGAAAGTGTATCCTGGGGGCTGCACAGGAGACCACCAGGTCAAGAGCACCTGGGCGGTGAGGTGGAGGGTCAAGCAATGCACCCAACTCCTGGGCCAGGAGGGATGGGGGTTAGGGGGCAAGTCTCTGCAAAATGAGGGGACCTGGCGTGCCTCTGAGCACACCAGGTGGGTGCACGTGGGTGGGCTGGGGGCTCAGGCCCTCCTGATGGGAACACAGCAAGAAAGCAGGAGCAGAGTCCTCTACCATGTGGGAAGAGGACTCCCGACTTCCGGGGTGCACCCGACAGAGGGGAGATGCCACACAACTGGGCCTGCAGTCCCATCCAGTCAAACTGTCCTATGCTTCTGATGGTTCCGGAGAACCGTAAGAAATGGCCCTGGGGGACTGTCGGCCTCTGGAAGGACAGGGTTGAGGCCATTGTCAGTGGGCTAGTAGAGCAAGCCAAAAATAAGCTTCCGAGCAGCAGGAGGCTGGTGAGCAAAAGCACGTGTGCCTTTAGTGGCCTGGAAGGGGACCAGGAGGGGACGGGCTGCACAGCCAGAGGTGACTGGACAGCAGCAGGGAGTTGTCCCAAGGATGCTGCCCAGTCCAGCTGGATGCCGCCATGGGGGGAGGGGCGCAAAGGCGCAGACAGCAGAGATACGCACCTGAGAACTCCCCTGGGGCCGTGTCCAGTGAAGCACAGAGAGACGGGGGAAAGGAAGTGACAAAGGTCAGTGGGTGACTGGAACCAACAAAATAAAGAGATTCTTATTAAAAAAAAAAAAAGCAACATCAAGCGGCCATCTCTGTATTGAAAGGCATGAAAGAATACAAGCAGATGTCACCGGGCCTGTGGGTGACAAATCCCACTGGGGACGGCAACCCTATAGGAAGACAGAGACCCAGAGTGCCGGGCCCCACACCTGCTCGGCCCTCAGGAGGGCAAAGCCTCTGCAGCTGACACCCGGGAAGGTGAGAGCGTGCATGGGTATGGTGTGTGTGCATGTGCGTGTGTGGGGTATGTGTGTGTGCACACACGTGCACGTGTATGTGTGTGTGTGAGGTGTACATGCATGAGGTACGTGTGTGTGCATGTGCGTGTGTGTGCATGCACTGCATGCGTGGGGGTGGGGGTGGGCATATGCATGTGAGGGGTCTGTGTGTGCTCGTGTGTGTGTGAAGTACATATGTGCATGCATGTGTGGGTTATATGTGTGTGTGTACATGTGCGTGGAGTATGTGCATGTGTGCATATGCATGTGTGGGGTACGTGCACATGCATGGGGTACATTTGTGTGTGTGGAGTATGTGTGTGAGGTGTGTGGCATGTGAGTGCATGAGATACGTGTGCGTGCATGTACATGTGTGGGATACATGTGTGCATTGCATGCGTGGGGCACATGTGTGTGTATGTGCATGCATGGGGTGAGGTGTGTGCATGCATGTGAGTGGGGTACATGTGTGGGGGCACATGTGTGAGCATGCATGTGCGTGCATGGGGTACGTGTGTGTGCAGGTGTGTGAGATGTGTGTGCGTGCATTGCAAGCATGGGATGTGTGCATGTGCATGGGGGTGGGGTGTGTGCGTGTGCGTGCGTGGGTGGGGTAGGGTGTCCAGGGCGTCCAGGCTCAAGACGCCCTCCCCAGAGTGCATGAGCTTGGCCTTACAGGCCCCAGCCAGCTCGGGTCTTTTGGGAAGTATGCGGCCTCAGGTGAAGGCTGGGCAAAGACAAAAGGGAGTGAGGGCCAGCTGGCAGGGACGGAGTAGGAGGGCGGGCTGCGGGGGCGGCGGGCATGTGGGGCTGGCAGTGCCTTCCTCACTGGGGTCCAAACTCCTCTCCGCTACCCAGCAGGAGATGGGCTGCAACACTACCGTTCTATGTGGTCAATTCCCACAGAAGCGACAGTATGAAGTCACTTGACTTAAATGCCAAAGTATATAGTTTGCTGTCGGAATTTAAATAAGAAACCGGCGCCCTCAGTCCTCGCTCCTTCCCAGGGCAGCCACCGTCAACAGCTGATCTTCTCGGAACTCCTTCTGGATAAACACCAGCATTTATAGAACAAAATCACGACCATGCTAGCCATCCTCCTGCATGAGGTGCTTCGCCCCCCACCCGTGTCCCGGGATGCTCTGCACCGGAGATCGGAGCTCACCTCCTGCAGCGCCCCGTCCCATCACTTACCAGGCGCTCAGTGCTTTCCCACACAGGCAGGCCTTGCCTGACCCCGTCCCCTCTGGCCCGGTGGGCCAGCCACTGCCCCACATAGCCGGATGCACCGCCACTTGCTGGCCGGGGAGGGGCGCGGCAGCACCTGCTTCGTTTTTGTGGATCTTTTGAGGAGTTATCTCCGCGTTCCCTTTTCAGTTCTGGTTTGTTCTTGAAGTTGAGCGTCCTTTGGTATGTTTGTTGATATCTTCCGTGAATCTATTTTACCCTCCGCCCACGTTCTATTGTACTCCACTTCTGTAAACGCTGCAGACCACCCTGGGTCGGAAACAATGTATCTTCCTGAAGTTGCATGCCTCACACCTGTCAGTATTTTCCTCTATGGCCGTGGCCCAGCAGGGAGGCCCAGATCACCAATATGATCTCCGCCACTCTTCCAGCTCTGCGTCCTTGCATTTCTACGTTCAGATCTTCAATCCATCTACAAGTCTTGTGTACGGTGGAGGTGGGGACCAGACTTCATTTCCCACCAGGGGGACACTCCATGAATCCACCATATTTCCCGTGGCTTGAAGTACTGCGTCTGTCCTACCCGAGTCCCCACATGGCTCCGGCTCTCACCAGGAACTCATGGGGCCACAATCTTGTCACCGCCCCGGCTCGGCCTTTGCTGGTCACACCTTTGTAAACGCTTTCATGCCTGGAACATCGGGCAACCCTGCAGCCTTGTTCTTTCTCAGATATTTCTGGGCTACTCTCACGTCTACTCTCCTGGATGATCCTCAGAATCCATTCATAAAGTGAATTGACGTTGGAACCACACACTGCTCTGCGAATCACGGGAAGGCTCACGGAGCTCAGCCTGCAGGTCTCAGGGTTTTTTTTTTTTTATATTGGGAGTATTCATCTTTATTTTTTTTTTAAAGATTTTATTTATTTATTTGAGAGAGAGAGAATGAGAAAGAGAGCACATGAGAGGGGGGAGGGTCAGAGGGAGAAGCAGACTCCCCGCCGAGCAGGGAGCCCGATGCGGGACTCGATCCCGGGACTCCAGGATCATGACTCGAGCCAAAGGCAGTCGCTTAACCAACTGAGCCACCCAGGCGCCCCGGTCTCGGTTTTTGAGGTCTCTGCTCTTCAGTCGTTTTTCCTGATTTTGTTCACATAGGTTTGTCTCTTTCTCAAGGTTATTTCTACACACGTTCTAGGTCTGGCTGCCACGTGGGCAGGACCTGTGACGTGAGGGCAGCGCAGAAGAGAATGCACGGGCCGCCGGCCTGTGCAGCCCTTCAGATTCTAAGTCCAGTTGCCCGGCTTCTCTTCAGTTCCCTCATTTGTAAAGGGGGCACACAATCGCCCTAGCATGGGCTTGCATGGGCTCGCCGGAGCTGCCCACTAGACTCCGGCTCGCACTGAGTGGTCACCAAGGATGAATTCCCTTACTCCCCAGTTAGGCCAGCTCCGAGAGGCCCACTGTCAGGGGTGCAGCGTGGCGCCTCTGGGACCAACCGCGGCCTCACGCTCGATGGCTTGTCCTCTTTCGACTGGAGGCAAGGCCTTGCTTTCTTGGAGATTTCTCAAATAATGGTATGTCTGGCAAGTGGTGGCAGGAGTTCAGTGAAACATAAGGAGACCTGCCTCTCCAGGGTCTTTTTCCTTCCTTCCTTCTTGCTAAATGAATTCACAGTCCAAGTGCGGAGAGGCATGGGGAACAGCTGATGCAGGCACGTGGAGCACTGAAGGATGCTGCCCTCAGCCGATCCGAAACCACAGCACCTTTCCATGGCAAAAATAGCTGTAGAACGGAGACTACCAGAGCCCCCCGCCAGCCCCAGGCTTCTCTGTGTAGCAGCCCCACTGGGGAACATAGGGTCAGGTACACAGCTTTTCCACAGGTGTGGGGGTGGGGGACCAGGACTCCCATCCTGAGGCTTACCCCGGCTGAGCCAGATAACAGGGATGGGCCGGGGCCTGCAGCTGAGCCCATCTCCTTCCTCCGCCTTGCCAGATGAAGGGGGGGCTCCTCCGTCAGCGCCCCATGAGCAGAGTGCCACAGCACTTGATCCCTTTTAAACTCGGGGCTGCCGGCCTGAGGCTCTGGGAGGCTCCTTCACTCCCAAGAATGGGGCTCATTCCAGCCAGAATGAAGCGGTGCCCATGCAGGGTATTCCAGTGGACATGCTGAGCACAGTGACTCATGCCCTGTCACCCTATGACAGAAGGATTCCGATTTCCACTTTCTCGGAACAAAGACCTAGCAGATGCATGGGTTAGATCTTCTCATGAGAAGGTCGTGTCAGGCGCTCTGTGTTCTAGGGAAGTGCCCCCAGGACATTCAGCAGACATCACTTCCACTCCAGGAGCCGTCCTACATCTGCCTGGGAGTCATGACCCCATTCCCGATTCGGTCAATGTGGCCTGCAGGTCAAGCTTACTGACGTGCGCTGCTGGTTCGCCACTCTTTCCTCCCATCACCGTTGATGCAGGTTCTCTATGAAAGTGGCATCTGGAGTGACACCAGACGCACCCTGCAGCCCTGAAGATGGCAGGGAGGGGACAGCCCCATGGCCTGGAGCCACTGGGCGAGGTGGGAGACTGCGGCCAATGGGATGGACCGATAGGCAGGCTACCCCGAGTCACTGGGCAGCAAGGAGGCTGGTCAGCTCTGGCAATCCTGTAGAACCATGTGAGGGACCAGAAGTGTAGCAGAAGCATCGGCCACTATGGCCAAGAGTGGAAATGACCCACGTGGCCATCTGTGGACGAATGGATGGATGAGGTGTGGCCTACCCGTGCAATGCAGCAGAACTCAGCTGTAAGAAGGAACGCGACTCTGACACCTCCCACGACATGCACGAACCTCAAAGGCGTCATGCTGAAGGAGAGGCCACATGGAGGAGGACCACTGGTATGGCCCAGAGGAGGCCACTGTGCAGGACAGAAGCAGAGGAGTGGCTGCCAGGGGCTGGGGTGAGAGGAGGGGTGGGACTGTCCACAGGTTTCCTCTGTGGCTGAAATGTTCTAATGTAATGATGACCGCTTGACTCTGAATTTGCTCAAAGTGCTCAAAAACACAGGACCGTGCACTTGGAGCAGGTGAACTGAATGGCATATTCCATCCCAAGAGCTGTGACGGAAGGCGGAGCAGGTGGTCAGTCGGGGCTCCTGCTCTAGGTCGGACCTGGGTTCAGTCCTGACCCTGCTACTTCATCCCGCCCTCCCTGACTTTGTTTCTTCCTCCATAACATGGGGACAGCAGTGGAACCCCGGATGAAAGGCGGCCGAGCACGTCCAACACTGGCGAGACTCTTCCTGTGACCATGTTGAGGGTGGAATCTTGAGACGAGACTGGCCACAGTACAAGGTCCGGTGGACTCCGGCTCTGCCCCCTCCCCTACATTCCGTTTCCCGCCCGTGAACATATCTCGGGATGCCTCCAGCTGCTTATGGCCAGGAACATAAGCAGCTGGGGGCTGGTGTGAGGCTGGGCCTGCAGACCCTGGCACGGAAATGCAAGCTGCTGGGTGCCTATGTGTTTTCCTAAGGAAAAGGCTGTAATCTCTTATCAAACCCTCAAATGCTCAGGAGTGCGTGGTGGCCTGCTGGGCGGTGTCCTCTGACCCGCACAGCCTCTAAGGTGGGCCCCGGCAGAAAGGTGCTCCTTCGTGGACACACAGAGCATGCACGGCTACCCACTACAGCCTCGTCCCGGTGCGTGAATCCTCCTGAGGCACGTTCCTTCCCATGCCCCTCCCAGCCCGGCGGGTCCAGTGCCTGCAGGCCAGCCAGGCCGGGCTCCTGCAGCTGTGAGCGCAATCTCAAGCAGAGCCCTGATGCAGCCCCATCTGGGAAAGCAGTGTGCGGCCGCTCTCGGGAGCCCACACCTTTACCTGGAGGCTCCCACCCTACAAATCTGCCCTAAAGAAGTCCAGACAGCAAAACCCAGGACCAAGAGAGGGGAGGAATTTACAGTCCCGTGAAGGGAAATGTGTGGAGGAATATCAGTGGGTCAGGGAAATGGTGACATCGCCCACAAAGAGGAGGACAGATATGACCTGACACCCACACCCCACGTACATGCGTGTGCTGTGGTGCCCAGGAAGGTGCACCAACATATTAAAACACTCATCATGGCATGGGCGGGGAATCATGTGGCTTTTACTCTCTTCTTGGCAGTTTCTGATATTATTTGAATATTATTAGAAACATGTATTGCTTTTCCAAAAATAAAAATTAGAAGATACATAGCATTATCTGAGCCCCATAAAGGAGAGTGGGAGGATGTCACAATATTTCCCCTAAGTAAATTTTTTTTGAATGTTAAGTTTCTGTTTATTTTTAAATATATGTTTTTACAAAACTTATGAGAAAAATCCCATTAGAAACACACACTGCCTGGGCGCCTGGGCGCCTGGGTGGCTCAGTCATTAAGCATCTGCCTTCAGCTCAGGTCATGATCCCAGGGTCCTGGGATCCAGCCCCGCATCAGGCTCCCTGCTCAGCGGGAGGCCTGCTTCTCCCTCTCCCACTCCCCCTGCTTGTATTCCCTCTCTCTCTGTCTCTCTGTAAAAAAATAAAAATAAAATCTTAAAAAAAAAAAACAAAAAACAACAAAAAGAAACACACACTGCCGAAGGCAGGCCTCCTGCTCATGCTCCTGGTCTCACCAACGAGGGCCAACATCCTTTATCACACTGAGCCACACACTCAAACGTCAGCGAGAAGGTAAATTTCATATTATGTGTATTTTGCCACAATTTAAAAACTGGCTGAAAAAAGTTCCATTTCAGGCACAAGATGTTGCTGGCGTTGTCGCCACGGGCAACTGGGCTCCTGGGAGGTCCCCACACCTTAATCAGAGGAGAGGAACAACAGCAGGAAGGCTAGCAGTAAAAACTCTTGGATGTGAGGCAGCTCCGCCTCCTCGGGCAGCAGGTGGCCATGTGCAGGGCCACAGCGCCTGCAGGCACCTCCCCTCACTGAGGCATCAGCCCTGGCTCCAGCTTCTGCTCCCGCCTGAGCCATGAGAAATGGGGAGCACCCCTCCCCGCGAGCCACCTCTGTGGACGTGGCGTGGGGAGAGGGCGAAAACGGAACCACTGATCCCCTGGCAACACAGCCACCTTTGGCCCTGGAGCCTACCTCGCCGGGAGGAGGGGACTGAGTGCAGCTCCAAGGTCTCAGCTCCTGTCCTGCAGCCTGGCTTTGGACAAAAGGTCACAGGGCGGGTGTGGGGGGATGTGGTTTGAATGCAGTCCAGAGCATCCCATTTCCCGCTTGCAGTGCTGAGGGCCGCAGCCTGGCCTCGGAGCCCTGCTGGCAGACGCCCAGCATGCCTGATGCCCATCCCAGGACAGGAAGGACCCGGAGTGAGCCCACACAAGGGACTGTCTCTGCACCCGTTTCCGACCCAGGTGCAGGGACTTTTGGGAGTGACCGCAGGCTCGCAGACGGGCAGTGAACCTGTCCAGGCATTTTCCTTGAGGAGCAGAATTGCTAGAAAGTGCACTGCCTAGGCTGAGTGCTCAAGGGCATGGATAGAAGGTTCTAAAATTAGAAAGTAACACAGCTCTGTGAGCACCCTAAAACCTGCTGAACTTTATACTCTATGTGGATATGTTTTATGATACGTGAACTACATCTCAATGAAACTGTAAAAAGAAGTTCCTGGCTTGCAACTGACAGACTTTGCTTTCATTACAACAAAACCAACAAAAGCAAGCCCGAGGCCCTGGGGTCCCGGGGGTGACTTGAGTTTACCTAGCAGGTCAGCTCCTTCATCCACATCCCCGATGACCTCTGACCCCGCAGTCGACAGCTCGTGGTACAGGGAGTCAGTGTTGATGCCAAAAGCCTTGTTCACGATCCCCTGGGTCGGGCTGTGAGGACATGCAGCCGGGGAGCTCAGGGTGAGGGGGCAGCATTCACGGGCGGCAGGTGGGGACCCTCCAACACCGCCCACGGGCCGCTCAATGCCAACGCTGCTTGTGCAACGCTACAGGGGACACCTTTGCCGAAGGCACCAACACCCACAGTGAACACGGAGCCTGTTGGGACCCCAGCCTCAGTGAGTACCTGTTGCCCGTGCGATCAAGGCGGGGTTCCCGACTCATGTCCAGCTCTGGTGTAGAATCGATAATGTCTTGAACATCAGACCACTCATCACTGCTGCCCATGCCTGGGGTGACACACAGGAACCCCAGGGTGAGGGGGGATGCCCACCCTCCGGCCCCATGTCTGGAGACCCCACACTAGACCACCACCAGCCAGGGACCATCAGGAAAGGGCTCCTCCCTGGCTGGTGGCCAGCAGGGGCCCATCCCCCAGAACCACGGCTCTTTTTCATGATTTCCAATGAACAGACCAGATATCCTGCTTCTCCTCCATCCCTCCTGTACTGAGTGTGTCTGCGGGATGACTGGGGTGCACTGCCAGAGGCCAAGTGTGTCCCTCAAATCTACATGTTGAAGTCGTAGTCCCTGGGGCCCCAGTGTGTGACTTGCATTTGGAGATGGGGCCTTTAAAGAGGTGCGGGTAAAATAAGGCCACATCCGACTGTGTCCTTGTAAGAAAAAGGGCTGAGGACACACGGAGAGGCGGCTGTCTGCACACCCAGGAGCGAGGCCTCGAGAGAACCAGCCAGCCCCGACACCCCGACACCCGGATTGCTCACTCCTGGTTGCCAGGACTGTGAGAAAGCAAATGTCTGTGGCTTACAACACCCGGTCTCCGATGTTTCTTAGTGCGGCATGAGCCGACTGATACATCTGCCGGAACCAAGAGCCCTATTTGGAAGGGAAACCTCACGGGGGGGGGGGGGGGGGGGGGGGCGCGGTGCAGGATCGGGGAAAGCGGGGGTGAAGGGGGAGACCAGCAGGGGCAGGAGGGGGCGGAGCCAGCAAGGAGGCGCGGGACCAGCGTGGGGGGGGTGAGGCCAGCAGGGGAGGGGCGGGGCAGCGGGGGCTGGACCAGCAGGGGCAGGTGGATGAGTGGCTCGCTCGGCCTCCCCGCCACAGCCCCGGGAGCCCGCGGGCCGGCGCGGCACCTATGCTGACGTTCCGCATCTCCTGCGTGACCTGGACCTCCATGTTGCGGCTGTTGCGCTTCTCCCGCGCTCGCTTGCTGCTCTTCGTGCCGGCGCTGTAGTCCCCCAGGGGCTGCAGGCTCTCATTGAGTGGCGTGACGGCGGCCGAGGGCACAGAAGACGTGGGCGTGTTGGACTTCGTGCCCGTGGTGCTGGGTGTGGCAGCCGCCGAAGACTGGCCTGACTCGGACATCTCATCCTGCGGACACTAAGGCCAAACACAGGGAAGGGCGAAGCTCGCCATGTGGGTCGGCACGCCCCGGAGGCTCCCGGTGACGCACACCGTGCAGGGTCAGCGGGGCCTCGGCCACCTCTGTGAGGCCCCCTCGCTCGACTTCTCTGGCCACTATAAAACAGCACCCTGAGCCAGGACTGGAGGGGACTGGGGACCCCTGCTCTCCTGTCCGGCCCACTCCTCTGGCCTAGTCCCTGGGTTCACCCAGCCGCTGCCTCTGGGTTTCCGGAGGCCGCTGACACTTTATTATTTAAAGGGCTTGGCTTGGGGCTGTTAGCTTGCGAGCTCCGGGCAGCCCGCCGATGCCGCGTGTGATGGACATGAAGCTACACGAACATGGCAAGCAACCCTTTGCAGCCAGGGGGTGGTCAGAAACAAGTGGTGGCCCAGGGCTGGGCAGAGGGCTCTAAATGGGGACCAGGGAGGAGGCTGAGCATGCCTTCTGATCAAGCCGTCTGGGCTGCGGCCAGCTGCTGAGGTCTCCTGCTTCCTGCCCTGGGGCCAGTCTGGGCCTGGGAAGGGGCGCCGACCTCCCAAACACGGAGACACCAGGGGATGTGTAATTCTTAACCCCCACGGCTCAAGTGGACCTCACGGTCTGCCCTACGTAGCTATGTATATGCAATCAAACTGGAGTCCCACTTCCAGAGAATGGGTCATCCTTAAAACATTCCGAGACCAGATTATTAAAAACTGCAATCAACTGTTGACCTTAAACATCTCCCTGGAGGGGTGCCTGGCTGGCTCCGACGGTGGAGCATGCAACTCCTGATCTTGGGGTACTGAGTTCGAGCCCCGCGTTGGGTGTGGAAATAACTTAAAAAAAAAAAAAGTCTTTAACAAAAACAAAAAAAAACCCCAAAACCAGAGTCTCCCTGGAGAGAATACACTCTACGTGAGTAAGTACGGCACGGGAAACAAAGCCACTCTTCTCCTACAGTCCTTCCTCGTGAAACCACTGGACAGTATCCGTGAAGTGGCCCACTCGTCTACTAACACTCACGACCTGACTCACCCCGATTCAGTCCTCAGTGGGCAGCAGCCCCCGCACACCCTGCTACCCTCTTGGGATGTGGAGAAGGGGCACGGCCCCAGGAGGGGCTGCAGCTCCTGGTGCACACCCCAGGAGCCCACAGCACTGGGTCACGTGGTTTCCATGGAAGGGATGCTTCCGGGAGCTCTTTCTCGCAGGGGAGGAGCTGATGGCAGGGAATGTTTGGCCCTCTCCATAAAGCTGGACGCACGCTGGGACCAACCTACACCCGCCTTCACCGGGGAAAGGCTGACCAGGCTCTCGTGAAGAGCAAGCTGGCTGGGAATCCTGACACGTGCCACTTCCTGACCCATGTGGTCAGCGTCAGGCCAGGGCCTGGGATGGCCATGTCTGGCTTCATCTAACGGTCCCCTCACACTTCTCTGCCAGGACTCTCACTATTCCACAATCAGGCCCACCATGTCCCTAGGGGATGCTTGGCGATGTCAGGACATTTGTGGCTGTCATGACTGGGGACGGTGGGCGCTCCTGGCGTCCAGTGGGTATAGGCGGGGAATGTCTGCTCACTGTCCTGCAGGTCCCCGGACGGCCCCCAGAGCTGAGAACCAGCCCAGATCGTTGTTGTGCCGAGGTGGTATGCCCAGCGTAATAGCCTGTGCCTCTCCCCCTAGAAGCACCCTGGTACAAGCCTCTTCTACTTGGCATCTATAGCCTAAGGCCAATTTGAGAAGGAAAAATCCCTTCTTGAGAGCCTCTGTGATGAGGTGGTCTATCCGCCCCACACAGCGAAGGCTCCCAGGCGTCCCACAGGCAAGGGGATGCCTCTGTTGCCAGCCCTCAAGGAGAGATGGCCGCAGGAGACCAGAGGCACAGGGAAGTCTGGCGAGGGCTGGGGGAGGCCCAGTATGTGAGTTCATGCCTCTCAGAACGATACGTTTTCTGGACCACCTTCCTCAAGGCCACGGTTCCCGGTTCCCAGCCTGTCCATGCTTGGCAAACTCGGGTCTGCAGGATCGCAGTGGGCCTCCTTGACCCCAGAAGTCACCAAGGGGAACCGTGCGGCACGGCCAGGCCTCCCCCAGTCCCTGGCTCTCTCTGACCCTACAGGCCGCCACCTACCCGCGGGACGCTCCCCTGGCCACCACTTACCTAGCGGCAAACCTCTCAACCTCCTAAACACCAACGTGTGGCAGTGACCTCCAAATGCAAAGTACCCAAACTCTTAGCAGTCATTCCTCACCATGAGTAGCCACAACTGTTTGGTTAAAACACTGAAAATACAGCACATAAAAACAAAAAACAAAACAAAAAACAACAAAAAAAAATTAAGAAATTAGAAAGACCTTAAAACCTAGAGCATGAAATAAAAAGAACTTAAAACATAATTAAAAAAATCAAATCAAACACACCTACAAACTGAAACATAAAACAGTGGGATGAAAAGCAAGACTACTTTGGACGACGAGGCAGGAGAAAGAAGAGACACGGGAAGAAAGCTGGCTCGGCCACAGGCAGGAGGCAGGGCTCTGAGCACCCGGCCTTGGGGGGGCCCCTGCGGCTTCTCCCGGCAAGTGTGTGGAGGAGCCCCAGCCTCCCGCCGGCCCTGCACACAGGCAGGGCGGCCCATAATGGGGGCGGGGTCAGAGGTCGCAGAGACATGCTCACTGTCTGGAACAAAAGCTGAAGCGAGTGGGGTCACTTTCTGACAGAGTGGGCAGCTTGCAGCCACCTCCTGCAGGCAGGCTGGACACCCAGGGACAGAGGGATAGTCAGCCACAAGCTGCAGCAGGAAGAAGCTTCGGGAGAAGTCCAGGCCCCACATCTGCCAGCCTGGCCAGGCCTGGAGGCCCAGGTGCTTTGCCTTCCGCAGGCGACCTCCCACGGGCTCTGTGGGAAGTGCCCCAGGCCTAGGGTCACCTCCTCCAGCCCCAAGGGCAGCATCCTTACCTGGCGATGCGGCCACAGCCTGTCTGGCGAAGGCAGGGCTGAGCTCACAGACCAACACTGGCCACAAGTGACCAGGGGCCATGATCGAGTGGCGGGCCAGGGAAAGTCCCTGCCCCTGGTTTTGTTGGGGGGCCCCCGCTGAGGGGTGCACTGCACTCCCTGGTTAGCTGCGCACACCCAGGACAGCCACCCCCCCCAAACTCAGAGACCCAGCAGTCGATAGCACGGATAGGAAGGTAGCAGCAGGCTAGAGGTGAGATACTGGCCCCTCACCCTACTGTCTCCAGTGGGCGTGCAAACCTCAGACACCACAATGCAAGACACTCTGGGATGGCGCCCAGGGTGGCCTCGGGGCTGGTCCTCTGGGGCGGGTCTGGGGGACAGACATGCTTGTGCCCCAGAACAAAGGCTCAGCTCAGCCCGAACAGACGGGTACGCCCTGGCTGCAGAGGCCCCAAGGCCCCATGTGAGGCCACGCCTCCCGGGCTGGTGCTTTCCTCAGGTGCTGGTACACCTCCGCACGCAACCCCACTACCCTGGGTGCAGGGGAAGCTGCAAAGGGTTGTACACAAAGACGCTTCCTGAATGAGCATGGGTGACAGGGAGGGACCCTCACTCCACAGCATGGCTACAAAACCTGGTAGCTGGAGGTGAACTGCAGCTGGCCGAGGTCACTCAGGTGCCAGTGGTCCCCCGCAGGCACGAGCTTGCCCCCCATCTGTGCACGTACCATGCCGTCGGCCAGGGGGAAGACATTCAGAGAGGTGGGGCGCTCCTTCCTGCTGAAATGTGAGGGAGAGAGGGAGGAAGCGGACGTTAGATGGGGCTCACAGCTCGAGAACTGGAGGCTTTTTGGACGCACGGGGGCCTGCCCTGCAGACCGAGCTGTACTGGATGAGGGCCCGGTGTGTGGGGTGGGGCGTGAGCTCCGGGGCAGCCGGCCTGCACAGGGGCTGCCCGTGCCGAGCTACGACTCCTGTGTCCCCAAACCTGTTCCCGTGTTCAGGGGCACTTCAGCTGCTCTGCAGGCCTAAGGGACCCTTCCCCTTTGGTCCACTGTGACTCGTCGTTTTTGGTTAGACTTTACAGAGAGCTGCTCTGTGGGCTAAGAAATCCCACGGCAGTGCCAGCAGCAGGCCCCTCGGCATCGAGGCCGGCACAGAGTGCTCCTGAGTGGCCACGTTTACCATGACGGTCTTTCCTACATGGAGCCCAGGCCTGCCTCCTGGGGCCAGGCAGAAGGAATCAACCCTTCAGCTCTGTTCTTTGCTCCCTGTTCCCCACCCGACTCCTTTACTGTTCCTCCGTGAGCTCTCCTCAGGGTAAAACGTCCGCCTGGACATGCAGAGTAAAGAAGGGCCCCATCCTGCTGCTGGTGTCATGTCCTTTACAGCCCACGGGGGCCCCTTTCTCCTGCTCCATGCGGTTCTTCCCGGTCGTTAGGGAGCACGGACCCCAGAGGGGAGCTCTTTCAAAGGTGTGCCAGGAGACGGGGAATGCAGGTCACCTGGAGTCAGGATGGAGCCCGAAGCTGCCTGCTAGGCTCAGTCCCTGAGGAAACGCCCTGTCGGGGGCTTCTGATTGGGGGCCAGGTGGTACGCAGCCCGGCCAGTCCCTGCGCTGCCCTGGGGCAGACGCAGCACACCCAGAGACAGTCGTCCACCTGACAGCCCGCGCTGCTCAGAGCTGCTGTGGCCAAGCATCAGAGCCCCACACACAGAGCTCGACCCCCAGGGACTGCGGTGCGAGGAGTGGCGGATGCTTCCTCAGGATTCCCAGACAGCCAGGTCTGGAGGCTGGACCGCTCTGGAGAGGGAAGGTGGGCAGCTTCCTTGCGGTGCTTGGAAGAGTGGAGCAGCCACGGTCCACGAGAACTTCCTACCCCCGGGCAGGCAGCTTCATGAAGCATGACCCTGGGAGGTGGGGGCTCTCTGGCTGGGGCCCCCATGTGGTTCTGGGGGCTGGCCAGGGCTGGGATGAAGCAGGAGGAGAACACAGAGGCTGAGCCAGAGTCCTGCTTTGTCTGGTCCGAGGCTGGCTGGTGCGTCCTGTTCAGCAAGATGCTGCCTCCCGCAGAGCTGGGACCGGGCTGTGCTGTCCCGGGAGCTGGTCTGTGGCAGGGACAGCACCAGGGACAGCACCAGAAGAGCACTGTGCTCTCGAGGGGCTGGAGCCGCCGGCACCTCTGCACGTCAGGGCCTAGGCCACCCAGGAAGCTAGTTTCCTGTGGACAATCGCAGGCGCCTCACTCAGCCCTTGTCCCCGACAGAGGATGCGTTCTCAGGCACATCTCAGCTGGTCACCTGACCGTTAAAGACGCTCAGACCCTAAGAAAGGCACCAAGTTAGGGAGCTCTGCGTCTGCAGGTGCATCAAAACCTCAGCAGGCCCCGAGGCTCTGCCCCCGCAGACTGCCCTCCGCCGCAGCCTGCCTGGTCCCGGGTGTCTGGGAAGGCACCAGTGGCCACGTGGTTAGCACATCCTGGAGGAGGGGCTGGCCTCCAGAGCCACAGCATCTGCTCCCCCGAGGCTCCCGGGCATGTCCTTCGCTCACTCTTCCTTGTTGGGCTCCCAGTGCCGGTGCGGGAACCCCTCTCCTGGGGCCCAGCTCCACTGCGGAAGAAATGCACAGCGGGGCCCTTGGCCCCAGGCAAGGGGCAGAGTGTGAGCGTCCTGCCTCAAAGGACAGCGGCGGGGACGCGTGCCTGTCACCCGCTTCCAGAGCTGTGTGCATGGACACACACTGCGTCCAGAGACAGCCAGGTTGCTCTCCTGCAATGGGCATCATCCCCAGGAATCAAGCCTCATCTTCTCTCTCTGCTCCTCACAGAGCCATGCGTGGCCTGATCCATAAGCCCTGGGGGCACGTGTGGGGCACTGCCCATCCAGAGCTTGGCCACAGTGTCCCCTTGTCACATCCCGCTGCTCCTTTGGGAGATGCCATGCTCGTCCAGAAGCTACAGCCCGAGGGAGTCACGCCGCCTGCAGAGGTCAGGCTGCCTGCAAGGGTCACAGGCACACGCCGGTTCCGGGCCAGTACTCGGAGTGACTGAGCCGACTGTGAGCCCAGGTCCGTCTGATGTCAGAGTGCGGGGTCTCCACCCGTGCTCACCGCCTCCCTGCAGCGCCAACCCAAGGCTTCAGGCCCAAGGGCCCATCTGCAACCATGGATGTTTGCCGGGCGGGGGCCCCTGTGCCGCGCTACCTATTCTGAGGCTGTCTTGGGGACTTGAGTCCAGCCCTCTGCGTCTGCTGCCTGGCCTCTAAGCGCCACACCCAGAGTCTGTGATCCGTAATATCACTGCAGAGAAATCTGTCGAGCAGGTCGAGGATGAGCCCTGGGCCTATAATTAAAGACTACCAGCAGGACCAACTCTCCCGAACCCCAGAGCATCCCGAGCGCCCCTGTACAGCAGCATGAATGCTGGCCTAGACTTTACCTTTTCCTCCACGACTGGCGAGGGCTGCGGGGCAGTGACAGACACAGGGACAGCACATAGTGGCAACAGCACAGGGGGCAAGACGAGAAGACAGCATTAGAGGGCACAGGTCACATGCGCTCACGTGGAGGGCAAGTGTGCGTGGCGGTGGGCTCTGCGCCACGCAGACAAACACACGTGGAGATATGCAGACATGTGCATGCGACAGACAGAGGGCACTTAGACACGAGAGCTCTGCGCTGAGCAGCCGGCCCGTGGCTTTGCATGCACACTCAGTACGGGGCAACGGTCCTCTCCCAGAACCCCAGCACAAGTGCGCAGCCAGGCACACACACGCTCACGTTTGTGGGCCCACACACACTAACCAGTTTCTAAAGACACACACATTGAGAAAACCAGGCCAGGAGTGAAGGGAAACGCCTGTCTGGATTTGGCGGTGATCAGCAGCTCCCAGTGCTGAGGATGAAGCCCTGTCAGCAGGAGCCATGGAGACTGAACTAGGAAGCTGGGCGGACATACTTATTTCTCCCCAAAGAGCTGTGGCGGGAGAGGGGACAGCCCACAGAAGCAGGCCAGGATGGCGGGGCCACAGACATAGCAGCGCTGGTGACAAAGGCCAACGTTCCCTGGAAATGTTGGGTGGAGGCTGCTGTCTGCTCACCCAGAAACAGGTCCTGGGGCAGCCAGATATGCACAGAGCGCCCTCAGAACGTCTGGGCCACAGGGAAGCGGCTGCAGGGGAGGCACGAGCCTAAGTCCCAGACAGCGGCTGGTTCCACGGGCCGGTGAGCAAGGTAAACATGGAGGGTGGGCTGGCAGGGCGATGGGGCAGCCCAGACCCACCGCACCACTCCTCTGCCTCCCAAACAAGTACTGCCCCGGCCGTCACCCCCACAGGACCACTCTCCTCCTCGTGGCCAAGGGGACATGGCGGAGGTGGGCCATGTCCACGGAGGGTCTCAGCTGACAGAACAGGTGCTTTCTTCCTGCAGTCAGGAATCTCTCGCACACAGTGGTACTCTGGCTCAGGAAGGTCTCGTCACAGAGTGCCAAAGGCCTGGACACCATGCTGATCTTACGCACCCCAACCTTGGCGTGCTCTCCGCAGAAATCTGGCCCAGAGCCCCTCCCTCTCCTGGGCAGCCGTTGGATCCATTTTGCAAATGAAGGGGCTCCTGTGGGCTCGGCTGGGTGTGGAGAAAGCCCCCACCAGGACAGCCACCCCCGGAGGCACTGAAGGCCCTGAAACACCCAGGAGTGACAAATAGGCACAGCCAGGCGGCAGGCAGAACAGACCTGTTCCCTGAGGGAGGAGGAGAACCCACATGGCCTCCAAGAGCTGCCGTGCAGCCTCAGAGGGGACCCAGACGGGACCCTGTGAGCCAGCCCCTCTCAATTATGAGTCCCGACATCAGAAGGGTGATGGCCACAATGGGCCGGAACCCAACTCTGAGCACAGGGAGCACTGCAGGGCCTGGTGCCAGGCTTGGTCCAGACTGGCTCAGGGCCACGGAGCTACAAGACCCATGGTGACAGGAGGCTCCCAGACCAGGTCCTGCCTCCGGCGCCCGAGGAAGCATCCACGGAAAGCAACCCCAGCCTGCAGTCACAGACCTCTTCCACGTCCAGGAAGAAACCAAGGCCTGACCTGGCCCCCGGTGACAGCCCCTAATAATGCCTGGGATGCTCAGGGCCTGGCTTTGGCGCCTGGGCAACCTGTGTTTTGGGCTGAGCCCACGTCATCCTGAGGTTCTGGGGACACCTGTTTCTGTGGCATCCCCGGAGCCCGGGGCGCTAGCCACGCTGACTTAGGACCCTGAACACTCGGGGCCTCTAAGTCCCGAGTTCAGAGAGCCCACCTCCCCTGGCTTCTGGGAAAACTGGGCCCTTCTCGCTGGACTCTCTCCTTTGTGACCTTCGAGGTGCTCCTGGCCTTAAAAGCAACTGGCAGGGAACCAGCTTGAAGATTCCAGAATGCTGCAGCCCTCAGGAACTGGCCACAAGCCCAGCACTCATCAGGGATGCCCAAGCTGCCCAGCCGCTGCAGCCCCCGCTCAGAGGGCCCTGCCTAACCCTCCACAGAAAACAACACGGAGTCCCTGCCCGCCCTGGTCAGCATTCAAGTACAGTTACTCAGAAATCCTCCTGGTAGCTTCTATGTGCTGGGGGTGAGGACGTGGCGG